TGGTGCGAGTACTGGCTGATGCGTATCGCGTCACTGAATCCGTGGTCAAGGATCGGTTCCAGTTGGAGTCGGTCTTACCGTTTTTGGAGAAGAAGAACATTCCTGGACAAGTTGAACACCCTGTAGAAGAAGAACCTAGGGGTATTCTAAAACGGGGTACTAGGTCCAAAAGGGGTAACCCAAAACCTAAACGGGTTTATTTTTGGGATGAAAATCCACCAGTTTTGAAAGTTTTGCGGGTACAAGATCACCACGGTCATGTTGCCCAATTGCACAGTTATGAAAAAGAAGAGCCCATCCCTAAGACCATCCTGGGTGATGGACAAGAGAAACATTGGGACTTGGATTGTGCCAGGTCCGATCGAAAAGAACATCGAGCTGCCGAAGTGGTACCAAGGTCGGGTTCCACAGAACCGTGGGATCTGGTTGCAACTTGGGGAATTGGGTTTTTGGGGAATTCTAATGTGGTAGGTAAGGGGAAAAACCATCCTGAAACCTCAAAGGGGATAGCTCCGCAACCAACGGGATTTAAGTGTTTTTCCGTTAGGGAATTGGGGTTGTCCGCAGCAATTTATTTTTCCAAAAGTTTTGGGCTCAAAAGCGTCCTCGTCTGCCTTGCTGCACCAGTGACAGCTATGGACGGTGAAGATGTTTCGCAAGGCGTCTTTGGTCAGTTTTTTGGCATACTTTATGCCATGATGGTCATCCTGGTGTGGGAAGTTTTCCGATGGCTTATGAGCCATTTGACACTCCTGGTGGTTCCTCAGTTCAATCGACAAATGGTGGAACAAGCTGAACTGATGGTGAAGTTGGCCCTGAAAGATCGAGAAAAAGATGTACGTGGGGGAGAAGGTCATTCCACGGCGGCGCCAACTGTAGAAAAAGATGAACATCAGGAAGAAGAACCACATCCGGGAGAAGATCATCGAAAGGAAAAAAGAAGAAAAACCGAAGAGAGGGATGCTGATCGCGCCCATGATAAAAGGGAAAGAGGAAGAGACCGTCGGAGACGGGGTGAAACAGGGCGATCTAGGTCGCCACACAGGGAAAAGGAATCGACAACAAGGCGATCGGAGAGTGAAAAAAGCCCTGGCCCTTCTACAGCCGAATCGCGAGGTTCGGAAAGGGTCCCAAAGGGACCGATAGCTCCGCTGCCAGAGGGTATGAAAGCCCCTGGGAGACCGCCACCGAAAAAACCGTCGATGCCAACTCCCAAGGAAGAGGAAAAAGTACCCACCGATGATGAAGAGTGGGGAAAATGGAAGGAACAGAGAGAAGGAGAAAAAATGGCTGATTACCTTGCAAGGATGAGATCAGTCTATGGAAAGGCAATACCTGCAGAGCCAAGGGAAAAACCTGCAGAAACGACCCGAGCCTCCTCCTCTAAGGCAGCTCCTAAGGCAGCGGCTTACTATGAAGTGGATGGAGGAGAATGGTATTGGTGGGATGGTGCATGAGGTGACAAATGGGAACCGAAAAAGAAAAAGAAGAAGAAGAACAAATACACCGAGGCTGAATGGGAACAGTGGTACAAGGAGCATCCGGAGGAGGACACTGAGTCTTCCCAGACACCAAGAAGGCCAGCAGAACCGGAGACTCCGCCACCGGCCCAAAGACCAAGGATTCGTCCGGGACAAGATTTAATTCGACGTCCTGAAGACCCAGCCAGCTGGACAGTTTACATGCCTGAGGTGGTCATGCGTGAGGTGGAATATATCATCTCTGGAGAGGGCACAGCATGGATGACAAAGCCGCCGGCCGTAACAGGCTTTGAAGAACAGGGTCAGGCCATTGACATGTGGCATGTTCCAGCCCCTGGGGACTATGGACGAATCATCACAAGAATCCATTACAAATGGAGACAGAATTCATTTCATCCAGATCACCCCACTTTACCGAAAAAGGTCGACCAGTTGGATCCTTACCGGGTCACATTTTTGTGGAATACCCTGGACAGCAACGAGCGAAAAATAATCTTGGATTTTGACTGGGAGACCAAGTGGGTCGAAGACAAGTGGGTGGGATACACCGTTTTCCTTGTCAAACAAGACCCAAGAGATGTGGCGAAAAGCTCACCCAAAAGGAAATAGGTCACACGGAAAAGTACATCGGTGGCTGGAGAAAAAGATCAACAAGACCCAAGGAAAAGATCATTAGCTGCCGGTGGAAAAGACCAATACAGGGAAAAGCTCATCAGCTGCTGGACCCAAAGAACACCGTTGGGCGCTCTTCGAGGACAGCGCTGGTGAGAGAGGGAATTCAAAACCTACGAAGTTAGGGCTGTAGTTTTTCAATTTTTGGAGTCAACCCGAAGTGGAACTCCACGCGACCCTTGGATGAAGGGGGAACCAACACCAGCCTGGGACTATGGCACACGAGGGTCTTCGCCCTTCTGGCTGGGGGAAGGGCGAGTTCCCAGAGGAAACGTGGCCACCCCTGAAGCTTTTGTTTTTGGTGTTGGGGAACCTGGATTCCTGCAAGCAGGAAGGGGGAGTGCGGTTTGGGAAACATGCACAGAGTACCACTGCACCCCCACTAAGGTCTTTTTAAAGTTTTCACAGTCGTTGAGACGTCCTCCGACTGTTGCAACTTGGCTCAAGGGCCAATCAACTGACTGGCTCAATTTACCGAGCCCAACTTGGAGTGAAAAGGTGCACTTGCATCTGCCTCTTGGTGGGGACCTCCGGGAAGGGTCTCGGTCATAGTCTGAAACCCGTGATAATAATTCACTAACCTGAATTAAGGCCATATTGGGATGATTTCCCTTACTAACCATGATTCCCAGTGAGGTCGCAGTGAGGTCGTTATAATTTACCCAGAATGGTTGAACATTTTGGATTTCTAGGAAGTAGGCCCGGTAGAACTGGCCTCGAAAACTATATAAAATACCGTCCCCAACATCCCGAACATCCGATCCGAGGCACAGGCGCTAATGGTGGCGGAACAACTGGCACTGCTGGGACGCCAACCCCACTTTCGCATGTCGTGTAAGACCTCGAGAGCCAAAGACCACTGTCCACCTCGGTGGCGTCGCCATGCGAATTTCTGGTCCAATGTTGAGGCACCTCATGGGAGATGAATTGATCCACATTTTTTTTTGGACCGGAACCTATATGACTTGTGGGTTTCTCTAAAGGTATGGGACCCTCCAAATTTAATGGTTTTATCATCAGTTTCCCCATTGACATCACCTTTAGATAGGGTAGACCCGATTTTCAGACACAGTGATAGATCATATTGAGTATATCACGATATTACAGTATGCTTAAAATATCAATTAAATGTGGTATCTCATGGTATATAATTATAATTATATAACTATAATTATATACATTATCCAGAAAATATCACCATGATATTCCCAGTATTGTTGGTTTATAGCCCCGATTTCTCTTCATGGCACTTTTTTCTTTCCCGATGAGGCGCCTTTGCCGCAGGCGCTGATCAATGTGTTGTAGCACATGACATCAGCAAAATCCTGGAAGAAACAATGGTTCAACTGGGGAGAGAGGAATCCAGGAACCCAAAGGAACCAAGAAATATGGGAGTTGACACATTGAATGTAACATCATGTACCCAAGAAGGAACATTATATTCATGAAGGAATCACAGATTAGTTATCTGAAAATTGCCTTGTCAAACTTGGACTTGCTATGACTTGGCCACTTAAAACACATTCATACCGTAGGGTAATCATACAATAAGATGTGAGAAACCAAGGGTTCCCTTAGGAACACGATTTACAAATGGTCGGTAACATCTTTGTTGGTTCACAGGAGGGTATATTCTCACTAGATTTCTTTGGTTCTCACGGAAAAAACATCGACTGAGCAAACCCAGAAAACTTTGGAAACATACCCAATATCAGTCAAGTTGCTTATTCGTATCTCATTAGAAAATGACTAATGAACTATGTTTATTATATAATTAGTGATAATTCATAAAAGTAATAGTATATACATATACATATATAAACCTGGAATACCAGTGCTCATGGATTTTCATGGTTACTAGGCAGTATCATATTCCAATGATTCATTATTCCAGCAACAAAACAATCAGCACATGATGGCTTTACAGTACATCATCAAACAAATGGTGTCACCAGGGCCCACATCTCCTGCTCCATCAAAGCTAAGGCTGCCTGGCGACATCGGGCCCGCAAGTTATGGCGTCATTTTAGGTCATTTTATGTGGAGAAGATTTGGGGATTTCCACAGTCATGGAGGTACCCCAATAGCTGGTTGGTTGGTTGGTTGGTTTTTGTTATGGAAGCTCCTACTAAAATGGATGAGAACTGGGGGTACCCACCATTTTAGGAAACCTCCATTTGGATAATGAATATGAGTTTCTCAAGTCTGAGATCGTGTGCAACCCATGTTTTGCAGACACAATTTGTGATCAACTTGGGCGACCGATGCCGTTTCCCAAAGAACGAACAAACCTGTCTTGGGGGGTGTTAAGTTTTTGACGACTCATCGCTCTACCCTGGACTCAACTTAACAATTGGCGATGTTCCCATGTGAAAAAAGCTTCATCTGAGTCCTGGCTTCAACTTACCAAGTTCCAGCATTACACAACCCGTTCGAGGGACCGAATTGATTCACATGGCCCTGGCAAGATTCAGGGTAACATGAGTCAGGAACCATATTTCATACAGTGGCCAGTGGGACATTGTGACATGATCCATTCTGCAACGGGCCTACTCCGAACGGGTTAGTCATTCTGCAAGATTAAAGCCTCCAGTCAATGCCTAGTTTATTGATGGTGCCAGATATGAAAATCATGTTGGATTGAGATATTCCCCAATGACTATTGGTTAGTACAATCCCTGAACCAATCATCGACCAACAGGGCTTTTCAACACTGAGAAAATATACCCTCCAGTAAATTAACATAGCTATTCAACATGGCCCATTTATAGTTGATTTACCTATTAAAAAAAAAGTGATTTTCCATAGCAAACTGTGAGTTTACTGGAGGGTATGTGTTTCGTCCGCCTGCCATGCCGTCGCTTTCGCACACGCACTGAGAGCAGCGTTCACCGCGACGACATCTGGGGTCCTAGTTTCGGCCAACGGGGGAAACTCTGCGCAGCCACGGAAGATGACCCATTTGTTGAATTTTGATGGGTGGGATTTCAACCATCTTCAGTCATGATAGGTTTATGGCATTGGGAGTTCACCTACATTAGATCATCCCAATTGACATCAATTAAGTATGGATATGTGCTGTAATGTGGGTAAAACAATGTCATAAACCACCCATGACTGGGAATAGTAATAACATACCATCTATAAACATGGTAATTTGGGGAATGGTTTATGGCACTGATTCTTCACATAGCCATTTCAAGTTGACGTAGATGAAGTAGATATGGCTTTGTCTGAAATAGGGTCTCCCAAAATTTGATGATAAATCATTATTTTGCCTATATACTAAAATGACATAACATGACCATATATAATTGGTTTATACACAATTTTCAAATACACCTATGGACATTCCAAAGCTTCAAACTTCTTAAAACGGTGGGTTTCCGTGGGTTTCCCATTGGATCTTTGTATTTTTATTCGCCATCTGCAGAGTATTTTGTTCATGCTTGAGCCCCCCCAAAAAAGATACAGTATATCAATTGGGGCTAGTCATCCCATCTTCAAGGATTTGGAACCAAATATGTTTCTACCACGAGACAACTACCCTGGTTGGTCACCAGCGGCTGCTGAAGTGAGGCAGCATACCGTAAATCAACTGAGTGTCATTCCTTCAAGCGACTTGACCAAATATATACCACATATCTGTGTAAATATGAGGTCATGTGTCAGAAAAATGTGGTCCAGTGTTGAATCAAGTGGATACTTGAGGGGATTTTCAGTTGCGATGTTTGATTCCCCGAGGGCTAATTCCGGCCACGTCTCCCCAGGTTTCTGCTGCGCTGTAGCGAGTCAACAGCCTGGTGGAGTCGCGGGTAATCACATGAACTCGTTTTTTTTTATGTGGTATATTTACTGGTATATATTTAATGACACATAAATGGATATATTGTAATAATTAATGGATAATGACACATATTATATTATATTATTTAAATGACACATAATAATTCCTCTCCAGTGATAATCTGATACTTAAATGGCACTCCCCCAATTAAACAGCCTAGGGGTTTATCATTCCGGGGTTGACACTACATGAAAGTATGCTGCAGCCTCTCGCTTTGAAACTGATTCTACTCTGCCCGAACCACTAGTCACCAGAATGACCTACACATCTTCAACCCTAGAGTCAAGCTTCACTGTCAGACCAGCCAAATGAACAACTTACCCCCCCAACCTTCAACATACGACTTGACTGAAAACTGGCATGGAGCTGCCCAAACACTGAACTTGAAAAAGGAGGTCCCTATAGTCTTATGGTAAATGTCGTGCAATGGCGAATTTTCGGATTCTATCTCAGACCCCAGCCAGTTGTACAACTAATTTCATCATTGTATTGGGCTCTTAATCTTATTAAAAAATCTTCACAATTGTCCCAATCTTTCTACTTAGATATTCTTCCAGATTGCCAACAGGAAAAAATGCAAATAATCACACACTATTTAAACCATTTAAAACCCCTTCTTCCCTCAAGATCTCCTATCACCAGTTCCAGGCCTCCATCCAGCAGCTTCCGGCCGCCCAACATCCCAGCGCCACGTTCGAAATCACCGCAGTGTGTTGCACAGCGCCGATAGACAGCGCCAGGTGCAGGGCTTCCGACCACCTGAAGCCGCGACGGACCTAGCTGTTGGTAAAGTGGTGACTGGGAGGATCTAACTTTGGTGATGGCATCTTCATGGTTCTTCATGTGGATTTTTGGAGGAATTTCTATGTCATTGTTTTGCTTAGGGGATCTTAGGGGCCAGGGCCCCCCAACACACCACCCCAGGGCCCCAAACTGTGGCCAGGATTCACCCAAAAAATAGTTCCTATAGGAACCGGAGGAACCCTGGAATTGACACACCGTTTTGTGATGTTTTGGTGTTTGATGATGTTTTTCTCCAGTAAAAATGGCACATCCAGTTGTTTTTTCCCAAAAAAATATCATGGATCATCTCTGCAACTGAAGTGAATTTGTCACTAAGAAAGGGTTCCAGAAAGCCCTCAAGTTATGGTCCATTAATCAAAATGACCCGACCAATTGACAGGGAACGTGAAATATGTTAAATAAACCATCGTAACCCTACAAGCAGCTCCCTAAGTTATTGGATTTATGAATTGTTCAGGCGTGTAAATATCAGGACTCAATGCCTCAAGATTGATGGATGATCCAACTAAGGGTGGATTGATGAAAAAAAGAACTGGGGTTTTCTGTGGGATTCCCCCAAGGCAATTACCCTACCGGGTAATCAACCGTGGCAATGGAACATTGCCAATTTATACATGATGTGCCCTATTAAAACCTCCATTTATAAAACATGTTCAATTGCCATGTTTGGCCCCATGTATAGACGATTTATAATGACATATACCTATTAAACATCGTGACTTTCCAAAGCTACGTCGAATAAACAAAGGGTAGCTGGTTCACACATATTATATATGTGTATATATATATATATGTATATATATATACATATATACATACACGTGTATAATTGTGTATGTATGTATATATATATATGTATGGCATGGTATGGTATGGTATGGTATGGTATGGTATGTATGTATGTATGCATACACACATATTTCCATTTATCTTGGATACATGTATTACTATAGAATACGCTACCCGAAAAAGTTCGGCCATTTGGAGATGAGCCCCCCACTACACATATCTACACTAACCAGAAATATGGCAAAGGATAAAAGTATATAAAGTGCTACACTAATCTAAGCTACCTGTCCAATTGACCCAGATTTGAATACCATACTATGCCGTACCACACCATCCAGAGCCAAGACACATGGAGGCCTCCTTGTAGCTTGTCATCGCAGCAGAGCACTGAAAGACATTGAACTCGAAACTCTGCTCCTGTTGCAGCCACCCTCCCTAGCTTTGGATGTATCATGATGTATCATTTCATTTCAATTCATTTCGTATTATATCACATAATATCATACCATATCATCTGCATTCAAAAAAACACATGTTTAATGCTCAGAATGCCATGAACACGCATCTCAGATTTGCTGATCCAACGCCCTCAGGTGGTTGGAAAATGGCAAATCGACATGTCCAAAGAGGAACGTCAATATAGGTCAATGACATTTCCAACGGATTGCCAAAGGTTAGATGCCAGAAATTCAGCAAACATTTGAATCACCACGATTTGTTGCATTTTTCCCTATCTCAAAGATTCAGCATTCGCCATGCTCTTTCGTGTCAAAAGAAACACTAGAAGTTTTGTTGCTTGAAGCCTTCCAAATAGTTTATGTCGCTTTAGCCAAACAAAAACTAAACCCATTCATTAGCACACACTATGAAGTGAATGCTTCGTCGTCCCGTCCGAGAAATAACATGAAATAACGACCTGTTTGAAACTAGTCACACCTAGTGTTGAACGCTCCTTGGAAACCTGGTTTGGTGGGGTGCCATATTCCGAGGCTGGAGTTGCGGCCACCCACCAAATAGTCATGGCATATCAGTGGCATATACCCTGTTTATTGATTACATATATTTTTTGCTTTACATCGCAGGATGATTGTTAATTTCGAATTCAAAAGTATATTGTTACTTTGGTTCTTCGGGTCACTGAAACCACCAAGCAGATCCAAGCAGTCGTATTACCTGATTTGCCGATTGAATATCCTTCCACATTGATGGCGATTAGGTCGGCATGATTTGATTAAAAACACATTTGTGAGCATCGAAAACGAACAATGGCTTTGGACAACTATTTGTTTGCAAAAATAATAGTTGAAACATGTTGAAGCCATGTTTTGCTGGCTATATGATGGCCGTCATCATATCGCCAACTATCTCCATGTTGATTCCCTTCACCCACCATGAACCCATGGCAAACAATCATAAACAGCTCGAAAATCTAGTGCTGTAACATCAACAGCTAGAACAATCCACGTGTGTGACATAAACAGCTAGAACAAATCCAGATGTTTGATATTGCTGGATGCTTCCACATCAACCCCTATGTTGGAATGCTTCATTTCCGCCGTTGCCTTCATCTCCTTCAGCAGTCGTTCCACCTGCTGTCGCAGCCCATCACCACGCGAGCGCAGCGAGCGTAGGAAGGAGGTGACCTGTGTCTACACGTGAACGCAAGGGATTTCACCGGTAACATAACATGGAACAATTTGTCATTAAAAATAATGGGATATGCAAATAATATCAAATAGTATATATGGATTAATATACATACATTGTATATATATATACACATGCCAAATCTATGCAAATTCATTGTAATTATAAATCAAGATCACTAAGAATGGGATATGTACATATCTATGTAACCCAACCAAAGAGTGGTGTCGGCAAAACAGCGTTCTGCACATTTTGGGCACAAAAATGGGGTATCCCCAACACGGCCATTAGACAATAGTGAGCCTGATGATTTTCCATTTTTATGGGGGTCCTTACCCTCTGGTAAACTAACATAGCTATTGAAAATGGCCATTTGTAGTGGATTTACCCATTAAGAATGGTGATTTTCCATAGCTATGTTAGTTTACCAGAGCGTAACCATACCAAACCCATATCTTTTGGCAACTCAGCCACTTCTCTTGGTGAGGTTGACGTGGAAATACGCAATTCTGCTGCAGCTTTTGCAGACCTGAAGTGGCCATCCAGGACGGAAGAAGTGTCGTCTCTCTGCATTTTGATGATTTTGGAATTCAGATGGGGATGGGTCAAAACCCTGGTACCCCCGGTGAACCCCAAAATAGCTGGGATTTATGGATGTTCATCCCACTATAGTAATGTATCTATAGGTATTGACCCATACCCAGATCACACCACTGAAAACTTCACTCTTCGCAGGGATCCCCAAAATGTGGCCGCGAGAAGCCATTGAAGCCACCCTTGAGCCACTCCTTCGCCGTTTCACTGGAAACACAGCACCGTGCTGTCCAAAAAACGGAGGCATTGGAGGTGCCGGGGATGATTTGATCTACCGCGGCTGCCAGGACTTGAGGACTTCGAGACTGGTGTCATGTGTTGACAAAAATAAATTCGGGTTGAAAGTTTTGTTCCCTATGCGTGCAAGTGAATGTCCAAAGGAACTGGTGTTCGTTAATCAATTTCTGCAGTCAATGGATTGGTTTGTGGGACAAAAATACAGAGAATCATGCATTCTGCATTATGCAGATTGACATTCATAAATGAATCAAACCCATAAATCTGGGATACAGATGCTTTTTCTGGCCTAATGTTAACATAGTCAAATAGTCACTACCTTTTGTTTCTTGGAATATCGTTCATTTTATCAATGTTCTTATCATTGGGGATATATAATCACGTGGCATGCTGGGCCACCGTCTTCCCATATGTTTAATGTAATTGAAATGTTTATACAATAGATCGAAACATCCAGAAGCCGACGATTGCATGCGAGTCATTGTGTAAAGCAATGCATTTTTATTTTTGACATCCTTTCGATTGCCTGAGTTGCAGCAAGAGCCTGTTGTTTGTTGTTGCCTTTCGCTGCGAGACCCCCATGTTTTGGCTATTTTATTGTTTGTTGTGTGTATGTTGCGCGTGCGCGTATGTTATTGTATGTTGTGTATGTGTGTGTACGCCGTGAAATGCTAAGAATACGCACGGTAGCTTGCACGTTGTTTGTATGTTTTGTCTTTTGGGGGTGACGTTGTTGTTTTTTTTAAGCCCGGGCAAACCTTTGATTATTAGAACAATTTGGATCAATTTCGTTGGTTAGCGGACTGAGGGCTTAACAGAAGGCTGAAATTCTATCTTTGGCCTTCTTTTCATGCTTTGCGTGCTTTAGGAACTTTAGTCAATGTGTTGGCTAACTTTTTGAAAAGGTACCCTACAAATAAAACCCAAGCCAACAAAAAAATCCCTGATAACACCAGGCGCTGTGATGTCAGCTGGGCAGGCTGATTTCATCCAATTTGTTCAGCAGTTCCTGAGATCCAAAACAAGATTATGAATGGGCGATGCAAGCAAATAATGACACTGAAACCATACCTTTGCCCCAACCAAGCAAGTGATAGCACACTCCCAAATAATGTAATTGGTTTCGATTGAATCCCTGGCTTCTGCGAGTGCCAATCTAGCATAGTCTGGCCATGAATTATTGAGTATTGATTGTCGGCAGATCACCGCTGCCATCGGGAAATGTTGCCTCAAATGACACAGACCTGTTGCTTTTAAGTGGACTTCGGATGATTGACAAGTTGTGGGTTTTACCTTAGAATGGATCCTGCCCCACCATAATGACAGATGGCCCCCCTTGCTTCACTACAGTAATGTTTTCTGAGGTGTAGTGTGGGCTGGAATGGCTCAGGAACAGAACCGTAAGCAGCTATATGTCTACCCCACTTCAAGACTTTACTATTTACTAGTTTAGCTTAGTTTCCTTCAAGCTTATGACTCAATTGACTCAATTTACTCAATAACTTTTGTAACTTTTGGTTTACTCAGTCTCATATGTTGGCAGACTCAGGATGCAAAGTTCCCATTTCCCGTGTGGTGATGAGCAGTTTCGGATTCGGTAGCGTCACGCTCTGGACCTTGCAGGCTTTGCCGATTCGGTAGCGCTCCGGACCTTGCAGCATTTTTTTTTTTAATTATTGGGTATTACAAATAGTCAAAGGCGCTGTTAAGATATTCACCTTGCACGGGGGGGGGGCAAACTGCTCCTCTCCCCTGCAAGGTCCGGAGCGCTACCGACCTTGCAGCCCCTCTCCCCTCCAGTCATTGGGGCATGGATTTTCGAGCGTGCAGCCCCCCCTCTGAATATTTTCGATCCGCTGTTAAGATAATACAGGGGAGGGGCTGCAAGGTCCGGAGCGCTACCGACCTTGCAGGGGAGGGGGGCAAACTGCCCCCCCCTGTACAAGGCGAATATCTTAACAGCACCTTTGATTTTTTGGGTAAAACTTTAATTTTTAAAAAAATCCTGCAAGGTCCGGAGCGCTACCGAATCGGCAAACCCTGCAAGGTCCGGAGCGCTACGGAATCCGGAATTGTTCATCACCACATGGGAATGCTTGAGGGAACTTTGTATCCTGAGTAAAGCAAAAGTTACAAAAGGTATTGAGTAAATTGAGTGTGAGTCATAAGCTTGAAGGAAACTAAGCTAAACAGTAAAAAATAGTAAAGTCTTGAAGTGGGGTGGTAAACATACGGCTTACCACTGTCTTCTTGCTGGAAAAACATATGCTGCAATTATTTGTACATTTTTCTTGTACATGCAATCAACAGGGAGGAAATTTAATGACGTGGCATGCTGGGCCACTGTCTTCCCATATTTTTAATGTAATTGAAATGTTTATACAATAGATCGAAACATCCAGAAGCCGACGATTGCATGCGAGTCATTGTGTAAAGCAATGCATTTTTATTTTTGACATCCTTTCGATTGCCTGAGTTGCAGCAAGAGCCTGTTGTTTGTTGTTGCCTTTCGCTGCGAGACCCCCATGTTTTGGCTATTTTATTGTTTGTTGTGTGTATGTTGCGCGTGTGCGTATGTTATTGTATGTTGTGTATGTGTGTGTATGCCGTGAAATGCTAAGAATACGCACGGTAGCTTGCACGTTGTTTGTATGTTTTGTCTTTTGGGGGTGACGTTGTTGTTTTTTTTAAAGCCCGGGCAAACCTTTGATTATTAGAACAATTTGGATCAATTTCGTTGGTTAGCGGACTGAGGGCTTAACAGAAGGCTGAAATTCTATCTTTGGCCTTCTTTTCATGCTTTGCGTGCTTTAGGAACTTTAGTCAATGTGTTGGCTAACTTTTTGAAAAGGTACCCTACAAATAAAATCCAAGCCCAAAAAAATCCCTGATAACACCAGCCGCTGTGATGTAAGCTGGGCAGGCTGATTTCATCCAATTTGTTCAGCAGTTCCTGAAATTTGTAAACGCAACATGAATAGATGATACATGACTGTGACACAATCAAAACAAAGCAAGTAATGGGTCTTTGAACCGGGTTTGAAAACATCAGTGAAGCAAGGGGGGCCATTCGTCACCGTGGTGGGGCAGGATCTAAGGGAAAACCAATACCTTGTCAATCATCGGAAATCCACTTAAAAACGAACAGGCCTGCGTCATTTGAGACCACATTTCCCAATGGTCCGATGATAGTAGCAATCTGCCGACTAGCATTCGCAGAAGCCAGGGATTCAATTGAAACCAATTAGATTTTTTGGGGGCGTCATCAACTTCTTAGTTGAGGCAATGTCATGGTTTCATTTTCACCTCAAATATAGTTCACCACTTTTCTGCAAACAATAATGGGAAAACCCAATGACTATTTGATTATGTTAACAGCAGGCCAGTTTTCATGCCAAATCTGGGAGTTTTTGACGCTTGACATTTTCCCATGATCCAATGATCCAATATGGTCCAATTCTGCGCAGAATCTGGACGGCTCCACCAGTGCCAGGTCATCCTTCTCCGCCTGTGACGTTGTGGATGTTCAAGAAAAAACCAGTCCGATGGACCGGTAGTGGATGGTACTGGCATGTACTGGCTGAAGCTCATGTTTGATATTTCAGGACTTTTCTCAAATTTAAGTGTCCACAAAGTGAGCCCACCCCGCACAACAAAATACCTTCAGAGAGAGGAACTGATACGAACTGATGCTGTGCCCAACTGACAGCTGCACATCAAACAGCTTAAGAGAAAATTCAAACCATTTAAAAGCTATGAGTCAGTTACAAATCACATGCCACTACTGGTGGTGTGTGTATATATATATACACATGTGATATTCCATTATATTTTATATCTTATATATTCAATCATCATATCTCCAGGGATGTCGAACACATCCTAGTTCCCCAGAGACAACGGTGCCACCCAGTGATTTTTCTTTGGTCTATAAACCCAATATCCAAATGGTATACAGTATAGATCTATGTCGCTATATTACTGTAATGGGGTAAACCCAATGTCATAAACCACTCCCAGTCGACCATTTTTATAGGTAGGATGTCAACCATCCCCAGTCATGATTCAGGTTTATGGCGGCTTTCACCCACATGATATCATCTCAATTGACATCAACTATAGATCTATGCTGCTACTTAGAGACTGATATCTGGTTGGTGGTATACCTACCCCTCTGAAAAATAGTCAGATTGGATCATCATCCCAACTATCGGGGAAAATCACAAATGTTCCAAACCACCAACCAGATATGCTGCCGTTTGCCGCTGTAGATCTACCCGTTCCACCCGTTCGTTGCCGTTGCCGTTGCCGCTCGGTGGTTCAGCGGCACTGCGCGGCCCGTGGCCCACCTGGGAAGGTCCGACCAAATTGCTGAGCTTCACATCGTCCCCGAGCCGCGCCAACACCCCGGACCTGGCGTCCATCGAAGTGGATACGACATATATGTAGATATATATATGTGTGCAACAAATGTACATACATACATACATATATATATATATATACACATTCATACCTCTATATATATATGTATAGGTTATGTGGCTTATTTAATCAGAGTTAATGGGATATGAACAGGAAATTCATATGGAATTAACCAACTATCATGGGCCATGGGGGATTATTTAAAAAAAAATATCATTCAGCATCGATGACTATCTGGGATGCACATGCAAGTCTATCTGTTGAGACATCAAACCTCACAACAAAATGTGATGGGTGGGAGATGGGAATACCTTCCCCTCACAAGTTCAGGTCACAAATGAGCTACAAAGACTTGGATCAAGAGTACCCCCAAGAAAACATTTGGGTTTCTTGAAATTAAGGCATCCCTCTTTTTCACCATTTTTCCCGAATAAACCGTGACCAAGAATTTGGATGACAACTTGCGATCTCCTATGAATTAAGACCCCAATTGAACCATCCCCAGTTTGATTTCTGGAGTATCACAGTTGGATCAATGTGTTATCAATGGGTACATACATCTAATTAAATACCCACTAATGTTTCCTGGAATTTAACCACTTACAAATGGGTTAAACGCCAAGCCCTTCCATTCTTGGATTTTTCTTCATTGGATCTTCCAGATACTATTGCTATTGGATTAGGGTTTACCCTCACGTAATCAAACATGGCAAGCTGAAAAGACGACCCCTTCAGTTCGATCAATTTGCCATTTATATGCCCATTTAGTTGGTGGGTTTTCCAGCTAGCCATGTTTCATGACACAGTTGCTGGTATTATGTGCATGATATTCCAATTATTATCCCAATGATACAAAAATTCCATTGTGATCCCAAAAAAAAACCGCAAGCATATCACCACCATTTGCTTAAACTAGATTTTTAACCATAAAACGTCATAAGACAATCAAATATTTAGTTTATGTACATGGTTTCCCCTCCATAAAACCATGGGGATTCACACGTGTTTCAAATAAAACCATAAAACAAAAAACTGTACATTAAAACCACCTGTGCATCCCCAGGGTTTCCCCCTCCATCGCCTGGTCTTCAATAGATGACTTTCACTCCTCGCATCTCGGGGCATCAATGATGCCTCACGGCAGCTGACGGTAGGGAGCTTGCGGAAAATTGCGAAGTGGAAAATCACCATGGTTTAATAGCTAAATATAGCTAAATATAGCTAATTATAGCTAAATCCACCTATAAATTTGTGGATGTTCTATAAATGTAGATCTAACCTATGGGAATATTTCATGTGCTCATAAGCCGAAATACCTGTTAATCATACTGGCTTAACATCAAATAACCAATTTTTGGGAAGCTTGGGAAGGTTCTTACCCTCCAGTAAACTAATAGTGCCATAGAACATCTACATTATAGACTAGATGATTTAGCTATTAAACATGGTGATTTTCCATGTCTTGAGGTCCCTTTGGGGGTATCTCAAGGGTTTAGAGGACAAACGGCTAGTGGTTGGACCACTGATGGTTTGGGAAGAACTGATGTATCCTCCAGCGAAAAGGGCTAACTTGGAACTCTCCCAACGGCATTCAAATGATGGAAAACAAAAGGACAGTCAATCCAAAGAAAAGGAGATGTTCCAATAGCCACGGAAGTGATTATGATTAAAAATGACTTAAAATCCTACCCCTTCTCAAAATTAGCTACACCCCCATTTGTTCAATCCCAAATATGTTACCCTCTAGTAATTTAACACTTTGTTATTGAAAATGGACCATAGAAATGGTTGATTTGATTTACCTATTAATTCGATGGTGATTTTCAATAGCAAACTGTTAGTTTACCAGAGGCTAATCCCCCCAGTTACAAAATTGAACAGCCCCATTCCACCCAGTCACCAGCGCCGAGTCGTCGGAGTGCAGCGCCGCGTCTTGCGGAGAGCCTGGAGAAAATGTGGAGCACCGTGGCGAGCAGTGGGTTGGGCACCTAAAAATTGGGTGTTCCTATGGGAAAAAATGTGGAGTCCTCAGATTGACTTGGGAAAATGGAGTTACCTAAGACTCTGAGTTGGGAAGGAAGGCTTGTGTTTTTTTAGTATTGCCACGTTATTTTTTTGGAGGTAGGATACAGTACATGAGGTCTACATACTTGAAAGAGGCATGACTATGCTGCCTGGACAAGTAGCTGGCCTGAGTCGCAAATAAGAACATTTCCGCACGCTTTCAAGTTAGTTGCTAGACCGTTTTAGCACTCCATGTATATATAATTATAATATATATATATATATAAAAATAAACATAAGCAAGTCCTATCTAAAACCATGCTAAGCTAGCCCGCCAGGGGAACTGCCCTGTGGGAAATGATAAAAGCTCGTATATACATGGATATAACACCAATAATTCATAAAGATCGGGATAAAGATCGGGATATGCACAAAAAAAGGAACAGCACACATAAAATACAAACATTGATATGCAACAAACCACAAACTAGAGATACCTACAACTTCGATTCTTGACAATTAATTATGGCTCGACATTACATATTACTATATATATATGTATATTATATGTATATTATATGTATACTTAAACCCCAAATGCTCCATCTATGGTATATTTGCCAACATTTACCCAACAGAAATCACCCAGGCATGTAGGTAAATATACCAGCACCATGGATCATATGGGTACTACCTATATCTATATTCATATGGACCGATGGCAGTGCCTTCGGACAAGCCCAAGCGTGGCGTGCTGCGGCCTGGGAGGTGGCACTATACCTACCAACCCCTCTGAAAAATATGAAAGTCATAAAATTCATGTTCCAAACCACCAACGAGATGATATATGATATGTGATATTTACATGTATATATGTATATATATATATCATGATATATCCAACTAATATGTGTTTCTCCATGGTGATTATATACATACATTAATATAGGATCCTGAATGAAATCTTGGAAACACAGTAAGCAACGGTGATAATGTACGGTAAATGGTAAACACACCATGAGAAAGGTCAACGGTCAACAAAGTTCAGATGTTCGAAAAGGAAGAACAACTCCCACGAGCATCCAACATTTGGAGGGATAAAGTTCAGTACAATGTGGGACCTCCAAGATAAGTAAGTTGACTTATGAGTAGGTTTACAACATGGATATTTTGCTAGAACAGCTCTCTATCTCTACCTAGTATTCAGTATTTAGATGAGTGAAACTGAAGCTAAAACTGAGCCATCCACCATCACCAACGATGGCATTGAGCCTTCGGCCGTGGGCTTTCCGTGGCAAAAGAGCAGCCAAGAAATAGTTTGGGACGGTTTAAGCAAAAAAATCAAAACATGAGTTTTAATAGGATTTACTGGTATTTAATGAGAATTTTAATGAGATTAAATGGACGATTTAATCAACAACAATTTTGGATCTATAGGGATATACGTGGAATATAAGGGGAGAATGTCATTGGGCTATTGGGAGGACACATACTCTTCGGTCTCATTAAACATGGCTAGCTGGTGTGTTCATGGGAACATCATCCAACGAAGTAGGGAATTTTCCATCGCCATGTTGGATTATTGGAGTGTAAACCAAATTTATGCTCGTGTTTTCATGGGAAACATGATACGATTCACTCGTTTTGATTTGGGATACACCATGATATACCATACCATCCCCCTATAATGAATATTAACAACCCCCATTCTATGGTCCCACATAGATGTGATTTCATCCCCTACATCCACCATGCTTTCAGTAGCAAACATTTCGGCTCCTTGGCTCAACAGTATCGCGGCAAACTGGTTGTATAGATAGAGATGATAGGGTATATCCCGGTTGTTGCTAGCAATATCCCAATCCCAATGTTCCTCAATTAAATTCAATTTTCTCTTGGTTCAATGGCAGTTTGGAGACTTAATCACCATTCTTGTGGCTTAAACACCCCACTTTCCTTGTTGATCAAAACCCATACTACCACCCAAATACTGGCGGTTTCAAACGTCATTGCTCCATTAAAAATGGATCAAAATGGCAACATTTTGTAAAACCGATATTACTCCCCAGCAATGTAACCCTGATGATCGTAAGTCCACGTTTTTTTTTTTGTGGTTACAGTACCCCATGTAAATGGGTGAAGTATGTAATCCCATTTGCTGACCAGTGACATCCAGTGGGGTGAATCAACCACTATTATCCAATTATTAATCAATAATTACTATTAAATCTATTAATAACTATTAATCACTGTTAACCACTATTACACCATTAATCACTAACCATCATAAATTAACCATTACTAACCACCATTAATCACTGTTCCGTCCATCCCCAATGTCACTATTCACCAGTTCACCACATGGAGGTTTCCTAAAATAGGGCTGCCCCCAGTTCTCATCCATTTGAGATTGGGATTTTCACAAAAACCATCCAGCTGGGCTATCCCCATGACTTAGTAAACCCAAAAACCATCGCCCCATGCTCCGCAAAAAAAAAAACTTGTGCCTCTCATCGTCTTCAATGGCAGCAATGTCCAAGGCTGGAGCCGGTGGCTCTCGGGGAAGGAGAAGCCTCGAAAGAAGAAGTTCCAAGGATCAACTGAATATACCGGGAATACCACAAGAAAAGGCTTCTGATGGCTTATGTTTAACGTAGTTATTCTACACGGTTTTCTGACCATAAGATGGGATTGATCAGTGATATCAAGTTTATTGATATCATGAATTATGGGACTCTAAAAAAGGATATATATATATACATTGGGGATATTACTCTGATATGTACTAGGATATAGGCTAACCAACCTGCTGGTAATTGGGAATTGGGATCATCGTCCCGTTGGACAGCGAATGGTGCACTGGTGGTCTGGACTCTTGGGGATAGGCACTTCCAACGCGCATGACTAGGTGTAACAATGCAACTAATGATTATACATGTAGTACATAGATATTAAATATGTATACCATCCAGTATTTAATATTATATGTGTATGTACACCAACCAGTATTAAATATGTACACCAACTGGTTGGTGTGATCTCCATATTAAATACTGTTGGTATTCAGCTTTGATGGAGATCACACCAACCAGAGAATCTGCCCGCCCTTTTAGGGCTGCAGCTCTTGTACTCTGCCCTCCATAGCTCCGGCGCATCGAGGATCTTTTGATGAAAAAAGGGAAACTATAGGCCCTGACTGGGCACTGAAGGTGGAGAGGATATACACATATGTAAATATATGTATATGAAATAAATTATATATATTATATACATATTAAATATATATATATATATTATACAGTATATACACGCTTATTCGAGTAACTCTATGTCCTTAGATATGCTACATGCCACTCTGAGTCTGCCACTCTTGGTCGGTCAGGATTTCGCAGTTCATGGATTGTGATGGTCATGTGATAATCCCCAATATAACACCCATAACTAATCATCAACCATCATTTATAAGTTATATCACCTATATTCACCTATATTCATCTATATATCCCCATATGTTTATGGGTTAACCATATTTATATATATTTATCATATATTGAACACCATTTCAGCGTTTGTTTTTTGCCCATGCTTCAACGACGTATATGTATATATATATATGCTTTGATCCAGCAAAGAGGCAGTCACGAGGTGCAGGCAGTGCAGTCCAGCTCAAACAGAAATGGTCCCTTTTGGTTTCAAGACAAGTTAAACACTCTGATTAGTTGTCAAGATATCAATGAATATTGACAACTATTAGTCAAACATAGTCAAACTATAATAAACTATATATATAACTGGTTGATTAGTTGTCAAAAATGGTGATTTAAGATGATTTAACCATATTTCATGACTGATTCATATAGTTGTGTTGTGTTGTGTTGTGTTGTGTTGTGTTGTGTTGTGTTGTGTTTTGGAATGATAACCGACGTGATATGGCTTTGTCTGAAATTTGGGCAAAAAGAAGACAACCTCGAAATGTTATTTCTTCGAAAAATAAGAACTTCATTTTCTCCAGACGAAATTTGCCTTTTCTGGGTATCTGGGTATCTCCGTTTTGACACAACACCGTAGCACCCTGACTGTTCCTGACCTGACCCCGCAGCGCCTAGACGGACCTAGACCTGGGGGGACCAGCCTTGAGATATTCCAACTGCAAGGCCTGGCATATGGGAAGCTGTGAATCAATGGGACATTTATGCCAAAGAACGTTGCAACTTAAGGAACATGTTTGTCTCATATATATATATATATGTATATGTATGTATATATATATATGTATATATATATATATGTATATATATATATGTGTATATATATATTCATATATTATATACTATATGGAACATGTTTTCATGGACTTTTTTGGTTGGCACATATTTTCACCATGCAATTAATAGGAGTTTGATGCTTAGAGGAAAGACATGGATCAAGCGTTCAACGTCTTCAACGAAGAAAAGTTGCGGCCGGGGATGACTGCCCTAAACCTGAGCCATGGAATACCCTGTTTTCCAATCTCATCAAATACTGCTTGGTTTTCTAGGTTTCCCTACTGCGGGTTATTCAGTTTGTTTAAGTGCTTCCCCAATATTATTCAACAACCCCAGTAGTAAAACTCCCTATCGGCCCTCACTGCCAATCTTAGATACACTGCAAAAAAAACAATTGTTAGCTGGTTAGTAGATATTCCGAATTAGCAAAAAAAAGGATTAAACTACTAATCCAGTCGGTTGACCTAGTAAATAACCATAAACATCCATAAGCTAGCATAGATGTGGAACATCAACCATGATATTTGAAGACTTAAAGACTATGATTGTCCCACAGTTTTTCCACATCTTTCTGCTTACCCTAGGCCAACCAAACCAGTCAACCACGGCCTGGGAGGTTGTGAAGCTAGCTGGAGAGTTCACCAAGTTGTTCTCAAGCCCAGTCATCCAGAACAACACGTAATACATAGAACCTCTGTCATAAAACAACGACAACATCACTGGCTTTGTCTTGTAATTTGTTTGTTGTTTTTTTTAACCTTCAAGTTATAGCCATTTTAATAGGTAAACTGACGACACACACCAGTGGATATGGCAATACCCAACCCAACAAAAAACACATTCAACAAGTAAAGTTATATGGGTATGGGTCAATACCTATAGATACATTTTTAATGGGATGAACATCCATTTACCAGCTATTTTGATGTTCACCGGGGGTACCAGGGTTTTGACCCATCCCCATGGTTTTCCCCACATCTTCCCACATTTTCCCACCATCTCCTAGGCGCTAAATGGGCAGCACCTTGGCATCTTTGGCCATGACTCTGAAAGCTTCCACAGCTGCTCGAGTGCCTGGGTTCCACACAAAAACATGCTGAGTCACAAGGCATTTGTTTCATGGTGATTAGACGCCAATATAATAACTATATAATAACTATATCATAATTATATAATAACTATATAAAAACTATATCATAATTATATAATAACTATATAATAACTATACAATAACTATATAATAACTATATAGTTGTAAAAATTAACTAATAGTTCTATGATAACTAATTCATGGTAGTAGAGTATGTAATGTTCATTGATGTTATTAATTTAGTAATCATTTGTTGGAGAAGATATTAATGGTGATTGTGTATAATGGTGAAAAGGGAAAACATAAGAACTGGGATTGTTATATACACTTAGTTTTGATCAGAGAAAGGAGTGTTATATATACGTATATACACATGATTTCAGACATTTAAATAAGTATTGAATGTTTGCAACACAGTTATCTTTTCTGGCAAGTCACTATGGGATGTTTATACAAAGTAGAATTAACCATAATAATAATAATACTAATAATAATAATACATGGTGGAAAACATAATAAAACATGGTGGATGTACCTCACATTCAAGACCCCCAGCGTTTGGGACCCCAAAATGAATAGGCACAATAGAATGCAAGAGTTTCTAAAAGGCTGTTGAATTAGACCTATTATACCAGTAGGTGAAAGGTCATAAACTAAACAGGTCGATCGGGATCACCAATCGCCAACTAGGATGATTGGAATCTGCAGTTATGGCCCATAACAAATACCAGTTATAAGTACCGTCATAAGTCACCCCATTTAGGGTTATAATCTCATAGACATATATAGTTATATAGAAATAACCAGTGAATCCAGTGGTAACTAATAAATGGCCATAACATGCCATAACTCTGGATCGTTGGATTTCTGTAAAGTACATCCCCAACACCATTGCCCTTAAAAAACATGGACCGTCTCGAGGGACTGATCCCTTTGAGCCGCGATCGATCGCGGCCAGTCACCATGCATCTGGTTGGTGAACCCATCCCAAAAAAAATATTCAAAAATATGATATGGGATTTTTGTTGGATTATATACCAATAATAGTGGTTATATTACCAACAATAGTGGTTATAATACCAATAATAGTGGTTATATAATATGGTTATATGATGGGATATGTATACATTACTGGTTGGAGGTATACCTACCCCTCTGAAAAATATGATGGAGTTCGTCAGTTGGGATGATGACATTCCCAACTGAATGGAAAATAAAATTCATGCTCCAAACCACCAACCAGGATATAGTCATCTCAACAACAATCATCCCAGTGCTAGTGTTTTTTAACAACAAATCGGAGTGAAACCCGCAACCAGTCATCCGAATTTGTTCATTTTGGGAGTCATTTTTGACTCACAACTATCCCATATTATCCCATCAGTTCGCATCAAACATCAGCCCTGAGATCAGCCATGAAAAAAAGTGGCACCTCCCACTGTGAAGCTGCACTTGTGAAGGTAACCACTGATCTCACAGACCTCCGGCAGGACCGGCAGACCATTGTAACCGAGTACCGGAGGATCACAAGAGGACAAGCGCAAGTCGAAGCAAGAACGTTGAGATACAAACACATGAATCAACGGGGAAACTCGATCGATTTCAAAATACCCCCCATGAGATAAATGCACTGTGCGAATGGATTATGTTCACCACTTTCGATTCTTGGGATTGTAGATTCACATACAATGGGTCATCACGGCCAATCTTAGACAGCCTGCATTTTTTATAATTGTTAATATGTTTCAACCAAGCTGTTTGGAAAAAACAACACAATTCGCATCAATTAACAAACATTAAAAACAATTAGCATCAAGTAACATCGAATAAAATTAGTTAACATCAACTAACATCAAGTAACATCAAGCAACATCAAGTAACATCAGTTAACATCAGTTAACATCAATTAACATCAACTATCATGAATTAAAATGAAACAACATCAAGTAACATCAAGTAACATCAGGTAACATCAATTAACATCAATTAACATCAAGTAACATCAAGTAACATCATTTAACATCAATTAACATTAATTAACATCAAGTAACATCAAGTAGCATCAGTTAACATCAAGTAACATCAAATAGCATCAAGTAACATCAACTAACATCAATTACCATCAAGTAACATGAAGTAACATCAAGTAACATCAGTTAACATCAGTTAACATCAAGTAACATGAAATAACATCAAATAACATCAATTAACATCAATTAACATCAAGTAACATCAATTAACATCAAGTAACATCAAGTAACATCAAGTAACATCAAGTAACATCAATTAACATCAATTAACATCAGTTAGCATCAAGTAACATCAGTTAGCATCAAGTAACATCAGTTAACATCAAGTAACATCAAATAGCATCAAGTAACATCAATTAACATCAATTAACATCAAGTGACATGAAGTAACATCAAGTAACATCAGTTAACATCAGTTAACATCAATTAACATCAAGAAACATCAAGTAACACCATTTAACACCAATGAACTTAATTAACATCAAGTAACATCAAGTAACATCAGTTAACATCAAGTAACATCAAATAACATCAAGTAACATCAATTAACATCAATTACCATCAAATAACATGAAGTAACATCAAGTAACATCAATTAACATCAATTAACATCAAGTAACATCAAGTAAAATGAGCTAACATCAAGTAACATCAATTAACATCAATTCACATCATTTAACATCAAGTAACATCAAGTAACATCATTTAACATCAATTAACATTAATTAACATCAAGTAACATCAAGTAACATCAGTTAACATCAAGTAACATCAAATAGCATCAAGTAACATCAACTAACATCAATTACCATCAAGTAACATGAAGTAACATCAAGTAACATCAGTTAACATCAGTTAACATCAATTAACATGAAGTAGCATCAAGTAACAATAATAAAACATCAAGAAACACCAAGTAACATCAGTTAACATCAATTAACATCAAATAACATCAATTAACATCAATTAACATCAAGTAACATCAATTACCATCAAGTAACATTCAGTTAACATCAGCTAACATCAATTAACAACAATTAACATCCATCAACATCAATTAACATCAGTTAACACCAACTAACATCAATTATAATAACATCAAGTAACATGAAATAACATCAAGTAACATCAATTAACATCAAGTAACATCAAGTAACATCAAGTAACATCAAGTAACATCAAGTAACATCAATTAACATCAATTAACATCAAGTAACATCAATTAACATCAGTTAACATCAATTAACATCAATTAACATCAAGTAACATCAAGTAACATCAAGTAACATCAGTTAACATCAGTTAACATCAATTAACTATGTATTTAATAACTATAATACATTTTTCAGGTACTAAACTACCCATCCAGCTGGTTCCACCATCGGCTCACGGCACTTCGCCAGCTTTGAGGCACAGTTCACACACCTGGGCGATCCCCGTGGAATGGGGTTTTCATGGGAAAGCCACTATGAATGATCCATGATCCATTTCAAGGGTGATGTTCATCATACATTATGTATATATGGAGGGTACTCCCATTTATGGAAAAATCTACTCCCATTTATGGACAAGTTCTTGTGAAATAATGACAAGCACCATTGTATTCTACCTAAAAACAATACTGTTCTATATCTCGGAGGTATTATATCGCGTTTTATCCCACGACAAAGCAGAAATTACTGTAACCAACCAAAACAAGATTTGAGCAGCCAAGCATGAGGGAGTTGTCACAAGCAACCAAGAATTTGGAATAGAATGGGTTTGGGTGGCCAGCGTTTCGAATTCTATTCTGGGGAAGGTGGAACCATACTCACATTTACTATATTATCTATATTTCTGGAGTCAAACGTGGAAGGATGATTGCATGGATGTGTCTGTGACTGTAGGGTGGTGCCGCGAACCGTTTTCTCTTCGTGTTCTTATCACCGATACCTAATCCTACCTCCAGCGTATCGATTTCAAATTGTCGCAGCCTCGCATCAACGATGCACATGCAAACCCAATGGTTCACAGTGAAGTAAAACCAACCTCCAGACAAGAGTAGGGACAAAGGTGAATCAGAACACGACATAAATACATTGTGGCATCTAAAACATGTCAAGACTTGGATTTATAGATGCTTTTCCCATTGAAAGGCCCAATTAGTTTGTGGAGTTTCCAGCTAGCCACGTTCAATTTGAGGGTAGGCCAATGCTTCAAGTCTACGTTTCCCTCCCGGACGTTTTCAGCCATCTGCGCACCTTTGGCTCATCCAAGCCAGTTACCCAAAGAGTGGCCTACGCTTTCGACAGGGCTTGAATCACAGCTCTTCCAAGTTCGGATCAGACACACCAAACTCGAAAAAGATCGCCTGATGACCTTTATTTACTACCTCCATAATATTGAATGCACACAAGCTCAAACAATCCCCGACCGCGCACCACACTTGGATTTTTCCGTCGATGATGGAGAAAAGAGTTGTCACTACGCATCACATTCAGCAACAGCAACAGAGTGACCACTTTTGCACCTAAGATTACAGTGACACTTAAGGTTCAGACTATTTCAGACTCGTAAATGTGATGATTCACCAGTCGAAACAATCGGAATTTCATCTCAAAAAAGGGCCCAAGCAGAGCCCGTGTCCCTATCCTGGCGCTCACTTCTTCGGCACATCGGCCATGGTCTTGGCAGGCGGCAGGAGGAAGCTCAGCACGGCTGCGAAGAGGATCACACCGGCGCCGGAGAGTCCAAAGAGCAGGTAGAAGACGTTCCAGGACAGGCCGGCAATGCCAAAGGCACCAAGAGCCTCCTTGGTGAAGAGACGGTCAATCAGAGTGCCCACATCCTCATTGCCAGTGGATGCTGCCAACACACGCTGGGGCAGAGCAAGTGCCAATCCAACAGTCAAGCCAAAGGCAAGTGGCATCATGGAAGGAGAAGACTCCATGCTGGATTCCACCTGTTCAACTGGTGCTGCCATGGCTGCGCCAACCTCGTGACGTGGAGCCTCACTCTTTCCGAAGGCGGCTGGGACAAAGCTCTGAACGGATGACAAAGCAAGGATCACCAGGCCGCAAGCATTCATCTTGGAGGCAAAAGCCATCTTGCTTCAAGTGCGGATAAAGGGCAGCTAGAACACGGGCACTGCTTGACTGGCTTTAAAGTGCGGTGACAGTTTATATATAATTATAATTATATATATATAAATATATATATATATTAATATGAATGTCAAAACAAGCAATCGCTTCAGTAACTTTCCACCAAAATGCAATCTTGTAATGTGTGCTCATCAATCACTCTCAGCCAACGCTGGCTTTTGAAAAAAACAAAAGATATCCAAAGTAGATACGCTAGTGATTGCACCTCACACTTTACTGATTTTTTTCCGGTGACTTTCGGAAACTGCGTGACAAATTCATCGCAAGGAGTAGGTCATGTCGAATGTCAAGTCCGTCCCTTTCGTATGCCTCAACTGATCTGAGAGCAGAATGCTTCAACTTTTTTTCCACAGTTTGCTCTGCATGGATTGTTTCATCCCACGGGAAAACTCATATCATCAACATTTGGCAGCTACTGCTGAGCCTATCGAAGCTCCTGAAATTTGGCACGCAGCACAAGCTGGGCTTGGAGGTCAGTTTGCCAGTCCGGAGCTTTCTCACTTCTTTGGCACATCGGCCATGGTCTTGGCAGGCGGCAGGAGGAAGCTCAGCACGGCTGCGAAGAGGATCACACCGGCGCCGGAGAGTCCAAAGAGCAGGTAGAAGACGTTCCAGGACAGGCCGGCAATGCCAAAGGCACCAAGAGCCTCCTTGGTGAAGAGACGGTCAATCAGAGTGCCCACATCCTCATTGCCAGTGGATGCTGCCAACACACGCTGGGGCAGAGCAAGTGCCAATCCAACAGTCAAGCCAAAGGCAAGTGGCATCATGGAAGGAGAAGACTCCATGCTGGATTCCACCTGTTCAACTGGTGCTGCCATGGCTGCGCCAACCTCGTGACGTGGAGCCTCACTCTTTCCGAAGGCGGCTGGGACAAAGCTCTGAACGGATGACAAAGCAAGGATCACCAGGCCGCAAGCATTCATCTTGGAGGCAAAAGCCATCTTGCTTTAAGTGCGGATAAGAGGCAGCTAGAACACGGGCACCGCTTGACTGGCTTAGCTTGGGCAATGAGAGCAGGGCGAGGGTATAAAGACAAGCGACATGTTATATGGTTTTAGAAACACAACTTGATAGTGTATGTTGAGAGTTAACAAGTACCAAAGACACCAAAAATTGCTGCTCACCAATGTCTAATTTCTAGTCTGGTTGATGGTTTCCGCTTAACAACAAATCAGCTGATCAAACACCCCAGCCTGGTCCGAGGCAGCGTCAGACAGAACTTTGGCCCTTTGAATCACCAAACTGAGGCCGTCTTGGAAGGAAAACACACCTGAACGCGCGTTTCGACAGGGCAAAAACTTCATGTGTGAAGGGGCATGATGAACAGGGCTTTGATATATACTGTACCAATTGGGAGAAACACTAGAAACACAGAGAATGCTTGCCATCTAGATAATTGATTACATGATGCCATGTGTTTGGAAAACTCATTTTGCAGCCTAACGGCGTCGGTCATACCAAAGTTCACCCCTCCATTGCCAGAAAAAAACACAGCATCAAGGGCAGAAGGGAAGAACTGTCCAGGCACCTTAGCTGTACCAAGCATCACTTAGATTCTGATGATATGATATGGGCATACCGGCATACCGCAAAAGAATGGCTTGGTAGATTACTTCTAAACATCTATGGATATGGTGAATGGCAGATAATAACAACACTTTGTGAGTGGGGGGTCTTATTTTATGACCCATGCCCTTCTGATTTTCGAAGTAAGCGTGACAAACCATGGCTGGCACAGCTCTGCATTCCCAATGCTGGCATTCTGCCCTTCAAGATCAGCAACCTGATCCTTGTGGGAAAATGGTGCAAATCAAAAGGCTATCCAATATATAATCATTACATTCAGTTCCTTCTCATCTGTACCTGGGCCGTTTTGACCAAGAGAAAAAACAAATAGGTTTTGTCTTGAGATAGCTTACCCCAGAATTAATAGAAAAAACAAAAAGGCTTTGTCTTGAGATAGCTTACCCCAGAATTCCGATGGTGTATCATAACTGTCCCCCATAAATTGCCATAAATTGAGGTATCATCCCTTTTTTTCGGACACACCCAAATACCATGTAGTAGGTTATGATATATCCACATTGTATCCCCATTTTTGTTAAATCCTCACGATTGCGGATACAAAAAAAGTTGTTCGGGGCCCCAAACCTAGGATTTAGATTTACGCTCTTGGCCAATTCATTTTCAATATACCCCCGATACAAGATGTTCCCTCGATGGATCCAGGCATATCAGTGATTTTTGGGCCTCAGAAAAGTTGAGAAGTGTTCAAAACCCGCTGTCATTCCAATATATACAGGGTAGCATAACCCCGGAACCAATCATAAAACAAACATCATTTATCATTTATCATTTAGCATTCTATCCTCATCTCTTAGATAGCTAAAACCTCTTAAAAAGCACTTTAAATCGCATAATTGATGATGAAACTCCCTCAAAAATCCCAGCAAACATGCTATGGTCCTTGACACTTCAACGATCCTGTCACCCCCCGGTCCAGTCCTGCAGCTGCAAGTGCTGCGTACTCACCTACTGAGAGACCAGCAAGGACCTGCACTTTGAACGAAAAATTGGGTATAGGTTATGAATCAATTGGTGCGTCTTTAATGGTATGAACACCATTAAGCATTGTGGTATACCCAACGAAGAATTTCTGCATCCTATAATATGGCTAATTGATGGTGGCAAATATGGGTGAACCATCAACAATCGTGGATTTGACCAGCAAGCATTGAGGAAAAACCCACCAACATGGGCTAAAGACAAGTGAAAACTAAAGCTAAGTTGGCTGAGTTGTCACTTGGGCACTGCCTTGATAGTGTTTCGTGACATGGGACAGTCGATTGCTACACCTGTCTTTCCTTTCACATAATGATTATGTATAAACAGATGTAGGGCACACGAGAATGCTCACTTAAATGTAATGTACAAGAGTATGCCCATTAAAGCTGTGTACCAAAGTTCAATTCATTTCGATGCTAGATGTCTTCAGGGCCGCTGCCTCAAGCTCTGGTGAGATTCACACTCTAACATGTGGACTTACCTATGTGAGATCTGTTTTCACCAATTCAAAACCATAAAGTAGTGAGGTCCCATTTTTTTCGCGGGAACAAAAGATACTTCCGCACCTGGAAGTTACCGGCCTTAGCATGGGCAGAAAGCAAGTTCTTGCAGTGGTCCAGTGGGGGCCTTTTTTTGCAGTCTCTAAATTGGGAAAAATAGGGATATGATTGCAACATCATCTATATAGATGTATAGTGTATATCAGGGATCAACTATTAATCCATAAGAACTCATTGTGATAAGTGTATAACAGATTGATATTTGCTGCCCAAAAATCAAGTGGTTAATGTTTTCAATGTCCCCTGACAAATCAACATATATGAAACTTTGGACCAACTATTGACCAATTCCTGAAGGATGGAACATAAACATATCATGACCAAAACTTAGATTCTTAGATACCCTGCAACCAATTCGATCGTGAGCGATCGTTACCACAAATGTTTTGTTGGCTGCAACGATACACACTGCTATGGAAGCCATGACCCATAGAAAGAGATGATAAACATGATGGTTTACCTGGTACAAATTGGGTACCCTTTTTGTAAAATTAACAGTTTGCGAACTGGAACATCGGACCATTTTTTAGAAAGGTAAATCAGCTATTTCCATGGCTCCGGCGAGATGGGGAATTCTGTAGATGTGTCAAGATAAACCACAATTCAGAACGACTTTTTTGTGAAACCCAATTGTCGGAGTGCTTAAACATGCTGAAAAACCATGGTTAAGCCATGGTTAACCTTTATGTTTGACGGTCAAACCGTAGTTAACCACAAATTTTCTGACGGTCAAACCATGGTTAGACACATATTTTGTGGTTAAATCAGTTAAATCCCCTATTTCCAGGGCCTAAAATTCGACATGTCCAGCCCGGGTCTCGCGCGGGACATTTCTCCTGCTGCAACTTGAGCAAGGCTGCCACTGAGGCCACGTAGAGGGCAGCATGGCTGCAGGTCAGCTCCTCAAGTGACATCGTGAAACCATGGTGAAAAGAATCAACAAGTTCGATATGGTGATTGTGGCTATACTTGGATGGTTGATAGTTAGAATTGGAAGTCCAAGCGAGTGATAATGAACACATGATCATATGTGCCATGGTCAAAAGAGGGAAACTGAATGAACATGATCCATTTTCAACCCAAAAGTAGCTATGTTTTACCTAAACGATCCACCAACTGGGTCCACAGGGTATTATTCACGTATCTACAGTATTCATTCTGCAATGTGGGGCCACCGAACGATATGTAGGTTTGTTTAGGATTGGATGTATGGCCGTTGTATAAATATATGGATGAGGTTAGAAACCAACCTATAACCCGTACCTTATCAGAATGCTATGATGTCATGGTAAAAACATTGTATATCTGGTATGGTCATCCATCCCATAATGGGAATCCCAACATAATGGGTAAATCAGTAAAGCCCTTTTAATATATCTTATTGATGACGATTCCTCAATATTATGGGTGTATAATCAATCTTTTGACCATGGAATTCAATGGATTGGTTTAAGATAGAAACAAAAACATGAAAAATAAAAAAGTGGAGAAAACCCGTGTTTTTCCAGGTAGATCAGTAGATCTAGGAGTTTCCTGTAAGTTGTCCCTTCAACCCTTCTGGGATATTTTTGAGCCATTGTCACACTATCAATTGGTCTGGCTTTCTACTCATACTTGGTGAACCTCATGAATATCACGGCAAGCATCTCAGCCGTGGCGAATGATTCCCCGAACAAACGTGGCACCAATGAACATTCCACGTTTGCAGAAGGTTTTTGGAAACTCACATTTCACCCTTCGAAACTCACACTTCACCTCACAAATCGGTCTGGAACATGATCTTTGTATATTGTTGTATTGGTGTTGTTCATTATGGGTTCCAGGGTTCCAAGTCACGCTAGTGGCCGCTAGTGTCTAGTTTTCAATCGGCATATACCTTAAATACCCATGTGTACTCCCCACTTTTCTTGGTATTCTGCCTATCTTATCAGAATGCCAAGAGCTACCTTCAACTCCCCAGGCTCCCTGCTCCTGAAGGGTGCTTAGCGGCCCATTGAGACAGACCTAACGCTGAAAAGGTGGAGCCAAGTCATGTCGATACCCCAAGAAAGGGATGGTCGGTTGATATTTGTTTCACATCTTTGCCGAACAGAAATACTATGAAAATCTATGAAATACTTCTATTATTGGTCCGAGCGCCTTAAACCTTTACCATCCTGTACCTGGTAAGAACTGTTTCAACATGGCAAAGAACATTTCAGGGAGCGAGAAAGGTTCAGAGGGAAGTTTGATGAACAAATCCAAACATTATGCGGCATGATCTTGTCTTAGTGGTGCATCATCACGTCTGCGGGAGCAAAATGAATCGCTTTATTTATCTTCAGAATTTAGAGCTTCACACCTACAGCAACTCTGTAGTCTATCGTGTCTACAGTCTACAAGTCTATAACGTGTCTACAGTCTATAAGTCTATAAATATAAATGTCTACAACTATAACTATAACTATATAACTTACCCTCTGGTAATTTAACATAGCTATGGAAAATCACCATTTATAGTAGATTTTCCCATGAAGAATGGTGATTTTCCATAGTTTTTTGTTAACGTTTACCAGAGGGTAACCACACTTCGATCAACAAGAAATGGAGGATCTTTGACAAACACCGTCGCCATCTCAGCGTTGCACCTGCAGAAGATCGACTCCAAGAAGTCCTTTGGCCTGGAGAGAGACGATTGGAGAATCATCCCAGAACCCAGCATTTTATAGGGATGATCTCCAATGGGATATGATCATCATTGGACCATCAAAATCCTCCCAGTTCAATGTTCCAATGCTTGTCATTCAAACCTACCATTGGACCATGGGGATGGTTTATATATAATGTCTATGGATGTTTATGGCATCGGATTTACCGTAACCATAGTTCCAACATGTTCCAAGCCACTTATGGGAGAACTGACCATGCTAACTCCGTTTGAGGACTTCCTGCCCAGGCTTGACAGGAAAACGCTTGCGATTCATGGAATGATCCTCCAAGTAGGGGAAAGGGTGCAGCATGGCGACTGTCTCGATTCATGTGCCTCCATGACATGCCAATGATGTTCATGGCCAACCTTAGATACTAACTCACCGCAAACCCATGAACTTGAGCGGTTAGTTTGAGTGAAAAATATACTTGTTACTATTCAGGTCATTATTCTAGCTTGTACATGAACAAACAAGTTTGTGAAACCCATTGTCAGTCATTGTCAAAGGTCCTCCAAGACTCCCGCCTGGCTATTTAACTATGCTATTACTTCTACCAGTTCATCAGTCTTATCCAGTTTGTGATTTTGCATGACCATACTTGCTAACTAATCTTGGTCAACATCTTAATTACTAGTTACCTGCAGTACTTGAAAAAACAATCCTTACTAACTCATATAATCTCCTAATGTCGGTACAACAATGATAAACCACCCATGACTTGGAATGGTTTATACCAACGATTTATGGTGAAATTGGGCGATGGTTTATTGTCTTTCTCACATTATTGAGAATTATGGGATTTCCATTATAGACCAACCATTTGGGGATCCACCATTTATGGAAACCCCCATATGTTCCTATACAAATTTCGCATCAAAACTTGGTTCCTTCCCCGCCTGGCTCAGCAACTCCTTCACAGAGGAGATCTCATGAACATCCCGCAGCATCCCGACATACCTGGACGGTACACCTGGTCTGCTGTTGGATAACTCTGTGTATAATGTATACTATACATACCCTGTGGGAGTACATCATGGGTTACCATGGGTCAATGAAGTTGAATGTACATAATCATCCTGAAGTAGATGGTCTACCAGAAAAACCTTGGTTTCTGGTAAAGATCTAACTCAGATGTTTGTCCAATCAAACAGGTCATGATGATCCCAATGAACCCGTAGCGCACTCGATTCCGGGCAGGCCCGGAAAAATGACGGCCACTGGCTCAGGGGCCTGCGCCAATGCAGCAAAACATCACCCAGTGAATGGTGGTTAACAATGGTTGATAATGGATCTACGGAATGGTGGGGATATTATGAGAATATAATGGGAATGTAATGGGAATATAGTGGTTAATAGTGGTTAATAACGGTGAATAACGGGTGATAACGGTTGATGGGTATATGTCAAAGTAAATTATGTATAATAGATGTGTATATATATATAATATGTATATATATATATATAATATGTGTATATATATATATATACGGTAATATGTAAATATATATATATATATAATATATAATTATGGTGAATATTGGTGCTTTATAGGGACCATAATTGGGATAATAATTGGCACCTACCCTCCAGTGCAATCATTCAGGTGGCTGGAAAATCCCCGAGCAAGCGGAGGTTGAGTTCGCTGGTGGATTTCCCAGCTAGCCACGTTTGATTAGCGGAGGGTAGACCTACATTTTGAAACTTTCACTGGACATATTTAGTTTATATTCTGATGGTAAACCTACATTTAGTTGATATTATGATGGTAAACCATTTATAGTTTCCCTACATGATGTTCTGATCAACTGGAAATATCATCTGGGAGAGTAATCACAAGCTTATCCGGTTGGGAACCCCAGCTCCCATGCTACAAGTTGACCTTCTAGCCCAGGGGGAATGGCTGGGGGCCGCCATTCGCAAGTCAACAACATTGAAAACATCATAGGAATGTAGATGGATGTAGGTGGTGTTTAATTAATGTGGATATCTTTTGGGAAAAATATATATCTTATCGCTACATCACCAACACTGTGATATTCATCAGCTTTGCCCAAGAATGGGAGATGGACTCAATATTCAACGTCATGGCCATTTTGGCAGGACTGCTATGGAACATTCAGCAACAAACAAATGGTGGCTAGCCACCCCTGGAAACAAACCGCAGATCAAAGAAATGAAGGTTTCCTAAGTCATGGGGATACCCCCAGTTATATATATATTATTATATATTATATTATTATTATTATATCATTCATTTTTTTGGGTGGATTTTTCATGAAAGAAACTATCCAGCCATTGGGAATCCCCCATGACTATGGAAACTCCCTGACATTCCCCACCGGCAACTTCACAAAGGCTCGAGGGTTGCTGCCCTGCAGCAATTTCTTCACTTCCTGCAGGATGAAGGAACTGACCCCTTGGTTGATGACATGCGCACCAACCTTTGGCATTGATAATTCATATGATTATTTGCTGCAAGGAATCATATCACCCCAAAAAAGCATCAAGACGTGATATTTAGGTTGACATGGGTCATGAAACACAGTCAGGGTTACCTCCATTTTACTTGGAGGTGTCTAAAAAAGTATCGCACTCCGCCAACAGCCAACGGCCCAGGAGGTTTTTAATCCGAGGTTGACGTCGGTTATGAAACAAACGCAACGGACGAATCCTCTACTCATACGTCATACGTGTTTGGAAAGGATTGGTACAGTTTAATTAGACATACCGGATTTCTTTACATGTGTTGCTTGAATCTTAATCTATTTATGGGCAACCTTAAGTACCTGTCCATGTTTAGCCAGGTATTAGCTTTCTTCCTTTTGCCAAGGATTTTAGCAAGAAAATGCAACGGAAAACGCACATTTTACCGAAGCTGCACTGTCCATATTGGACCCGCGCTGCTCAAGATGCGCCGCGAAACGTCGCGACACGTCGCGAACTGCACTTTGTCAGGTGAAAATTGCTGAGACTTCCAAGATTGAGACTCAGAACAAAATATATCAAAATATGGATAGAGGTATCCCTAAATCCAAACCCAAACACATCCAAGAGACCATTTTATATAGTATTGAAACTTTTTTTTGGGGGGATCCCCCATGAAAATACAGGTCGAAAACCCTGGTTCTCTGATCCCCAAAGTTCAGAGTTGTGGGGGAAGCTCATCAACCCAAGCGTTTGCGAACTGGAACATCACCATCAAATTAATAGGTAAATCATGGTAAATCATTGTAAATCATTGTAAATCATGGTAAATCATGATAAATCATGATAAATCATGGTAAATCCTGGTAAACAATATTGTGTTTTATCATGTATATATATATTCCCATAATCAGAAGTGATTTACTATCTGCGGTATTGACTCATGCACAAAAGGTACATTCTGTGTGTTCCACGCTGGTCAACAGGTTTCGAGGTTGAAAGATCCTAAACAGAAATGAATAATTATTGGATGATTCCCAAGCAATTGGAAGATGGAACTGTTGTGATTCTTGCCTTTCATTCATCTGATCTTTTCCAGAAACCCTGATGCCAAGAGTGACTTGAATCGCTGCGCACTGCTTGGGATGATGCGAATTCCCACCGTTCGGCAGTATCTGTGGTATCATAAGTGCCAGTGCTTGATCTCCTCGAATTGTTCGTGCGGCGAATGCCTGGATTATTCCATCCTATTCCATCTATTTGTCATCCTTGCAATCTCTATTTGAAGTCCCTATAGGATGTTTTTTTCATCCCATGGTTTCAAGAGCTGGTGTATTTCCAGCAGCGGCCACTCAGGCAATCTGCCAAGCAAATATGATGCTTCAAGGGCATATCGACCAGTTCCTGGAGCGATCCCCAAATGGTTTTGCTGCCAAGATGATAAACATGCCAACCAAAGGTTGCCCAGGGTTGCAACTGTATTGTCAACTGGGTAAGTAAAGCATGCACCCCTCAAGAATAGTTGGATAGGATGTGTAGAAAAATAAGTTGTCATATGTTTGAAGCTTCTTTAACACCTTTTCTGTTGGTGACATTCCCGCAACATCCTCTAACCAATATTAGTCACCAGGTTTACAATTGTTTTCAGGTCTGCTCTGTCTCCAGCCAACAAAAAACATGTATCAACCATTCCACCGTCGCCTAAATACCTTTCCAAAAAAAAATATTGGTTGAAATCTATCCCCAGACAAAGTAACACATCCAGCAAATTCCCCAGGAAAACAATCAAAACAAAAACGTGAAAACACACACACACAAATCATCATAAACCGCACAATCACACCAACCACCCAACAAAGTGTAAGAACAATTCAACAAAAACAACAACAGCAAAATAGTTTTCACCCACAAAACCGAAGGATACATAAAATTCTACGAGCGGCAAGACTCAAAAAACCAAAGACCCCGTAAACCCACCCATAATCTATCAAACATTCACAGCAAACAACATCAAAATCCCTACATCTGTTAACAAATTCCCCCCCAAGATCCCACTCATCAAAATCACGAAATTCACCCGAAGATCCCACAAAATCTTCCAACATCCGAAAAATCCTTCAACTTCCATCCCCAACTCCCTCCTGCGGTGTGCGCACGCGCGCCGCCGAGCTGGCGTCCGAGCCCCTGCGCTCCAAAACAGCCAGGCCCGAGCCGCGCGGCGTGCTGCTGCTGCCTCAGCAACAGATGTCAAAAAGATGTTTTTAAGGGATTTAAAGGATTTTTGCAAGTTTTTATGGAGATTTATTGAAATTTATGGTGATTTATATGGGTTTTTATGGAGATTGTAGGGGATTTATATAGGATTTACATTGTACATGCTTTCAAAGGGATCATTTCCGGGACTGAGAAAATAATTTTGATAGATTGCCCTACAACAATGGGGATATCATAGGAAATCATTGTATAATAATAATTGGGATAACCATTGGGATATGCCCCTTTGTAGTGAAACGTGGCGATTGCTGGGAAATCCTCGCGCTAAATGGAGGTTTATAGCTGCAAAGCATAAATAAATAAATAAATATATATATATATAAATAGGTGATGTTCCATTTCCACGCTTGATTACTGGAGAGATTTGAATAGGTGAACATACCATGAATACTTTGCATATGGGAGTGATGATTTTGCATATGGCTGAGAGTGTTGGCAAAAACAACAACAACATTTTTTTGCAACCATGGAGAAGTTATGAGATGTTACACTCAAACATTTTTGGGAAAAATGAAAAATATTCTACTATGTGCTGCCAATTTGAAGAACATTGGCATTTTAACCTCAAACATTTTGTAAACTTGAACCTAACAATTTACCACAAAATCTTCGAACCAAAAAACATGTGACCATGAAACTTTATGCGGTCACTTGGGTGTATCGAACAACTAAAGTAAGCAGCATAAATGCGTCGATCACATGATTTGCAACCGGGGATCCTAGCAACACAACGGGTCAAATCATTGGTCTCTAAGTCACTGAAGGTTGGGGGGTTGGGTGAAGGTTGGGTAAAATAAATGTGCTGCCCTGGTGCCATTTTCTTTGGTGCTGGCATCTCGCTCCGTCTTGGAAAAGAGCTGTTCCTCCCGAAGGTTGAACTCAAAAAATGGCTGGGAACACTCAAAGTATAAGCTGCAACGCTGGAGATCATCATTTCCAAATACCACAATTCAAAGTGGCAATGGACAATCTACATCAATCTACTATGTATTTCGATGATTTTCCCACGAAAACCTTCCATCTTTTGGGGATTTTCCAATTGCCAGGCTGACACCGAAGGGTGGGTATGAAAATAGAAGCGAGTCCAAGTCACCAACCGGCCTCAACAAAAAGTGTTAGCGGATTTGGGGATGTCTCCAATTCTCGCCCACACACACACCCAATGTAACCATATATATATATATATATAAACCATATATATATATATATAACCATATTTCATGTCATAGTTTTGCCAGAGAAATAAAAAATAAATGGTTTTACCAAACATCATATTATGGAGGTGTGACAATCTATCTTGCTGTCTTTTCTTCAAGAACAACCTCAACATTTGCAGCCAGGTGTGTCCATCCCAGCTGTGAACAAAGATACACTCGACATGAAATTCAGATGGATGAGATCTTCCCACTACATGTGACACTCAAAAAAATGCATCAAATTCCGCACATATCTTCAAATACAAACTTACGTGCAAGAGACATTTCAATACATTTCAGCCAAACTGCATACCCAGCATCATTGTCTCCCCCGATCTCATTCCAGATAAATTATCGGTATTGCAAATCGAGAAGATCATGCTCAACGCCCAGTTTTGGAGGCGATTCCCAGCCTGAAATTCTCTTATGGCAGCTTCTTCTTCGGCTTTCATTGCTTCCTGTCAGGCACAACCAAAGGAAGATGCATGAACGGCAAACCCAACATAGTAACAGCTATGCACATCAAGAATGATTGTCAATGGAGATATGACCAACATGTGGTAAAACCCAATGCCACACACCTCCAATTTGGGATGGTCTATACCACCCATAAAAATGGCAAACCATTGCTGTTCCGATCCTGGTTACCAGTGAGGTGTGGATGAAATATGATGAAATCCCCCAGCATTTTGGCGAACTCCTGCCATTTTTTTGTGACGGTAAAGTCCCTCTAAAATAGCAATCTCTTCAGAGTTTTTAGTGACTCACCAATCTGATCAAAATATGAAGGTTACGTTGGGGAAGCTTAGCCGATACTGATACGTGGATATGCTTCATGGGGGACATTAAAACTCAAAAAATCCAGGAAATTAAACACTCATCTTCAACCACACATTCTTATACTGTTATTATTTCTCCCCTCGCAGCATGAATCTTGACTTTCATGATAACTTGGGTCCCCCATGGTTTAAGAAACCAAGGTTGCCATCCAGAGTTCTATATTCATGACATGGTATCAAATCTGTACCCAGATTGATACCTAAACCCTCTTGTAATTTAACATAGCTATTGAACATGGCCCATAGAAATAGTCGATTTAGCTCTTAAAAAAATGATTTTCCATGTTTATTTGTATGTTTACCAGAGGGTATGGCCTACTAAACCACTTTTGTTCGACTGGGATGACCCCCTCCTTCAGGCGAGCCATGGCTTCACCAGCAGCTCCAGGAGGCACGGTCACCTGGCGGATCCGGAAGGCGGACCTCGATCTGAGGAAACAAGGACTTTCATCGGACATGAACAAACAATGTATATATATATGATATGATATGATATGAAATGATATGATATGATATGAAGTGATATGATATGAAATGATATGATATGATATGAAATGATATGATATGATATGAAATGATATGAAATGATATGATATGATATGAAATGAAATGAAATGATATGAAATGATATGAAATGAACTGAAATGAAATGATATGAAATGAAATGATATGAAATGATATGATATGAAATGATATGATATGAAATGATATGATATGATATGATATGAAATGATATGATATGATATGAAATGATATGAAATGATATGATATGATATGATATGATATGAAATGAAATGAAATGATATGATATGAAATGATATGATATGATATGATATGAAATGAAATGATATGAAATGATATGAAATGATATGATATGAAATGATATGATATGAAATGATATGAAATGATATGATATGAAATGAAATGATATGAAATGATATGATATGATATGAAATGATATGATATGAAATGATATGAAATAAACTGAAATGATATGATATGAAATGATATGAAATAAACTGAAATGATATGATATGAAATGATATGATATGAAATGAAATGATATGATATGATATGAAATGAACTGAAATGATATGATATGAAATGATATGATATGATTTGAAATGATATGATATGAAATGATATGATATGACATGATATGATATGATATGACATGACATGATATGATATGATATATATATATATATATAAATAATATGATATGATGTAAATATATATATAATATGAATGGTATGATATGATATTTGGTAAAAATCAAATAGTTCATAAATGATTAAAATAGTTCACTATATTTTTAACACAACATAGTTCATAAATGAAAGTATCAGTCTGTGGTGTACTTTATTCCTCGATTTATGTCTATATAAAATGTATATGGGAAAATACCCATACAATATTTTCTAATGATTTGAGCAAATCTGGGAATGCCAAGCATCACCCATCCCTAATCTAATATCTTGATATCATGCCATCATGACTTCACGATAGCCATGGAAAATAACAAAACAAAAACAAGAACAATAACAAGAACAACAACAACAACAACAATAACACTGACAATTAACTAATATGAAAATGAACCCCATAGACTATGGCAATTTCAAACAAGCTTCATGAATATGTGAATACTGTTGAATGCGCAATACCTGGTCTACTTCAGGGTAATTAAATAATATGTACATATACTCATATACAATACCATAAATCTAAAGCCACACTTATGAGTATATCCATGATAAGTAAGCATAAGATCATCATCCATAATTCCATGCTGGTCATATGGAGGTTTCCTAAAATGGGGGTACCCCCAAATCATCCGTTTAAAAATGATTTTCCATGAAACAAACCATCCAGCTATTGGGGTACCCCCATGACTTAGGAAACCTCCAAATATATATATATATATTATGTACATATCATATACCCATGATCCCATCATTCTGCCATAGGAATCCCCCCAAAAATCACCACTTTACCATACAGCCATATGTTAAATCATGGAAACCTCCACATTTCACACCACAGAAAAAAATAGGTGAAAAAGTCAAATATGACCGTATATATCCATATGTATATGTATACATATCCATATTTCACCCGAAAAAATATATGTGCCATATGTGACCATCGTGAATCAATATCATCCAAGTCACCGCCCTTGCGCAGGGCACCGCATTCTTCCAGGTCTGCTGCAGCCCTTCGCCGGGCGGACAGATCTGTGGCTTCAGCAGATCCATCGTGGCGCCCTCGGGGCAGGCGCCTGTGCCGGCGCCCTCCAGCAGGTCGTTGGCCAGGGCCGTTGAGACGATTTCGATCTTCATGGCTTTTCCTTAGGGATTTTTTTGGGTGGGACCAGGTGGAACCATGTGGCATCTATATATCTACATACCTATCTTTATATATATATATACTAGGCGCAGATGACACGGGACTTTGCGGCCAATTTAGCCGAGGTTTTTTGGCACATGACATGGGATTTATGTATCGATTTTGCTATGTTTTTTTTTAAACATGACATGGGAATTATGCGCCGACCTAACGGGCAGGTATTTTTCCATTTTATTGACAGATGACATGGGAATAAGTGATCAAATTTACACATGACATGGGACTTCCAGGGAGACACAGACGTCCAAGATGGGAAATGGCAGGTAAGTTCCTTTAAATTCCTCTAAAATTGTTTACATTAATTTCCTTGGAACTCCTTAAAAGTCATTTAAAAATTCCTTTAAATTCCTTTAACTTCATTTAAATTCCTTTAAATTCATTTAAATTCCTTTAAATTCCTTCAAATTCTTAAAAATTGTTTTAAATTCATTCAAATTCCTTTAAATTCCTTAAAAGACGAATTAACCACATGACATGGGACTTCCAATTCCTTAAAATTATTTGAAATTCCTTTCAATTCCTTTAAATTACTTTAAATTCCTTTAAATTCTCTAAATTCCCTTAAATTCCTTAAAAGACAAATTTACGACATCACATGGGACTTCCAATTCCTTTAAATTCTTTTAAATTCCTACAAATTCTGTGAAATTCCTTTAAATTCCCTTAAATTCCTTGAAAGATGAATTTACCACATGACATGGGACTTCCACTTCCTTTAAAGTTTTTTAAAATTCCTGTAAATTCCTTTAAGTTTTTTGCATTCCTTTAAATTCGTTTAAATTCTTTTTAAAATAATTGAAATTCCTTCAGAAAGTCCTTGAAATTCTTGCAAATCCCTTTAAATTCCTTAAAATACGAATTTTCCACATGACATGGGACTTCCAGTTCCTAAAAATTCCTTTAAATTCTGTTTAATTCCTTTAAATTCTTTGAAATTCCTTTAAATCCCTTTAAATTCCATTCAATTCCTTGAGCGATACATGACATGGGCCTTCCAATTCCTTAAGATTCTTTAAAATTCCTTTAAAACCCTTTAAATTCTTTTACATTCCTTGAAACTCTTTTAAATTCTTTTTAAATCCTTAAAAATCCTGAGAATTCCTTGAATGTCCTTAAAATCGCTTTAAATTCCTTAAACGACGAATTTACCACATGACATGGTACTTCCAATCCCTTTAAATTCTTTCAAATTACTTAAAATTCCTTTAATTTCATTCAAAATCCTTGAAATTCCTTAAAAGACGAATTTACAACATAACATGGGACTTCCGATTCCTTAATTCCTCAAAAGTCTCTTAAATTCCTTTAAATTCCTTAAAAGACGAATTTACCACATGACATGGGACTTCCAACTCCTTAATTCCTTAAAATTCCCTGAAATTTCCTTTAAATTCCTTAAACGATGAATTCACCACATGACATGGGACTTCCAATTCCTTTAAATTCCTTTAAATTCCCTTAAATTCCTTAAAACGACAAATTAACCACATGAGATGGGACCCAATTCCTGTAAATTCCTTTAAATTCTATAAATTCCTTCAAAATCATTAAAAGATGAATTTACCACATGACATGGGACTTCCAATTCCTTTAAATTCCCTTAAATTCCTTTAAATTCCTTAAAAGACGAATTTGCTACATGACATGGTACTTCCAATTCCTTTAAATTCGTTTAAATTCCCTTAAATTCCTTAAAACGACAAATTAACCACATGAGATGGGACCCAATTCCTGTAAATTCCTTTAAATTCTATAAATTCCTTCAAAATCATTAAAAGATGAATTTACCACATGACATGGGACTTCCAATTCCTTTAAATTCCCTTAAATTCCTTTAAATTCCTTAAAAGACGAATTTGCTACATGACATGGTACTTCCAATTCCTTTAAATTCGTTTAAATTCTTTGAAATTCATTTTAAATTCCTTTAAATTCTTTGAAAGATGAATTTACCACATGACATGGGACTTCCTTTTCAGTTGCCCCCTGGCGCCGTTGCGGGCCGTCCCGGGAAATTCATAAGCAAAACAGCTGCCGAGAAGATCGGGCCACACGGAAAAAAGAACGCAAGCAGCAAGTGCAAAAGACTTCCCTCCGCGCTGGGCGGCTGACTCTTCATACGCAACGCAACCAAAATGAAGCAAAAGAACCTGGGTCGTTATTGCAAGGAAGCGTCAAACGCATTGAACTCAACGCCTTCACATGCCTGGATCGAAGATGCTGAGGGCATTGCCGCGTCGTTATCTGCGTGCCCGCGCACAGGGTGCAACTTTTGTTGGAGCACCTGCGGGCACACTAAAGATTTGCTTGTCACCTTACGCGTGCCAACCATACTCACAGACATGCTGCGGCGCCCGGCTTCCATTCAACAGCTTCTGGCTTGAAGTGCGTCTGGAGAGCTGCCTGTGACAATTGGGGGGCTAGGGCAAGGGTGGCATTTGCAGTAAAATTGATCGAAAATCTAAAAATGGAAGCGCAAGTTAGGACCGGAAACCCTGGCTCGCCTGCAGAGTGCTCGTGCCCTGCTCCACCCGCGCATTCAGGAGCCAATACCTCGGCGGGCAAACAGCGCAAGCGCCGCGATAGGTTACAAGTATGTTGCGCTATCATGCGGAAAGAAACAAAAAAATGCTTGTCAAGAGGCGGCTCCAGCGTCGTAGTTTCTGCGCAGCAGTCGCACACACTTTTGCACTGCAGCGTAGCCTGCCAAAAAGACACTGCGACGTCGACAGAACAAATGGGACAGCAAAACACCTGTTAAGAAAAGAATGTCGCTACATGCCTCGAACAGGACCCTGACCGGAATGAAATCCTTGCCCTTCGTGCTAATCAAGGGCGGCTCTCGCGAAAACATGAAGGCACACGTGCGCAGGCATGCTTTCAGCCCGTGCGAATTTAGATCGGACCTGCAGCTCTTGGTTCTTTGTCTGCAGGATGTAGGACGCAAATCACTCCGGTGGTTCCATGTCTATTTAGTTGGGGAGGGAAATGATGAACACCTGTCTCAAAAACATGAACTTCCAGAAACCCTCTGCCCGTGCAAGGGTCTTTCCTGACAGAGGGGTACCCGCAGTGATCATCCAGCTATTAATGGTTTTAGTGGGTTTTTCCAACCATCCAGCTATTGGGGTACTCCCATTTATGGAAACCCCCAGTTGTGCTTCATTGAAAGAGGAAGGGTTGGTCATCTTCACTCGGGCAGGGATAGGGGAGGAGGGAAACTTGAGCCCTAGTTCGACCATTTTTCATGGGGAGCAGGGGTTGCAAATGGTCCATGCCAAAAACGTTCCGGCGAATTTCTCCTCCTGGGTTCCATGTATAAAATCTATGTAAAATCGTGAAATTCTACATTTGTTTGTGGGAGGATGAAGATAATTTATAATCGTGCGTACAGATATGGTTTTGAAGAAACCTAGTTGGGAACTTGTTTTAGTGGGATTTGTTTATATCACATCATGTCTTATCGACCAAACAAAGTGGATGTTCAATCGCATTCACCAAAACCCATTGGTTCCTCCTTGACTTGCTAAGCTACCAAATGTCGAAAAGATTGAAGCACGCACTGCACCAGCGAAGCAGCATCAATGATGTCTGGGTCCAATTTTCTGGGGGCCTATGTTTTCCAACATTATTTTCAGGCTTGCTCCGAACATCCCAAATACATCCCAAATACAAGGAGGAAAGAGGAAACTGGGTAAGATAATGAGTGATAATGAGCCAAAATAGAACATGTCCCCTCCGGGTAGATCTCATTTACCATAGCTTGGAGCAAGCCTGTTGAAACTTGTCCATCATCCCCCTGCCACCAGATCCATCTCCACAAAAAGCCGCGTTTCGATCTGCAGGAAGGGTCCTCTGAGAAGCAACCAGCGTGTGGCTCACGTGTCGCTTAAGAATGGGTGTACCAAAGTCTGGGAACGGAAAAAATGTGTCCCATTCTTGGAAGGTCTTCAGGATGTACCAGAGAAGTTGATACACAATGCACTGTGGGACTTCACATGCCCAAAGCTGGTTCCCAGGACGAACTTTGATACCTTGGACACCTCTACAGTGACCACCATGCCATGTGCCATGTAGGGGTTTCCTAGTGTGCCTTCACTACTGTTTTGGTGGGTGGCCATGATGTGGTGTTGTTCAAGAAATTGTACGCCTACACTCCATCAGTTTATGATTACAATCTTCACATTGCCGTACAATTTTGATCTACAGTATATATATGTTGTACACTGTATAGTTCATGTTGACCCATACTCGTATGCCCTGTTTTTTTTGGCTGACCTCGCTTTTTGTACTGCAAATCTATATCTCATGTCTTCGCCTGTGGAAAGGGGGGATCCAATCTCCATAGCTCCTGCTCTTGCTCCCACGGTGGCTGGCTTCAGAATTTGCCGAGTCCTCCTCAAAGTCCTGCGAGGGCAACCCCCCGGGTCGCGTGAGGTTTGTTGGTTTTGTTTACCCCACTTAACTATAGCATACTATAGCTACAATGAATCACCGTAAACCTTGGCCGACTTATTTATAAATCAACTTAGTTGGTTGTAAAGTACAAGATGACGCTTCAAGTTCTCTAACTAAGTTGTTTTGCGCTAGGCTAACTATGGATTATGGTAGAGATACCTCTAATCCTCCAGAGGATGGGGTTATAAACCAACAAACATCACTTGAGGGTACCACCTTCTACATGTGTTTGTGTGTTAAAGACACCCAGCCGAGTGGTGATCCAGATGCATGAAATGATCAGTCAAAATGGCAAGGTAGATCAAGGTATTCGAGTATCAAACCCGCCTTCACCAGCTGGTTGAAAACATTTGAAAACTAGATCTTATATGGTGAACATGGTTTTATATTATGGCTTTATAATACCATGATATAGATCATGGTTCACTGGCTTCCCCAGTTTTTCATCCCCTGGATGGAGATCTCCCCGGTGCGGGGATGAACTAACTGCAGTTCCATGTAGTTAGATGGGGAACATAAGCCAACTATTGATCATTTTTTCATCTTAAATCATGTCAAATCATGCCAGATCCCCAAGGTTGCCCCCCATGACCAATCTTAGACACCCATTTGTAGATGGGTTTACCATGGTTTACCTATTTCCATGAACATTTTCCATATTTTTTGTCTTAAGTACCAGATAAAACCATGAAATCACAAACCATTCAATACTTTTCAGATTCCGATGGGTTCCTATGATTTTGCCTGTCTCTCCTGCCGTTGCCGTTGCCGCGCCACGATGGCCGCCATGTGCTTCCCATGACGCCCGCCACGCGCGCTTTGGGCGCCACGCACTTGAGCGGCGGCGTCGGAGGTGTACCAGCGACAGCTGTGGCTGGCGGCGCCCGGACGCTTCGAGGGCACCTCAGGGGATGCTGTGGGGAGCATCAAAAATCAGCATCGAAACCGGTGGCGTCAACGGATTGGTAAAATCGAAACCGGAAACCATCGATGTTCCCATGAAGATCATGGGACTTTCCTGTAATTTTTCCCTTAATTCAATCCATTGATTGGGTAGAAGTTAATGATTTCCTCCTTTAAAAGGTCTATCAAAGTTTCCCTCTGGGCGATTTGAAGAAGAAACCGCAATGCATCAAAGAAATGGTGTTTTGTCTGAAAATAGGGTCATGATTACAGTAATAATCATTTTCCCGACTATACATACATACATTAATTTACATTACATTACACTACACTACACTACATTACATTACATTACATTACATTACATTACATACATACTTACATTACATTACATTACATTACATGACATTACATGACATTACATTACATTACATTACATACATACTTACATTACATTACATTACATTACATTACATTACATACATTACATACATTACATACATTACATACATTACATACATTACATACATTACATACATTACATACATTACATACATTACATACATTACATACATTCCATACATTACATACATTACATACATTCCATACATTACATACATTACATACATTACATACATTACATACATTACATACATTACATACATTACATACATTACATACATTACATACATTACATACATTACATACATTACATACATTACATACATTACATGACATTACATACATTACATGACATTACATACATTACATACATTACATACATTACATACATTACATACATTACATACATTACATACATTACATACATTACATACATTAAATACATTACATACATTACATACATTACATACATACATACATTACATTACATTACATTATATTACATTACATTACATTACATTACATTACATACATTACATACCATAACATAACATAATATAACATAACATTACATTACATACATACATACATACATATATATATAGACATACATATGTATATGTATATGTATATATATATAAATACATATGTGTAGTAATTATGTCTATATATTATTATATATATTTATATAATATCTTATCTATCATCATACATTAAACACTCCAATTAAACACGCATTAAACACTCCAATTGGGGTATGGCCACCATTTTCAGAATCCAAATGTCACAGCGCTTGCACTGCACATTTTGGCTCTGACCGCTACAACACTCCACCGGGTCCACCTCGTGTCTTTGTGCAACATCCATCAACATCCACTTGCCTTTGTCGGGGTATACCATATATCATCACCCATAGGATCCATGTATGCCATATATGGTAACATTTACCATCAATATACCCCAAATGTTACCATATATGGCATACATGGATCCTATGGGTCATATCATATACCCCAAATAGCCATTTCAATCCATGAATCATGGGAAAATGATGGAACATCGATCAACCAGTGGATTTCATGAAATTCATGTGGCATTTTCCATGCTTTTCCCACCGTTTTTAGAGCCCAAACAAAGTCACACCGCCCCGCCTGCAGGTGTCGAAGGGGAGACTTGGACGAGGAGGAACTTTTCGAGCTGAGATCAAAGGTTTTGCGCAAGGCCTGCGGATCCGCGAAGCCCATCCGCGTTTGGGGGCTACATTGGGTCACATGTATATATGTATATATGTGTGTATGTAAATATATTATTATTATTATTATTACTTTATTACTATTACTATTATATTATGTATATAATAATATAATATATATATGGTTGTTGATCAAAATTCCTTTATCCCGGAACGGCCATTCTTCGCGAATAAAAATTTCACTTTCGCGAAACTTTCGCGAACTCCATGTTTATCTTTCGCGGGGCCCATGTTGGCCAACAACACCTCTTATGAAGATTCGTTCGCCACCTGCCAAATTACGCCAGAGAATCAAGGATCACTTCTTGGTAGCCTTTTAAACATGCAGCTAGCATCACGGAATCCCTTCTCAGGACAATTTTTTTTTGCAAAGTTTACTGGCCCACCCCCTTCAACATGCACTTTGACTTTCGCCCGCTCTTTCGCATAACTTTCGCGGAACTTTCGCGAAAAAATATCCCTATTCACAGACCCCGGCCATCAGCAGGGGGTGCACTGAAGGAAAAGCGAAGACCAGGGGCCTTGGTGTTTGGCTCTCGCAAAGCCTCACTTTTGGAAACTTGGCTACTGCTACTCGCATTCTCTGGTGCCCTTTTCCTGCCGGACCCCTTTACATATAATGATTATAATGCCAAATTTTCGCGAAACTTTCGCGAAATAAAATTTTACTTTCGCGAATTCGAAAAAAAACTTTCGCGAGGGTTTCCAACATAACATGCACGGCTTTCGCAATTAAAGCTTCTTACAAGGACCTTTAGATCGATCACCATATATAATAATAACAATAATAGTAATACTAATATTATGATATATATAATTATATATATAATATGTAAATATATAGGTAAAATGATTCATTTTCCAGCCAAAAGTGGCTCTCATCTGCAGCAAGTGATGGACGGCTCCTGTACATCCGTGCCCTCCAGCACCGGCACGTTGGTGTCCAGTTCCTGTTGAACCTTCTGCAACATCCGATCCACGCCATACTGCTGCTTCATGGAGCGATAGTAGGAGATCATCAACCTTAAGGCACTTCATACCAGCTGCAAAATGTGGGGGAAGATGTATGGGATGTTCAAATCTGCTAAGCTTCGAGAAGTTGGGGGGTGAGGTTGAAAGATTGATGGGTGCAGTGGCTACACTTTCAAACCCATCGGGGGTAAGCCCCCTAGGACAAACACAACGTGAGCCTACCAAAAGCTATGTGTGTTGCTTTATAAACCCCGTGAATACTATAGTTATATTCCCCAGAAACTCTAGGTAACCTAGTTACATGTCAACCTCGCTATCTAGGGGACCTTACCTTGTAGTGTAAGTATAGTTGAAACCACACACCAACTGTCCACCTTGTTGCCAGCTCTTGGTACTGTACTATGATTGCTATGCTTTACATTACATGCCAGCTGTTAGATACATAATCAGACCCCAGTTGTTATTGCTGGCCTTTCCAATGGGATACCTGGACATGGACAATCATGGAGATGGATGAGTTGGATTTGCTTAAGGCCCCCCCCAAAGCTAAATCATATTCAATAAATTTCAAACATGTGGTAAACCCAATAATAAACCTACCATGTGGGGATGGTTTATACCAGCCATAAAGATGGTGATGACTTGGGGTGGGTTTATGACATTGGGTTATATTGGGTTTACCACGTTATTCCATTGATAGATTCCCCCAAATGACGGCATGGGAAAATACAAGAAATCACCAGCTGGACCCAGCTGCTCAAACATTCGCTGATGCTTTGGCCCATCTTGCTCGTTAACAGGCAGGTTTTGCAAGGCCTCCTCTGACAAGTAGCCTTGGAACGGAAAGAACCAATAGCAACACAATAGTGTTCACTTGCAATAGGTGATTTTGGTGGTTTCTTTCTCAGACATGTATCCTTTTTTGAAACAGCGACTCTCAGTACCTATCAAGAATATCTCGCTTTTTCACGGGTGTGTAGTCTCATGGTGGGGGATATGCACCCCAAATTGATAGCGACCTTGAAGTGGTTCAAATCCTAGCCTCGTCTTTGGGTTGCTTCCCAATTCTCTTCTTGAGGGAAAGCACTCATTGTGGATATTTGTTGGTGACATCACACCAATTTCCAGTTGCCCAAAGGATTTATGCAAACACGTGTATATATATAATATACACGTACCTGAAACAAACCCCAAACATAAAAAGTTTGCAAAGATTACCCGTCCTCAGCGTCAGTCAGTGAGTTTGCTTCAATTTGCCAATGCTACCTCCTCACAATGATGGTCTCTAGTGGTTGGGTGATCGGAATTTTCAATCACTGAATGACATATGATATGGACAAACCATCGTGTCGCTGCTATTTCTCAACATGCTCAGGAAAAGTTTCAACATATTGTTCTCTCAAGTCAGTTTTGTGGCTCTAAGTCTGCCGCAGCGACGAAGATGGGCGCTGCCAACGTGTTGGGTCTATCGCTGCCGAGCATCGAAAGAGCTTCTGTGGCAAAGCATCCGAAGCACCACCGCCCAACTTGGACCCACGGGGCCCCACATTGGAAATCAGCAGCAAATCCTTGGAGCCGCTTGGAGAATTGGAGACCAAAACACATCAACCGGAAGGCCATTTGGGGCAGCCCTAGATCCTACTAAGTCCTACTACTCATCCAAAGTGCAGCCGTTAGATGTTCTTACCAATTTCCATCCAGAAATGTGTCTGTATGTCTGTTTGCACCTGCATGTCTGGTTTATTTGTCTGTCGTGATACATATATATATATATGTACATATACATATATATATATATGTATGTACATATATATATATATGTATGTACATATATATATATATATATGTATATATATATATGTATATGTACATATCTATGATGAACTATAGAGAAAGGAGATACGTTGTAATCTGGAGTGTGTAGCTGCATGTCTCCATGTCTGCCCCGCGGTTCCATCCCATGTGGACCTTATACATACAATATTACTACTTCTAATAATAATAGTAGTAATAATAGTAATCTATATATAAGTAATCTATATATAAGTGATAATAATCAATAATAATAGAACAATAACAATTACCAAAATAACAGTATAATATTTTTTTTTTAAAAATAATACTGTAATAAGAAACAACAATATAATGCTGTGATACTGTAATAATAATATTCATAATGTACAATCTGTGCATAGGTTCATGTGAATCATCTGGTCTGAACTATGAGGCATCGTTTGCACAAGCTGCTCTTACTGATGCTGATCCTTCAAAGAAAATACCCCGATCAACTCTTTAAAGACATCATCCATCAACTTGAGATCATCATAATCATTGTATTTGTCACCGTCATTGTCGTCATCATCATCATCATCATCGTCATCATCATCATCAACATCCGGTTTCTAGCGATGGAACACTACAGCATGGTTGAAACCACCAACCAGGTCCTAGTCAATATGTCCGGTGTTTATTGCCAACATATCATGTGATGTCCGAACAATGCATTCTGGTTACCACTCCACTCTCAAGCAGCTCATCTCATCACTGGTGCTTAAGGGAAGCTCAACTCGTACCCCAAAGTCTCCCTTGGTTCCTTGGGAAAAGTTGAATACCATATGATACACTATTGTATTCCATAATATAAATATATATCCATATATCCTAATTATGTCGTATCATATCCCAATATTGTTGTTGCTTCAACCTCCATTTTTTGTTGCTGTTTCAGCCCACCCAATGTGCTGTCGGTGAACGGTGGCATCCACCAGCCACAGCTGGCTCTTGCGATCCTTGTAGAAGGTGAACTTGCCACTGAGCAGCTCTAAGTGGCCTAGAGAAAAACCATGAAAAACGGCCCTCCAAAAAAAACACATGGTGGAAACTCCGGAAATGATCAGTGGATGATCAGTGGTACATCATTAATGGATATGAACATGGTGGATTTTCCATAGAGAGTCGCCCATCTATGATGGATGATGGATGCAACTTGTTTCAATCAGCAGTGGTGCGCACTGCTCGTCCAAAACATTGTCGGTTGCTGGTTCCATTTTTTCCAAGTCGCAGAAGTATGCCAAATGCCTCGCACTCGGCCAAACACAAAAAAGGTCTGATGGAATCTGTAAGGAGTTCATGAAGTCTGTGGTGACTGTGTGAGAATTACTGTTGTGGCATGTTGTGGCTAGACATCAGTCCCAAGACTGTGGCCATGAGTCCGCTATGATCACTGAGGTTTCTTGCCCTCCAACCTGCAAAGTCATGTTGATGTAACTGGGTCACCACTGATAAACCTGTGAAACTACTCATTTAGTATCCATGACATGGTCAATCTTAGATCCCCTGGTTTTCAGCTGGTTTGTATATATTCCACATATTCCCATGTGTAGCAACAGATTTCAAGTACGAAACAATTCACATCGTTTCACCCATCCAGTGGCATCGCGGATCAGAGATCGACATGGCTGAGGATCAACACATGAGATACCTATAGGACCTATCGTTTGCACATTGTTGGCCAAGCATTTTTCACGTTCATATTCCTGGAGTTGCTTCATCGCTCTGCATGAGAGTGAAAATTCAGCATCTAGAGGCCCAAAACTCTGGAAATCAAGAATGAATTATCATGATCCCAGTACGACTACACCTTCGAAATTTCAAACGGCACCTCTTTGAGCCATGAAAACACCCCATATCCCATGAAATCCTGGTTGACCAACACATCCCCAATACATTGGGTCGTTAAGACAATAGTTATTATAGATGTCATTAGTAATTAGTGATTCCGATAGCCATCAATAACCACTGATAATTACCGTGATTACTTTAACCAGAATAGCCACCATTGGTAATTCCCTAAGAATTCCCTATGGATCCAAAAAAACACATACCTGAGAAGGTGCGGCAAACTGCCATACCTCAAACGCTCCCTCAGAAGGTACAGCTGGATCCACAGGGATTATATAATAATAACCATTGGAGTATCCCCTGCAACAATGCAGTGCTTATTCAATTACGTAATCTAGAAGAACAAGAACTTCATAACCATTATTTAAAACATTATCATTATTGAAATCTCTTTATATAAACACACTTAAATTCTCAAATAATTTCTAATCCATATGATCTCAATCAAATTCATAAAAATCCCTAAGAATTTCCCTAAGTTTTCCCTAAGATTTCCCAATTGTTCCTCCAATCTTTCCCGAGATTTCTCCCAGTCCTTCCCGTCAAATCCCTCGAGTTCACCCAGGTGCTGCGCCAACAAATTGGGCACCGCAGAGATCTTGTTGCGATCGCGCACGGAGTCCAGGAACGTGAAGCGTTCCTGAAGCGAAGCAAATCTCGGTCAAATCCACGGGATTTCACGAGCAAAAATGGGATTTTACCGTCAAGGTGAGAACCCCCCCATGCCAAGTTGACGCACATAACTTGGTGAGATGTTGGGTTTACAGGTAACAAAACGAACAAGTTTATGGGGTTTAACCAACGACAGGGGGATTGACTGGCGATTTATAAGACTATGATGCCGGTTTGAACAAGTACATGGCAATGGATGTAACGGATACAGAACCAACTTGATATGAGACTTGGTCTAAAATAACAGAATCCAGTCGCCACCCCAGATACATTTGGGTTGGTGTACATGGCTAGGAACAAATTAATGACTACATGAGGTCAACAATTACCCTTTACCCCCCAAAAGTGGCTACCTGTACCATGACTACCTGGTTCGAGGCTCGAAATGATTGTTGATGATGTCTTCCAAGCGAGTGTGCACCTCGGGAATGGGCGTTGAGGTCACTTGGGGATGTGCACCCTGGGAATGAGACACTTGGGGTGCCCATATTGAGGCTGAGATTTGACTGATTTTGAGGGTGAACTGGGTCGCGGGACCAAAACGAACCCCATCATCCCCATCAAATAAAAGTCATGGCTGGTGTCGCAGGTTGTCCACCCAACGGCGGTGGTCAGAGAACATGTTTAAATAGCATGCGCATGTCTGACAAATTGAGATATGGCATACCCTCTGGTAATTTAACAAAGCTATTGAACATTGCCATTTAGTTCGTTGATTTACCTCTTCAAAATGGGCGATTTTCCAGTTTGCAAACTCTGAGTTTACCGGAGGGTAACCCCGTCTCGATCCTCATGGTTTCTGGATCTGATTGTGTGTAAAGCCTGGAAAACAAACACATGCAACATCACCAACATATCTTGCAAACAAATCACTGGGATTCATTAGGTTTGTTGAGGGCAAACAATTACCTGCCGGAAATCCGGAAAGCCTGCTTTACCATGAAGAAATGATGGCGTGTTCCTGTAACTATCATGTTTTTCATGTTTGCAGCAATCAATTACCAATTGTAGGGTTGGCCTGTGAGGCATCCACCATGAACCCAACGCCAAATATCCATTGGCAGAACTTGGCTCTAAAATGGCCCATCCTTATTTTCAGACAAATCCAAACACAAACGTTGTAGAAAATACATATAAGTTATATAAGTATACTTCAAATAAATGCGTAGGCAGAAAATATATCTATGTTAGACATAGCTTAGACTATATCATTTTTACCCGCATATTTATATATATATATATATCATAGATATATCGTACATATAGATATATCACACATATATCAAACATATATAGGTGTATACACATGCAGTATGAAATACATAAAAATGTAGAATCATATAGAATCATATACCTCTGGTAAACGTTTACATAACTATGGAACATCACCATGCTATCAATGGGTAAATTCACTAGAAATCACCATTTTCCATAGCTATGTTAAATTACAAGAGGGTAATCACCATTAATCATCATTAACCATCATTAACCGTCATTAATCATTGGTTCAACCATCATTATAATCACCATTAATCACTATTATATAACCACATATAGATATGGGGATGGGTCAAGTTACCTATGAAACGACCAAGCCGCTGCTCCCTTGGCTTCGCTCTGGATCGCCTCGTAGGCATAGGTGATAAATTTCCTGGCCGCCGGTGTCCGTTTTTTTTGTTTGGCGGAAAAAGGTAAAGATGGCAAAATCAATTGATATAAAACTATTATATACATATACAGTATATATATACATATATAGGTTTAAACGATATTGGATATGTGCATACACATCAATAACACATAGATATATCTATAGATATGATATATACGTATATGATCGTATATGTTTGGAGATATGCTATAAGGCTAGACCCAAGCTCGAACGCTAAGGCTAGACCCACCTAACAATGGATCCATTGGGGATGTAACCAGCAAACATTCAGCCGACGCCTACAACATGTGAAGCTGTATACTGTAAATATGTGTATATATATATATCTGTATATGTATATATATATATATGTATATTATGTACAATGATAAATATAAAATTTGTGTATGGGTGGTTTCAAGCCCCCCAAAAAAACGAGCGATTTCGTGGTTGGGGATCATCATCCCAAAACACCATGGTGTTTAACCAACGAAACCAAGGAGTATATGTATAGAAATGTTGGTTTCATTGTTGGTTAAACCATATGGTTAAACACCATCAGTTAACAATAATACAACCAATTGGTTTCAATATTTTAACCAGCAATTTGGACGTACACAAGAAATACATATAAAATCACGTAGATATTGATACATGTTGCAACTCCATACTCCTATAGCCAATAGTAATCAATAGTCACTAGTCACCCCTAGTCGCAACTGTTCCTGCGCAGACCACTGGGCCGAGTATCGGAGCATTCCAAAAAGAGGCTTGCAGCAATGAGGTCCCAGCAGGCCAGCCCAATCCACGGGTTCCTGGAGGGTTTACCATCCAAATGGGTAACTTTAGCCATGCTTGAAACGGCCTGAGATGAGGATATTGTATAGTGTGTATATGTATGTATATAAATATATAGTTTTATAATGTTTTATATATGTATGGATATATGAATATAGAAAGCCAATATGATATGAAATACCACCCTATATAAAATGTATCCCCAATTGATGAATAGATACAATACATTCCAGCAAGGTTTCGATTCTGGGGCAAATTTCTGAATATCAGGTGGGAGGGATATAAATCTAAATCATAGTTGTCAGGTGGATGAGCTTTCATGATGGTTGAACTTTTTTTGCGCCATGCAAGGTTCACCCCTGGGCCAAGAAACACTGGTTGGCTCATATTTAGTACCCTCTGGTAAACTAACATAGCTATTGAAAATTTTCCATAGCTATGTTAAATTACCAGAGGGTAAATATTCATAACTTCCCATTGTGGATTATAATCATCTGGAGTAAACCAGTAAATAAAACACTCTATAATTAACCAATGAACAGGTGATTTTGAATGACATGCGCAGGAAGCGTTTGGTGAAGAAACTATTGTCGCATAAATCAGTGTATCTCGGACAAACACTCAGTAGGTGTCAGTAGATCGATGGACAATTATGAGAATCCTTTTTTGAGACAAACGCGCACACATGTAATATTGTTGGTTATATATCCTACTATATCCCATGATTTTGATTGGTTACATCAGTTACATCCCCATGCTTGTTGCTTCTGTCCTCACTTTTATCTTCCATATCCCATTACATCCATATAATCAAATATCTATAGTGGTTATAACATGTTACAACCTGTACATTTGTCGCTGAGTCCACAAGAATTCTCCTGCCAACCGTTCTGCCACATCGCTTTCAGGCAGTTGCTGTGGATGATTTTTCCCGACCCACATCCGCCAGTAGGTCTTCCGCAGGGTTGGGGTGTGTTTGACGCTCAGCGTGTGGCGCGGTTTCCTGGGGAAAAAGAACGGAAAAGAGTTGCTCTTGGGGATGCAACTATGGAAACCTAGGGCTTTCCAACGGTAATGGAGATAGAATGGATTAATGGAATGTAATGGGAATATCATGGTTGTCTAATGGGAATATATATATAGCCAAAAATATAATGAACAATGGGAAACCTAGGACTTTGGAACAACTCATATCATGTGCTACCATTTGGAGGGTGTTTGAAACCATGGCATATGGAGGTATGTTAAACCACACCCACCTCAGGTTTCTTGATGGATTTACCATGACCCGTCCATTTTGCCTTGATGAATTCTCAATACAACTGTTTAGTCTTTTGTGGAGGTGTGCTGGCCGTGTTGAAACATCAAATCACCAACCATGCACATATATAGATTAATATCTAGTCTATATAGTATATATTCCATGCGGTGTATATATATATATATGCATGAAAACATTCCAGGTCTATAGAATTTTCACATTACATGTTGCTGATATGTATGCAAATCTAATAATGTTAGCCTCCGATTAGTGTCATGATACCCTATTGTGAGAATTTTTTGCTTCCTCATTGAGTATTTTGCTGTTTGTGGGGGGGGAGCCTGTATTGTGAGATTTTTTTTTTAGAGTTGTTTTTCCATCTTTTTGTTTTTTCTATGTTTTCCATTTTTTCGCCAGTTTTTGTTTTTATTTCTCCAGTTTTTTTTAATTGTTTCCTTTTTTCATTTTTTTTCTCAGATCCATTTTTCATTTTTTTCCACACGATTAGATGCCTTATTAAACCCTTATTTAAAAAAAACAACATCCAAACAATTTTTCAAGGAGGTACCTCATGAGTGGCTCAGATACTCAATAATATAATTGTTTGGATGGTACTCTATTGTGCACAACAACTTTTGGGAATGAAAAAACACATATTCACCATTCTTTGGGTAAAGCTGGCCCCTTTACTTTAGAAAACCATATCCATGTCAAAGCTTTGAAATGCAGCGTTTTCCACATATTTAGATGCCTTATTAAACCCTTATTAAAAAACAACATCCAAACAACTGTTCAAGGTGGTACCTCATGAGTGGCTCAGATCCTCAATAATAAAATTGTTTGGATGGTACACTATTGTGCACACCAACTTTTGGATAACTTTTGAAATCAATTGAAAGTAAATTGAAATCAATTGAACGTAAATTGATTTCAATTGAAAATCAATTGAAAGTAAATTGAAATCAATTGAAAGTAAATTGATTTCAATTGAAATCCTTACTTAAGTTGACTATCCGAAAATTTGTTAGGGGGGCAAAAAAACTGCGAGTTATTGAGTAGACTAAATTAATTTGAGGGGGGGCCCACACTAATCAGAGGCCAACATTATTGTAGATAGATACTTGCGAATGAAACAAGAACATTGATAAAAAGAACGCAAACAAGGAATCAACACCGTCCTGCCAACACCAACCATTGTGCGAGCATGGGGTACAATAGGGATTTCCATTTCATGGATGATGATAATTCCCAATTAATGTTGAATGCATGGTATAAACCCCAAAAGAACAAAATTCATCAACCGGCATTGGAGTACAACTAGTGGGTAGTTGCTTGACATTGATTATAGTTTTGACCTTACAAAGGTATTACAACGGAATGTAAAAACAACAATCTGAACCCCCCATTTATGAGTTGGTTATAAACCCCATTAACATCTTTAGAGTAAAAACACATCATGAACCCAACAGCTAACCACGTTAAAAAAGGCCTCAGCTTAGCGATTTCCAGGGGGCGCACCTTGTAGATATATACCCGGTCCTTGACATTTTACATAACTTAAATATAATTACCATCTGGTTATTTAGCATAGCCATGGAAAATCACCATTTTTAATAGGTAAACCATCTATAAATGGGCCATCTATACCATGGCTATGTTAAATAACCAGAGGGTATCTAGATTCTACAAGTGGAGTATAATAATATACCCTCCAGGAATCAAACATCGGAAAGGACAATCCCCCAGATATCAAAAAAACAAAATCCCTATCAAACACCTCCATTTGTATAGCTAGCCACGTTTGAGCAAACCGGAGGGTACAGGGTGAGGCCCCACAGTTATGTATAAGTTGGTTTATAGACCCATGAACTAGTTCGTCAAATATCCACCTAATCAACCCAACAGTTAAAACAGTTAACCAAGTTATGTGCGTCAACTTTGCATACTTAGCTATCTATAATTAAGGGACCTCACCTTGTAATAAATAATATACATGGAGGTTTCCTAAAATAGGGGTACCCCCAGTTCTCATCCATTCTATTTTCGGATGTTCCATGAAATAAACATCAATAACGCATCCAGCGATAAAGGGGTACCCCCATGGCTTAGGAAACCTCCATGATATCACAGCCACCCAGGCACCGCATCGCTGCTTTGAGATCACTCACATCGCTGCTGCGGGAGCCGCGACGGCTCGAGTGGCTCTCCGGGAGATCCTCCGAGACCGTGGGGCCGTGGGGACCGGAGTGGGGACGGAAAATATAGACAGTATAGGTTTATATAATCAACAAAAACAGGGGATTCAACCAGCAAACATCCAGATATTTGACTTACAAAATGCTAATTGAAAGTTAATTAGGGAGGTTTTCAAGAACAGGATGAGTTCTATATATATATAGTTCTATGGTTTATGGATGTTTGTGCTAGATGTATCATGATATTTAATCGAACTCGTTCAGTTTAACGAAAAAGATCTCGGGGAGACCCACCTTGCTGGTTAGAACGGATTTCCCATGGACGGTGATCATCTGGTGCTATAATATGCTATAATCCCCTCTAATCAGCCAATAAAAGGGGCTTTGAACCTTCCTCACTCAATTTTTGTGGGATACAATCGGATATTTTGGTGGGATGTAATTAGTCTAGTCGTCAAAACACCAAAACACGATTCAGGAAAACAGAAGAATAGTAGAGATGTAATGGGGATCTGAATGGGTACGGGAAATAATAAGGAATAGGAATTGTCAAACAAGTTGGGACACAAATAGTGATTAGTGGGATATTCTCGGCATATTATGAAACCACTTTTTGTGGGGATTGTTCAAGAAGTTGAAGGATATATCATAGTGGGATACAAAAAGTTGGACCTTCTGACATATCGGAACATGTTTTAAACACCGTGGGGTCTATTGCTCTTCCAAAGAAGGGATCCCGTTTATGTGAGCACAAAAAGACATATCAACAAACACATATGATTAGATAAGAATGGGATATGATGATGATGATGATGATGATGATGTTGATGATGGTGATGGTGATGGTGATGGTGATGATGATGATGATGATGATGATGATGACGATGACGATGACGATGACGAAGACGACGATGACGATGACGACGATGACGACGACGACGAGGAGGAGGATGATGATGATGATGATTACTATTATTATGATGATGATCAACCACACTATTGTGGATACACCATTTTTCGACTAAGCCTATGCATCAAACATCATGGACATCCCAACACATCAAGACATCAAAGAAGGTTCAAAAATCTTAGGCACGTCACAAAAACACAAAATGCAAATGCCCTCTGGTAATGTAATATGGAAATGGAAAATATGTCATTTATAGTTTATGTTCATTGATTTTCCCAGCTATAACCCTCCATTTATAAGGAAATGTCCCATCTTTTCCTATGATTTTCCGATTTCAACGGCCATTTATACTGGATTTCCCCAGTTGGAACCCAGAGAGTTTTTCCCACAAGCTCCGGCGCCTCGCGGTACTCTGCGTCCTCAGGTTGGCATTCCAGGAAAAAAACACATGCAGCAAAAAACAAGATGCATGTTTTGTATATATACATATTATAATATATATGTGTGTATATTAGCAATTATATATGTATATATACATTTATTTATTTATATACATATTATGTGTGTATTAGCAATTGTGGCCTTAAATATGGGGCAATTATGCAAGCCAACTCGACTGTCGAGGAATCCCAGGAAGCCCCAAGGTTGGGATCTTCTGCAGTCGTCCAACTCGCTGGAGAAAATGGACCAAAAATCATGCTCCAAAGTCAGCTGATCAGCTTCATTCCTTAAAATTTGGTAACCATGGTAACCACAAATTCTTGCAATTTTAAGAAAAATGATACGATTATTGAAGTATCATTACAATGAATTCGCCAGCAGTATCATGTTCATGACAATTTTCTTTCTTCGAATTCATCATCGTTGTCGGTTAAACCAACATCTCGATGTTCCCCGCAGAAGCTGCCGCTTGCAGCGCAGAACAAAACGCACTGACCCCGTCCTTGCGTTGCTTCAAGATCTGTTCCATACCTCGGATGATCTTGGCAAATTATGATCTTGACCAAGCCCTCAGAATAGATGGGTCTGTCTGAAAATTGGATATATCGTCTAAATATTGTCTAAATGGCAATTTAATAGGGACACTGATGTGATTATTAAGCGTCAAATTTGCGGGTACCCTATTTTCAGACAGACCTAGATAGACATAGTACTCACCTAGTAAGTGGCTTAGTTCACCCAAGTTCAAACATGTTCAAACTGGACATTGCCCCTACATACCCTACTGGATTAAGTGGGGTCATAACTCATAATCAATTTAAGAAGTGGTGAGCCACCAAATATGATATGTTTGGTTGATACTAGAACGACACATATCAATAGTGTAGTATTATCAACTACAAAAGGCGTTACCCTCTAACTGCAAAAAAAACAATAGAACATCTTATTAAAATAGTGACTGTTCTTGAATTGTGTGCATCTTGGAGACTCATTTGAGGCAAATTTCCAAAAAACGTGGGATGATTCCCCCATCAGTCCAGGCGACCAGGCCGCCAAGGGCTGAATGTGATGATCCTCAAAATCAGCAAACAAATTTTTGCAAAATTATGATTTTATAACCACTATATCTCAATGATAACAGAATCAAATATCTCATTTATATACCTATAAGTTCCTAAATAAGTTATGGGTCACTCATGATCATTATCAGAATGCATGTGAATGCATGATGATGATGAGTTTACATAACCAGCCTCTGGTGTGACCCTCCCACGCTGCACGTATAGAAAACCTGTGGGTGACATGATCAATGGCAGCTGATCAGCTGGGCATAGTATATATATACATACATAATCAAGATGATCATATCATTCTATATCTCTATGTCAAAGACCCATTCATTCTGGATGCTTTGTGGTCTTTGTATTTCCTACTTCCCCGATATCTGCTCACCTGCCCCTTCCAAAATGCCAAACACACCGATGCCACGGTGCACTGGTAAACCACATGGGGCTGCTTCAGTGCTCTCACAGATGCGCGGAGAAATCCAGCACAATCCGTGAAAAAGAGGCAGTGTGGCTTGTCACCGTGGAACAAAATCGTCTCCTTGTGGCGACCCAAAAGTCACCCAAACAACAACGTTTTTACGGCGTATTGACCAACATCAACCGCTAAAAACGAGAAAAACAACAGGCGCCTACTAAGCCATTGCTGTTGTGGTGACCTTACGTGGTGCCCGTCTTGGATTGCGGATCGCTCTGGAGGAATAGGAATCCCTTTGATTGACATATTCAAACAGCGCATGTCATGCGGAAACATCACATCATTGTCACATGACATCATGTTATATCCCCATTCAGATCTATATAAATCCCTATTACTGTTGGTTTTTCCACCACATATAGAACTTATAAAGATGTGGGTTTGTCTGAAACAAAGATGGTGAAACAAAGATGGTACAGGCCAAAGTTTTTTTTTTAATCATCACTACCCCGATAAAATGGTCACTCGGCGGTGTTTTTTTTGCCATCTTTGGACACATCCATATCCCAAATGCTCCATGTATGGTATATTTGCCAGCATTTACCCTAAAAATCACCCAGCCAAATGTAGGTAAATATACCATACATGGATCATATGTGTATGAGATATTGACAAACCTGTGCAACACGTACCACAGGAAATGGCCTAGACCTATTCCATCCTATTCCAAACGTATTGTGGCTGGTGCTTGAAGCCTACAATGTTGGCGCCAACAACATGTGACTGCATTGCTGATTGCCCCAAACCATACGTAGGAAGACCTCGATGCTGGATAGCCTTGACTCGGATACATGTTTCATAGATCAACATGGTATGCTCTCGGAAGTATAGAGGTGCACGTGCAGTAGAATTCCCCCGCCTTCAAAAGCAAGTGCCCATCCTTCTTCAATTGGATCAAGAGAGAATCAACTCAACAGTGTTCAATACCCTCTGCCATTCCATTGTACTGATTGGTTCATAGGGTTTCGGGGAACATGAATTATGATAATGCCCTTAATATATATATATATAATATATATGAAGGGTAGTCTAACCCCCAAACTATTCATCAACCAACAGGGGTCAGAGGATGGCAACTGATAATTCCAGGATGGCCACACCGTGGTCCTTTGCACCCCGGGAGACAATAGACCAATGTGTTTCATGTTGAAAGTATTTGAAAGTTACTCTTGTCTAAAAACACAAATACCACCTGGAACTTTGTTTAAATCCTGGCATCCAGGGTTTTTTTGGGGCAGCGGGGCATCAGCTTTTCAGTTTTCACCATGGCTGGGAAATGGGAAATCCTCCGCAATTCTAATGGTATCCTTCATAAATGGTGTTTTAACATGGGGGGTTCCATAAATGGGGGCACCCCCAGTTCTCATCCATTTTAGATTGGCTTTTTCCCTAATAAACTATCCAGCTATTGGGGTACCTCCATGTTTTCATGGGAAAACGAGGAAGCAAAATCGGGGGATTTTGCCGCTCCCGCACCTCGCTTCACCAACATCAACGATGGTCAAATCATGTCGAATACCCTCTGGTAATTTAACATAGCTATGGAAAATCACCATTTTTAATGGGAAAATCCACTATAAATGGCCATTTTCAATAGCTATGTTAAATTACCAGAGGGTACTTGAACTATTTGACTATTTGCCCATCTATAAACATCGTAATTTGACTTACTTGAACTATAGATGGTCAAATAATGTTGGGTATAGGTAGTGTCCCCATAAACATCAACCGTACGTGACTTGTGTTGGGCTTACCATCGGAAGACCAGGCCCGAGTCACTGGCACCAAGAGCTGTAGAGGTGGAGGGACATTCCCTTGCCTTGGTGAAACCGTGGGGGACGGGACCTGTTTTGGGACTCGGATGGATAGCGAATCTTAGACCCCCAAAAAAAGAAAGGGAGGTCACCTGTCACCTATTTAAACCTCAGGTTGTGAAATCATCCAATGATGAGATATGATGATGTATTTTGTACAGAACCGAATCTGGCCCATGCACCATGGTTATGAAAACACAACATAATCATGGGGATATAAACAACAACAATTGTAGCATTGCTGACAACAACGGGATTGAATGTAAGAAAACACACATCCGAGAACATGTGAGAACCAAGATTTATTAAGGGAGCCCGTTTTTTGGATGCCATTACAGCATAAACCTACCATAACCTACCAATCATATGTTTATACACTGACATTTGGAGAAGATAGATACCCGCTGGTAATCAAAATCCCCTAAACATGGAGGTTTTAATGGGAGCATCATCTATAATTAGATCGTTGATTTTCCATTGTCACGTTTGATTAGAGGAGGGTAAATGTTGAGAGATGAACTATACTGAGCTATGTAGGCATTGCAAGAAAAAGGACTGATTAATCATGCTTAATGCCTTGTTATGATTATGAACTATCGATTATTAATCATTATTATCAATAATTATGTTAAACCACCAAAATGATTAGTGATGCCAACCATTTTTTTAATGATTGATTATGAACCACCAACAATGGTGGCTCCCAAACATCCTAGCCATTTCGAAGAAAGCAGCACCAGTTTGATCCAAACCCCATGGGAGGCGCAGCCTTTGTTTGTTTGGACGGCCAAGTTATCTATATATACTTTGGAACCATTCCATTCCATTCCAATGGTTTTTTAAGCCAATTCCCGAACGTTCCAAACAATGTTGGTTGTGGTGATGTTGGTTGTACTTTGCTTCTTCATCTTACTGTTGGTGATGGTGATGGTGGTAGTGGTGCTGGTGCTACGTAGTGCTCGTGGTTCTTTGTTGTTCGTTGTTCTCTGTTCGCTCTGTGTTCTTGGGTGTTCAATGTTTGCTGTTTGAGTTTTGGTATGTGTCTTGATTTTTTTTCTGTCGGTTGTCGCCCTTACACATATTCGAAACAACAAAACAAACACATGTGTGATGGGTAAAAAACCATAAGATCAATGGCCATTTCAGGAACCTGAATTGGAGGTACCGTATATAAGGCCTATTTTTTAGGCCCTAATTTCAGGGAATATCCCCACAATTCATATGGCCCAAAATATGGTACATCCAACTCACGATCCCCAGTTTTTTTACTTTGGTTCAGCAAAAGAAACAAAAAAAGGTGGAGCCCTCCAGTTATATTTCATGTTTGTTGGTTGATAAACCCCATTAACTATCGTTACATCCTCAATAAACCCATTGAACCAAGTTATAAAATGTTATAAGTCAACTTAGCTCTCATAAATCAGCTCTAAATCCCATGAAATCGCCATTTTTGCTGGTTAAATCACCATGAACAAATCTTGGTTTCGTGGCCGCGCCGCGGTTTTGAGCCATGATCTGCGCCCAAGGCACTTCCACAGCGTTTTCTGTTCGTTCTGCCAGGTGGGCGCCTCCTGCCCAAAATCCGCGGCCCTCTCCTGGGACGAAGATTTTCGTTGAATTTTTCATGGTTAATTATATGATTTGTATAGGATCATATAGTTTCAATATGTTTTAATGGATCATATAATCATGAAAATCCGTTATATATATATATATGATGTTCATGAATACTGATGGATTAATCGCATATGTTTAGACAAATAAAACTCCGAACATAGTAATGGTTAATTATCCTTCATAATAATCCATTATATAATATCTATTAATCATCCATAATGTCTGGCTTGTAATGGTTATGGTTAATAAAATTCATGATTCCCATATTGTTTTCTGGTGCTTAAAACTAGGACATAACGGAATAATGATCACTAGGACGAAAATTGCGAGGACCATTTCGCGTGGACTGCGTGGTGGATTGAATTGACTAGTCGTGTTAAATTGAGATTATTTTCAAAGGTTACAAATGTGATCCGCGGTCCGCGACCCAAGTAGAAACTTCCTAAGTAGAAACTCCTATGGTAGGGGTCTATTGGGAAAGGGCGTTGGAAGCCCAAGAGGAAAAACTGTTGTCCTGGCGGTGTATGGGTCAAGTTATTGGGTACCCCTTAAAAATGGATGGTGGGCCATCCAACCATAGACTATAGACTCGCCCACTGAGGCTTAAATTGTTGACCCATTCCGATATGGTAATTGGATATGCGCCATTGATTGAACATTCTTACTTTGTGCAGATTCAAACCGCGCGCTCACATTGCACTCCTATGAGATCCACTTAGCCTGTCCCAACTTCTTCCCATGAACATTGCCCAAAATGATAATAGATTCAGGTAGGACTCGGTAGGACTACCCTAATTTTGGACAAACCCAGGCTGGATTTGAAACACCAAGCAATTAAGCCGGCTAATGTGAATATAACATTATTAGCTGACTGATGTTTCCATCTATTGTTACATTGAATCGCAATTGAGCAGTGCTCAAAACCATCCCTATGTATGTGTATATATATGTTTCAGAACACAATTCCCAGTTCATGATGATCATCGCCTTCCAGCTAGGTTGTTGCACAGTACCGCTGGCAACATAGCTATTGAAGATCATCAAATCATCATAAATCATCGAACTAAATCGCCAGTTTCCATAGCACACCTCCAAAATTAACAGAGGGTACATCCCATTTTGCACCATTGAATCCCCATTAAAACCCAATTGTTCACCATTTGTCATCACCAACAGGGGTCATGCCCTGTTGGTCAACTCATCACCAATTCGCCCTCTCTTCCAAGGCACCAGCAGCCAGGCAAAATCAAAGGGCCCTTGGCATGCTTCCCGCAGGGTGGACAACAGCTCGGCGTCCGGCATTCCGCGGCATGGGGCACATCTTCCCGTGAAGGATGCTCCTAATTCCTAATCATGATCATATTATATATAATTGGAAAATAAATAAATAAATGTATATGTATATATATCACATATATTATAATATGTATCTATGGCCACGGTCAATATTTGGTATATAGCTCCAAGTCAGCATTTTTTGAAGAGTGTATCATCGTTTTTCAGGTTTTGGTATATAAGCAAATGTTATCGTTTTTTGAAGAGTGTATTATCATTTTCCAAGCCCCAGCTCAATTTCAAAAAAATATAAAGATGTCTCGAATACTACTCTCCATTAACCTAAATTTTGGCTGTAGCTATAGTGTACACTCACTGGCATCATCTAATGTTCTATATCATATCAGAATCGAATCACAACTTTTTTTACACACCTGCACCAGCTGCGGCAACATGTCGTGGCCCGCGGCACGACAAGAGGTACCAAAGAGTCGAGTCATGGAATCCGGAGTCACAGGCTGGTGGCCCGTGGTGCACAGTGGCACTATCTGCTTTTGAAGTAGATAGATCTACATTGGATAATATTGGGAACAAAACAACTGGTTATATATCTATCCTATTTAATCCTATATTATTGCAAATTATTGCAGAACAAAAAAAACACATAATAATAATAAAAAACGAAGCATTCCACCACTGCCCGACTGGTGGAACCTCTGATGCCATTCCCTCCGCCAGTTGCGCTGCCACTTTGCCGCGGCCATCGCGCTTCGACAAAGCCTCAGGATAGGCCTGGCAGCAGTTCCCAGGAGAACATCACCATCCATTTCAGCAAATCGGAAGATCTGTGGTGATTGGAGTTTCACTAAAAAATGATCAATAACAAACACAACTCCGGAGTTTAAACATGAAAGACACCAGGAACATGTGGAGTTATATCAGTAAAACACAGTTTGGTTTTGACATGATTTAAGAAACTAAGATGAGGAGTGAACCAACAATAGAAATGAAGGAACACATCCGATTTTTGCCTGGTGTCTGTAGAACAGCCATGCTACGCGAGTAGTGGACAAGGACAAGTATGTGAACGCAACCTTTGAGGTCCAAACACATTTTCTCATGTGCATGTCATTCTTTCGTGCTGGTGTATATGCCGGTTTATATTAATCTATATATGTCTATTTGATCCCCTTGTGAAAGTGTTGGTGTGAGCAATTTTATAGTGATAAACCTGGAGACGTTGACCATCTTTATGAAAATGCATCTATAGAATCAGAGACGCCAGGGTATTCTCAAGTTGACAATCTCTATAGAATTGCTGTCACTGAGGTTGTTTATGAGCATCATTTTCTATAGAATAGCTGACACCAAGTCACTCTTGTAAAGCCTTTTTTAGGTTGGGGGAGTTATCTATTTGTTTATCCCAGCTCTGGTTCTAAACTCCAAGGCGCACTGCAAGTTCAAAATCTATCCTCATTTCTAGGTCGGATGTGTGGCATTCAAGCTCGCTCAAGGCGCGCGCGCCAAACTGCGCATCTCAAGCGTGACGGTGCTGGCGATTTCGTTCACCGCAACTCAGGCCACGCTCGGTGCAGCAAATGGGTTGCGGCCAGCTGGGCTTCACCTGCTATGCGACTTGTAAACAGCTACCGGTCGGTGTTTGAGCCACCCGAAATAAACAACAAATAGAAATCTACCGATCCGTGGTTGGGATGACAAGTGAAGAAACCACCAACCGGTGAAGCATGCAATCCGGTCTTGGTTAGTTTTGGTTGGCTACTTATTGGCAAAAGCAATGCCCATAGCTTTAAAGGCTGTGATGATCAGGTTCTTGACGTCTTTGTGTCTGAACCTTTGCTTGCTGGTGGAAAGCACCCACCATACATTGTCCTTGCTCACTCTCCAATAGGCGGTGCTCTTCTTCGTCACATCTGCGCCGTGTTTGTCAGCGAACTTCACAAAGTCGTTGGAAGTCTGCAGTTTCTGAAGCTGTGGAGAGAGAGCCAATCCTGCCATCTGTGCGACTTCCTCCTGCTCAACAGCTCGGCGTTTCAACTCTCGCATCATGCAGCCCTCATTTTCGAAGCTCTCGCCATCAATGCCACCGATCACTCTGCAGGCCAGATGGCTTTTTGCACCTTCCGTCAAGTGTTTTGGCCTTGGCCATTTCCCAGTAAAAAGTGGAGATGCGATCCAAAGGCAAACAAGCCACGAAGTCAGAAAGACGATGAACTTGGAGCAGCTTCTCTGTGGCATCGACACCTTCAACATACAAGTAGCTTGCAGCACTTCTGGCTGAAGATCCCACTGAAAGGACACTAGACTGGCAGGATGAAAAGGGAGGGAACTTGAGCAAGAAAGTCATCAATCATCACTTTTGCAAATGAAGTTGCAGGGAGTGAAATACATGTTCAGCACCCCCAAGCATGGGTTCCACATGGCCGCAAGCTTCCCATCTAAAGCAAAATGGGCACGGGCCTGGGTTAAGTCATTGGGTACCCCAATAATTGGATGGTTAATACTTGATACTTGAAAATAGGCTCAAATCCGTGGTCCCCCAGGGATTCCAGTTTGACCCATACCCAAATATTCAGGTCTTCAAACCTGTTTCAGCACTCAACCAGCCTCTTTCCTAGCTGGGCGACGGAACCAAGAGAACCAAAACCCACGAATTCAAACACAATCCATCGGTTTTCAATGATTTTCAACATATCCGACACTCAGATTATATCAGATTATCATATTTTTTTGCCCCATGAAAAGCATCATTTTCGGGGCCAGCAACCCCCGAAACTGGGCCCCAGTTCTGGGCCATTTCTTTTCCGCCTCAAGCAACAGTTGCACGACTTCTTTCGAGGCATCGTGCTCAGCAGCCTTGGAGTGAGGTTTAGGTTGCTAGGTTTAAACATGTTTAAACCATAAACCATGGACCATGTGGTAAACCATAAACCATGGCTAAAGCTAGAGTGATGTGGTAAACCTATGTAAACCTCACATCTTAGTGTAGGTACATTTACCATGAACCATATTGTAACCCGATGTTGAGGCTATTGCTTGAAATCTAAGAGGAAACCTGGTTGGTGATTTCAATCTGCCTGAAATGAGATGAGTCATTTTGATTCATATCATCCAAGTATGAAAAAGACGGACAACGTGGATTATATATTTAATATATATATAGATAGATTGTAGACATACTCAAACAATCAACCGGAAACTGTCTCATCTTTGATCCTCTTTGTGCTTGCCCATGACTCGCCATCTGTCATCACTTAGATTTGTGGCTTCCACCCATCTGTCAGAAGTCAGTTGGGATCATCGTCCCAAGAACATATTATATATATGTATGTATATATATATATATGCTCGCCCCAACAACATTGTTTTTTTCTCCAACAAAGAAGAACAATTTGGGTACAGGTCCAAAATGGGTACCCCATTAGATGGTTAATACCAAAAAAAGACATGAATCCTAAAATCTGTGGCCCCCTAGGGTTTAAATATTGACTCATACCCATTTAGGTTATCATGGTTTGTCCAAAAATAGAGGGTATAGTCCGGTATAGTCCTCAATCCACTGCTCCATAATAATTTATCCACCCAAAAATGCACATGACTTCAGGGTTCAGCCCATGTTCAGGAAATAAATCCACTTGAAAGGGTGCAGTTCCAGTTTCTACAGTTACATGTTCTATAGGATGGATACATAACCATAGTTCTAGAATGTTTTAGGGGCATATCCCATCCATTCCCATCCCAACTAGGGGCTATGAATCCATAGCCAAATCCCATGGCAAAGTCATCCCCACCATCCAAGGCACCCAGTGCAAAGGTAACGCGCCCTCGTTGTCCGCTTCCTTTGGGGCAGACTTCGGACATCGCGCCTTGCGACGGCGACATCGGCAAGCAAAGTCAGCTGTGGAATGACCAGATCTTACAACGCACATTGTACATTAATACTATATATATATGTAGCATTTATATATATATATATATATAGCATTTATATATATATAATATATGTATTATTTATACATATATATATATATTATAAGGTGAGACCGGAAAATGTAGGAGATGATAGGAGATGTCACCCCAGGATGTAGTCATGCGCACAGAACATGGAACCTGAAGAGAAACCAACCCTCGGTTCTTAGTCATGTCCCAGTCACCAGCAAAAGTCTTGAAGACTTTGGAAGCAGTAGACTCAACCAAAACTTGACAATGTTAGCAGTTTCGGACCCACTGATATAATCATCGCTAAACTGGTGAATCCAACAGCCATTTCGGCTGTTACAGGATGGGTCCGGCCGTACCGAATCTCCGAAAGCTGGAAGATGGGGCGTTCCAGCAAATGTTCCTTTCCCAATTTACACATCCCTGTGGATCCAAGTACCCTCTGGTAAACTAACATAGCTATTGAAAATGGCCATTTATAGTGGATTTTCCCATTAAACGTGGTGATTTTCCATAGCTATGTTAAATTACCAGAGGGTACCTCCTTAGGAAGTGTTTGGGGTATGATTTCTGTTTCTTTTTTTTTCAGTAGCTTCTCCCGAGGTGTGGATGGTGTGGATCCCTAGGGCATGTTTACACGATAGAAGTTCTGGGATCCCTGGGCTCAAGCACCAGCAACAGTTTCACCGCTGCTGCATCCAACTTCTCCACATAGTGCAGCGGGGTCCAACCCTCCGGCGGAAAAAAATCCCCCAGAGAAATGGAGGTTTGTGGCTGGGAAATGCAATGGAATCAATGGTGGACTGAAAAAAGTGGTAATGCTCATTCAACCAATTCATGGATTGATGTAAGGGGAAAAAATCAAGAGAACATGGTTTGTGCCCACAAGTCTAGGTGGGTTCTGAAGATTCTCTCTTCAATCAATGTGAAACATAGATGGTCTGGGGATTTGACTAGTGTGGTATCTGAAAATGGGTTGTATACCCCCAGTAATGCATGTATTTGGTGGATCATGATCATTATGGGGCCAGTGGATGGAATGGGGTATCCTGGTTTTCAAACAAACCCATCTGCTTTTGTGACTGGGTGTTTTTGTTCGGGGGTAAAATTGGAAGGTACCAAATATAGATCCTGTGGGTTATGGATAGGGAAGGTTGGGTGCGCAGGCCAGCAAAAACGGAAAAAATATGATAAATCTTCCTCCCCTCTTAACATTTTGAACAAAAACTGCATTTGATATGGGATAGTAACGGTCCTACAAGTATCTTCAATCACCTATATGCATAGCTATTTATATCAATCGATTCGCCATTTATCCCAGTTGTGCAACATCTTCACATCTGCAGGTTGATTCTGTGGAAGCCTCGCCCCCATTCGCACCTCCGGATGTTTTTCCTCTGCTGCTGCCGGATAAGCGTCCAGCAACGCACGCAAGACCTGAGCCGACCGCCGTGGCTTTTGGAGTGTCAAGACAGAGCGCCAGTACCTTGTGCACACTTTTCAGAACCATCTACTGTACTATATCAATATCATATAATTAGGTATTATATAGGTTGGGTACCAAACATTTGACACACATCCAGGATCTTTCTGGAACAGCTGGGCTGGGTGGAAAAGTGCAGTATGGCAGCACGGGCGTTCTCCGCTTGGGTGAACCGATATTTTTGGGCGGCTGAGAGCACCCTGAAGGAAGGTTTCACAGGAGAGAAACCCACCCCGTCCACCCAGTCCACCCCAATCTTGGATTTTCTTGGCTTGCAACCTGAAATTTTACATGGAATCCACATTCTTCATGAATTGGAGAAAGTTGATGGGACATTTCACGCTTTTGGAGACACCTGACAATATGCCGCGCAAGGTCTATTTGATGGAAAATTCCTTCAAACTATACTGCACCGCCATTTTAGATACGTTAATGTGACATGAAACAGTCTTTCTTCATTCAAATTCCACAAATGCCATTGATGCCATACTAGTTATATATGGAGGTTTCCTAAAATGGGGTACCCCTAAATCATCCATTTATAGATGGATTTTCCCTTATAAACCATCAATTTTTGGGCATCCCCATTTGTGGAAACCCCCATATGACTACTCCACTGTAAAACGAAGTGCTCAGATGGTCCCCAAATTTACAGGAGAAATGCGATGAAGCCCAGCCTCTGCACCAGCTCCGTAGCTTAAGGCCCAGAAAAATGGCCTTTGTGCATCACTGGGACCCCATGGGAAGGGAAATTCATCACGTGAGATGAAAATCCAGTTAAAACTGTCTATTCTTGTTGTTCAGAAATCAAATCAATTTGAATGGATATGTAGCCAGTAGAAATGGATTAGGTATCTATCTCATTCCGAAAAAAAAAGGGGATGTTACCAGTGAAAACATGGAATTGAGCAATGCGGACTGGATCACCACCAGCAATTCCAAGTTGGGTCAAAGATAGGGCTTCCCACAACGTTTGGAAGAACGATCAGCCTATCTGAAGACGTTACCAATCTGAGTAAGTTTGACCCAAATCCACTCTTGTGTCTGTCAATCCCGCCCTTATCACTGAAATAGCAGAATTTCCAAATTATTTCCATATTACATGTGTCTCTTACAAAAAAAAATGGCCCTAATTTTCCAATTTTGATGGTCGAGAACCTGATTTCCTCATAAAAAGCACAACTCTGAGATATCCCGACAGTTTCAGACATACCCAAGTCATATCAAGTTGGTTAACGCATGATATCCGCATTCTTATCCAAGTCGAAATGCCCCTGTGTTGGTTGTATTCCATTGTTGCTGTTTTTATCTGTTTCTAATATCTCATATCATCCCACATCTCAAGTATGTTTCGGGATGGCTCATAAAAAACCTATATGAAATTAGACCATTTTATGGGGGAATCAACATCCATCAACCAGCTATTTTTAAAGGACTTCAGCCGCGGACAGCAAGTTGTAGAAGATGTCCCTTGCTTTGGCCTTGCTGAAATGTTTTTACAAGCAGCGTTGCAGAACGGATAGCATATATATATATAGAGTTATATATATAGTTATATATATATATATGGGATATACATATATGGGTTTTATGGGGTGTATAATGGTGTGTGTATATATAAATATTTCTGGATAAATGATGTTCCATGTGTATAATATATAATATCTTAATATAATTATATATATATATATAATGTGTTTTTTTTTTACATGACTGCATATGACTGCATATGACTGCATATGACTGCATATGACTGCATATGACTGCGTATCTGGAGGTTTCATGCAATCTTGCCTACCACATCTATTACATCATTTCGTCATTTCGTATCATTCTAGAAGCATACTATGTCATAGGATCATTGTCAATCTTTGGTAGGTTAAACAAAAAACAATATCCTTTGCTGGTTGGCTGGTGATTTTCCATAGCACTACCGTAGGATGGACTCGGACCGGGTATCCCAGGCAGTTTCTGGCGTAATCAGCGGCTTTAGCACCTCGGCGAGTGGACCATGACTTGGGATTGACAAATTGTCGTGACTGGGGATCCCCCATGACTTAAGAGAGCTCCATCACTGGATATCTATGATATCTGTGGATGTATCTCCATTTCCATTCGGATCCATTCGGATCCATTCGGATCCATTCGGAGCATAGTATACATAAGCAGCATTCCAGGATGCATCAAAAGGTAAGTCACCAACTTGAACTGCTTGGGGTAAGTCGCCATCCTCCAAAATCCCGTGTCACTGACCGATCTGACCGTGTCACTAACTTTTTGACTGCTTGAAATCAAGTTGGTCACCCAAGAAATTTGGCTCATTTGATTATAGTCATTAGGGGAGAATAGATAGAGCTGGGTCGGCACGATGATGCTGCTTGCCAGTAAGTACACATTATATATACTCATGATATATGCATGAATATATAAATATATATTCTCCATTTGAAAGGCTGGTGAGATTAAATGAATTCTAGGTGCTGGTTGCCGGTTGAGCCAACACAACTAGTACTCAATGGAGACCATTCATCACACCAAGGGAAGGAACGCAACAGCAGATTGAAACTGATCAGTTTCTAGGTTGGTTGCCAGTGAGCCTACTTATTTAGCAGTGAATCATGACAAGGAAATCATGCGCAAATGCAATTCCCATGTTTCTTGGTGAAATCCCCACTTTGCTGTTTGAAGCGTCGTTGTTGATGAAATCACCAATCCTGATTAGATATTATCATTGATTAAATCGAAAAGATCTACTGTTGAAATCACAACTCTTTTGGTTGGTCAAATCACCATGTGTATCGGTTGAAGATGGTTGAATCACCGTGTTTTATATGTGTTTATTGGTTGAATCACCATATTTTGCTGCTTGAATCACCATTTTGAGCTGGTTAAATCACCATTTCTGCTGAACTTCCAGGTCTTCTTCCCCGTCCTCTGAGGTGCTTCACCGACAAATCCGCCCGTTGCTGGAGTGCCTCCGTCGAAATATGGCCACTGGTAGGTACCTTCCATTTATTAATGTAGCTCCATTTGGTCCTGAAATTCCCATTAATGAAATGGCCTGCAATTTGACACAATTCAAGGCCTTTCATTGTGGCGCTAAAGGGAGTTGAATGGATGGCCTTTGACAAACTGGAGATTTCAACGAACACATGGAGGTTCCAATCCATCAGGGCCAAGGGTGGTCCAGGCCTACTTCCGTAGCTAATTTTATTGGTACGCCCCATTTTCATTTACACGAAAAGATATATAAACAATGATAAACATGATATTAAATAGTGAGAATGGGTTTGAACTACAAACCATGATCCCTGATGATCCCTGGAAGTTCAACTAAGTGCAGTGCGCCCAACAGAGATCTCAGATTGCTGTTCCTGGCGGCAGGATCTATTCATTTTGGGGTCCCAACAATTGATAAACGTTGGGATAGGATCCGCCGCTGGGATTAGGTATGGGAAATCATCTGTATAATACCTTTCTACAAGCAGGGATTTTCAGCTGCTGGCTTAAGATTCTCAGAGGGTAAGTTCTCCAAAAGCCAAATGCCCTGCTCGAAACTGGTCGAAAGATTGAAAGTACTTGGCTGCTTGGCTGTTTTGCCACCCTCGCTATGGGCTATCAACCATCAACCATGCCAAAAGAGGATAGAAAAAGAGCACATGGGCGCAGCTATTAGTCAGCACCAGTCGACCAACCAATCTGTTGGTTTGAAGTCGTATCTGGCTTTGAATATGTGCAACCCACCCTGGGCCACCCAAGTTTGCTAAATCGAACTGCTCGAAAATGGTGGCAACTTGGAATCTGCAGCCTCCCGAAAATCATATTGATATTGAAAACTCACCTGAACGGAAAGCTATGGATTTCGATAGCGTTTCGTAAATTTACAGCAGGATTATTCCATTCTATCCCATTCTATCGCGCTACTAGATCTCCCTAAAGTGATGACTTGACATCCCATACACCCCATACTGTTCGCTGCTTCAATCCTCCAGTGATGCTTGATCAACCTCTCTGCCCACAATCCAACCATGCCGGCCACGCATGGCGCAGGCCGGCACCGGGAAAAACGTCACGGGCCGGTGGGGAGGCAAAGCAATTCGGTGTGGAAAACTATCACATATATAATACCTGTGCCTGACCATTTTTTTTTACCATTTGGGATTGTTTGCAAACATGGAAAGCATGGAGGTCATTGAGATTTACCACATCATAGTACGGAAGCCATCTAATCCCATCCAACTGAATTTCACCGCTCATGTAACTTCACTGAACTTCCGATTGCAAAGACAAGCCCACAATCTTCAAGAGAGAAATCGATGATACTTGGGACCTCCCATAGCATAGGTCAGCAGAAGGTATAGTGAACTCCTTCAGTACAACATGGTGCGAAGTGCCAGGGCTGAGCTACTCAGGGAAGATATGTACTTGAAAGCTGCGGACAGGCGTGATGAAAGCTTTAAGTCCAATGAACAAACTCTGGAGAGAACAAACATGTTAAAAACTGCTCAGCGGCCTCTAGGAATGCATATTGTCACAATAGTGTGTCTGTTGTGTGGTGTATATGCCTGATTCTGTGTGTATGAATAGTATGCGTTCTATTGTGTACATATACACATTACACATACAATAACATTATATTTTTTCAAGTATATATATATATATCTATATATATAGACATCTACATCATGTCAAATTCTGCTACAAGCACTGAAACACGAATTATTCCTATCTTGTAGGCTACCTCGGCTACAGGGCCTTTTTTTTCCGCATCCCTGGGATGCAACCCGTACTGCAGTAACTAGTCTGTTTATGGTGGACATGTCTACAATTCTCTATAGTTCATAGTTACTGGCATAGTTCATAGTGGTTTTAAAAGAACTTAAAACTGGGGCACCTTGTACCCCGTCAAATGACAAACGCAGCAACAAACAGTGCAAAGGAATATCGTTGACCTGCACTGAAAACGATTAAAAACTCCCCTACTGAAGAACCCTATGACTGCAGCTTCTCGCTTGGCACGCCATTTTCGCCAAGGGCGAATGCTGCTGCGTCTGCACAGTTCTGCTCAAACCAAATCACACGAAGGCCTCACAGCGTCTTGCTAAGCTGTTAGAGCACTCCTGTGCCAACGTCTGGTTGCCTGAAACCCAGCAATTACATAACCCAAAATTCAATGTGGAACCCGAACAAAGCCATATTCGGAAAATCACATTGTAAACCTGTAAAAAAACCAGGAAAAATAGAAAACAACACGGCATGATGGCAAATTCAAGTGAGCTGCATCCACACAATGAAGATCCGATTGCAAAGTGGCACTGTTGATCCACTGTGAAAAAAAAGTTCAGTAAGTTCAATACCCAAATGCTCCATGTATGGAACATATAAAATATAATATATATAAATATAATATATATGTATAATACAATATATATATATAATAATATTATATCCAATATCCTATTTATAATATAATGCAACTATTATATATATAAATATAAAACAATATTATATCATATTATATCATATTATGTAATATTATAATATATTGTATTATAATACATTAAACTATATTATATTATATTATATTAAACTATATTATATTATATTATATTATGTTATATTATATTATATTAAATATTAGGTTATATTATATATACATTATTTTATTTATTATATTATTATATATATACATATATTATATTATAAACATATATTTATTATATATATATATGTAAATATTATTCTATATATATATATTATTACATCATATATATATAATTATATATATATATTATGTTATGTATATATAATATTATAATATTATAATATTATATATTCTGCAATATTATATATATATATATTGTGCAATATTTACCAACCTTTCCTCAAACAAGCTTAAACATAACCCAACGTGGGTAAAATATGGCATACATGGAGCATGTGGGATAGGACCATACCGCAGTTCCGGCCTGACCATCAAGGACCTTGACAGCCTCAGCACGGCAATCCATGGTGGCTGGGAAAATCATTGAGCTTTACCGGGATTTCTCAGTTTATTCAACGATGCATGGCATTTCATAGAAATAGGGTTACAACATGATACACAAGAGTGTGGCATTTTGTCGTTGGGGGTAATGCATATAACATATCCTCAGTTGTTGCTGTTTTTCAGATTTTATATATATATATATATATTTGGATTAGGGTTTGTTACGTTGTTCTACTAGTAAATCTTGATCCTTCATTGTTCTACTGGCAAAATTAGTAATTACGTGGTTTCTTACAGCTTTTACCACAGTTCATCAACTGTTTTTTGTGTCAAACCACTAATCTTTGTTGGTTGTGGTTGGTCAAACATGCCGGTGGTTTGGAAATTCCACCTGCGTCATGAGGATTTTTTTTCCTGGATGTCCGATTCCATGCGTCCTGTGCTTTACAATGTTTGTTCTTTGCTATTTAGATCTATTTAGTCACTATATATTCTGCTTGAAGTCTACCCTGTTCCGCAAATTCACCTGGGATTTTCCCATGTTTGGAAAGGGCTGCCCGAAACTACAGGGCCAAACAAATGTGTAAGTTTCAGAAGGGATCTCATAGAGAAACAGAAGAACATGAACGTTACTTCACCCACATAACGTATGGGATAGGAGAGCATAGCATCCAAGTAGGTAAGGGATTCAGTCCCCACAAAACGAAAAAACGAAACCTGCACCCTACATGACATTGCAACATGAAAAAGTGCGGTTTTCAACTTTTCAACCAGGGGGTTCAAAAATCCAACGACACTATCTGTATGATTCTATGATTCTATATGGGCTTGTCTGAACATGCGGTACCCCAAAAATGCCATGGTTCATCATCATATGATCTGTTTATATCACTTGCATCTCTTGGCTATACCATATACCATATAATTACACTGTTTTGGGACGAACCCACATATCATGTTGTTGATTATATCCCCAATCCCATTCTGACCAGGTTTTTACAACCATGAATGTTTGTTGGCTTCACCCATTCCAGTTACTTTTTAGCCCGACTTGTTGATGGCTTATCCTCCGCAAATCAAACATGACAATCACAGATCCACTACTTTTAGATGATTTTCCCAGCCATAAACCTTCATTTACTTCGGGGATTTCCCAGCTAGCCACGTTTCATGACACCTAAATCCAACTTATGATCCAAAACTCTCCCAGAAATATGCCATAAATAAATCCATATAAAATCCCTATAAATCCCTAGAATTTCCTATAAATCCATATAGATCCATATAGATCCATATAAAATCCATATAAAATCCATATGGATGTTCTATCGATTCTATATGGATTTTATATATATATATAATCCATATAAAATCGATAGAACATCCATATAAATTCCATAAAATCCATATAAATCCATAAATAAATCCATATATAAATACATACAACATCCATATAAAATCCCTATAAGTCCATATAAATCCATATATAAATCCATTAAAAAAAAACATATATAAATCCATATAAGATCCATATGAGCAATCTTGAAAACCCTAGGTCCACGGAAAAGACATCCACAAATTTGGGAAGGTCCCATTGCTTACCACACGTTTGTACAATAATGATATATGGTAAACTTGGAGGGTATCGCTTGCAGGAAACTGCTACATATATATATGTGTGTGTGTGACATATGTGTATTTTAATTCACAGACATCAACGTCCAATTTCAGTATCGCTAATGTGGATATTAGAGAAATACAATGACGTAACCTTGAAAAGGGGTATCGCTAATTTGGGAAGGTCCCATCGCTTACCGTGTGTTTTTAACAATTTCCATCAATTTCCATAAACCAATGTCCGTCCAATACATATTTAGTATTGCCGGGGGTTTTGCGGTGGCTCATACATAGATCCACATATATATTATATATATATATATCCATATAAAATCCATATGAAATCGATAGAACATCCATATAAATTCCGTAAAAATCTCTAAAACTCCATATGTAAATACATACAGCATCCATATAAAATCCCTATAATAAATCCCTATAACATCCTATAACCATTCAGTGGTGAATCAACCATTCAGTGGATCATATTCTGTCATCCCAGGAGGGCCCGACATTCTTCAACTGCTCGATCTGCTCCTTACGCGTAGCGATCAGCTCCTGGCCCGATCAACGTGGGTTGGGTTCACCAACAGAAATGGTGGTTTCCATGGAGGATCCCCAATAGCTGGTGGGTTTATTTCATGGAAAATTTCATGGAAAATCCCATGAAAATTGATGATTTAGGGGTACCCCCATGACTTAGAAAACCTCCACATGGTGATTTAAACCAGCAAACATGATGCTTTTATGGGATTTAGAACTGATTTATGATAGCTAAGTTGACGCACATCATCACTTGGTTGGGTTTAGCGGGATTTCACCCTGGGTGATTTTGAAAACTGGAGTTCAGCACCATATATGATATATGTATAATATATCGTTGTCCCCCAGTAGTTAACCTCTTGAATCCACGTGAAATAACACAAAACTGGGAGTTCTTAAAACAAGTAAGAATAAGTATATCCGGGATAAGTATACGAATGTGGCAGTAGTTCATAAATCTATTAAGCGATTTCGGGATAAGTAAGGTGCCGTAGCCCTTACAATTCCCATCAACGACATGGCTTTCGGTCAGATGAGGCCACCAAAGTTGTAGAAATAAAAAAAAAACGTTTCATCCCATCAACAGATTTAATCACCATTTAATTACCATTATTCTTGGGATCACATGTGTGTATGTATATAATGATGATAATGATATAATATTATTACTGATATATATATATATATATATAACTATGTCATTACCCATTCTATAAATAATTCCCCGACCTTGCTCCCGTTGATCCAGTAACCGCCACTCCTCAGCAGACGACACCTTCGGTCCACAGTTGGTGGCCAAGGCAGAGTCGGCCTCGTCAACGCTGTGACCAGCAGGGCATACGTCAACAGTGTGCGCGTGTAATATATATATATATGTATGTAATCCATGCTTTCCAGATGTACAGGTATATGTTGTGTATATATATATAGTGTATATATATGTATATCTAGTATTAATGTATAATATATATATATATATCGTAGCTAAACCACATGACTCATAGATAGACGATCACATAACAGTTCGCCGCACGGCAAACTTCATGGGATCATCCCGCGGGAAAGATCGTGTGGAAACCTGGCGCAAGTGATTCCAGTGATGTGTGGAATGTCCCCTGCTGAAGAAAACTTATGTTAATACGCTATTAAGTCAATCTGGTTGGTGGTATACCTACCCCTCTGAAAAAATATATATATATATATTAGTCAGTTGGGATGATGACATTCCCAATAATTATATGGTAAACCACCAACCAGTTAATAGTTAAACAGTTAAACAGTAGCAGGGGATTCATTGTTCTTCAAAAATCAAAAACAGTTGAAGATGCTAGTAACTAGTCAAAGGAAGTTTAGGGGGAGAAACTTCCGTGTTACGGACTTTTAGAATGTCAGGGAAAGAGTTAGTCAAAGAAAGAGTTAGTGAGGGAAAGAGTTAGTCAAAGAAAGAGTTAGCAAAGAAAGAGTTCGTCAGGGAAAGAGTTAGTCAAAGAAAGAGTTAGTCAAAGAAGAGTTAGTCAAAGAAAGAGTTAGTGAGGGAAAGAGTTAGTCAAAGAAAGAGTTAGCAAAGAAACAGTTAGTCAGGGAAAGAGTTAGCCAAAGAAAGAGTTAGTGAGGGAAAGAGTTAGTCAAAGAAAGAGTTAGCAAAGAAACAGTTAGTCAGGGAAAGAGTTAGTCAAAGAAAGAGTTAGTGAGGGAAAGAGTTAGTCAAAGAAAGAGTTAGTGGGGAAGAGTTAGTCAAAGAAGAGTTAGTGAGGGAAAGAGTTAGTCAAAGAAAGAGTTAGCAAAGAAACAGTTAGTCAGGGAAAGAGTTAGTCAAAGAAAGAGTTAGTGAGGGAAAGAGTTAGTCAAAGAAAGAGTTAGTGAGGGAAAGAGTTAGCAAAGAAACAGTTAGTCAAAGAAAGAGTTAGTCAAAGAAACAGTTAGTCAGGGAAAGAGTTAGTTAAAGAAAGAGTTAGTCAAAGAAAGAGTTAGTGAGGGAAAGAGTTAGTCAAAGAAAGAGTTAGTGAGGGAAAGAGTTAGTCAAAGAAAGAGTTAGTCAGGATATATGAGGTAGTCAAAGAAAGAGTTAGTGAGGGAAAGAGTTAGTCAAAGAAAGAGTTAGTGAGGGAAAGAGTTAGTGCTGGTGGATGAGTTGCCGATGGAATTCCATTGTGATTTGCAACTCTAGGATCGTTCCCTCACTGCAAATGGCATTGCAAGTGGTGCTGGTGGAGGAGTTGCCGATGGAGTTTTGGAGGAAGTCTCGCACGAAATGCGTTTTTGAGAGATAGCAAATGCACGAAAGCCTATGTTTTTCCACACAAAGTGCGTCCCCGAACCTCGATGATCTACCTCTGCGGTGCGACGGTTGCGAGACGGTCTCGTGTGTGGTCGGATCATGGGCGGATCATGGGCGGATTGGTCTCGGATCGGTTCCGCATTGTAAATGGGGTTTCAACTGTTTTTCGTGCATGTGTGGTCGACAGAATTCCATTGTGATTTGCAACTGTAGGATCGTTCCCGCAATGTAAATGGGATTGCAAGTGGTGCTGGTGGATGAGTTGCCGATGGAATTCCATTGTGATTTGCAACTCTAGGATCGTTCCCTCACTGTAAATGGGATTGCAAGTGGTGCTGGTGGAGGAGTTGCCGATGGAGTTTTGAAGGAAGTCTCGCACGAAATGCGTTTTTGAGAGATAGCAGATGCACGAAAGCCTATGTTTTTCCATACAAAGTGCGTCCCCGAACGTCGATGATCTACCTCTGCGGTGCGACGGTTGCGAGACGGTCTCGTGTGTGGTCGGATCATGGGCGGATCATGGGCGGATTGGTTGGTCTCGGATCGGTTCCGCATTGCAAATGGGTTTTCAACTGTTTTTCGTGCATGTGTGGTCGACAGAATTCCATTGTGATTTGCAACTGTAGGATCGTTCCCGTAATGTAAATGGGATTGCAAGTGGTGCTGGTGGATGAGTTGCCGATGGAATTCCATTGTGATTTGCAACTCTAGGATCGTTCCCTCAATGTAATTGGGATTGCAAGTGGTGCTGGTGGAGGAGTTGCCGATGGAAGTCCATTGTGCTTTGCAACTGTAGGATCGTTCCCGCCGTGTAAATGGCTGGGTCAAGGTTGCTTCGTGCTGTGGCTGCATTGGTAATACTATTGTCTTTTGCAGCTGGATCTCGTAAATCGTACAGGAGTGGCTGCATGAAGGCTGCCACAGTGATTTTGTCAGCAGATTTTCTCCATTTTGGCGCTAGTGATTTTCCTTCTAAAAATCCTTTTAAAAAGTGCTTCAAAATCGTCTTTTTTTCGCTCTGGCGTCGAGATCCGGTTTTGGAGCTACAATTTCCGACGCCGTTGTGCGTAGTTCTATTGTGGTTTGCAACTCAGTCTCTGCAGATCCTATTGCAATGGCTGCGTCAAAGTTGCTTCGTGCTGTGGCTGCATTTGTAATACTATTGTCTTTTGCAGCTGGATCTCGTAAATCGTCTTGGACTGGCTGCATGAAGGCTGCGAAATGGATTTGTTAGCAGATTTTCTCCATTTTGGCGCTAGTGATTTTCCTTCTAAAAATCCTTTTAAAAAGTGCTTCAAAATCGTCTTTTTTTTCGCTCTGGCGTCGAGATCCGGTTTTGGAGCTACAATTTCCGACGCCGTTGCGCGTAGTTCTATTGTGTTTTGGAACTCAATCTCTGCAGATTGCATTGTAATGGCTGCGTCAAGGTTGCTTCGTGCTGTGGCTGCATTCGTAATACTATTGTCTTTTGCAGCTGGACTTCGTAAATCGTATTGGAGTGGCTGCATGAAGGCTGCCACAGTGATTTGTCAGCAGATTTTCTCCATTTTGGCGCTAGTGATTTTCCTTCTAAAAATCCTTTTAAAAAATGCTTCAAAATCGTCTTTTTTTCGCTCTGGCGTCGAGATCCGGTTTTGGAGCTACAATTTCCGACGCCGTTGCGCGTAGTTCTATTGTGTTTTGGAACTCAATCTCTGCAGATCGCATTGTAATGGCTGCGTCAAGGTTGCTGCGTGCTGTGGCTGCATTCGTAATACTATTGTCTTTTGCAGCTGGATCTCGTAAATCGTATTGGACTGGCTGCATGAAGGCTGCGACATGGATTTGTTAGCAGATTTTCTCCATTTTGGCGCTAGTATGCGCTAGTGATTTTCCTTCTAAAAATCCTTTTAAAAAGTGCTTCAAAATCGTCTTTTTTTCGCTCTGGCGTCGAGATCCGGTTTTGGAGCTACAATTTCCGACGCCGTTGCGCGTAGTTCTATTGTGTTTTGCAACTCAGTCTCTGCAGATCGCATTGTAATGGCTGCGTCAAGGTTGCTTCGTGCTGTGGCTGCATTCGTAATACTATTGTCTTTTGCAGCTGGATCTCGGAAATCGTCTTGGAGTGGCTGCATGAAGGCTGCGAAATGCGTTTGTTAGCAGATTTTCTCCATTTTGGCATTGGCACTAGTGTTTTTTTGTTGGACGTACGTTTAGAGCAGTGTGAAGTGTGGGGCGTGAAGAGTGCAGTGTGAAGTGTGAAGTGTGAAGGAAGCAGTGGGAAGTGAGAAGTGTGAAGTGTGGAGTGTGAAGTTTCAGTTTGGAGTGCGAAGAGCGCAGTGTGAAGTGTGAAGTGTGAGGTTTGGAGTGTGAAGGAAGCAGTGAGAAGTGAGAAGTGTGAAGTGTGAAGTTTGGAGTGTGAAGTTTGGAGTGGAAGGAAGCAGTGAGAAGTGAGAAGTGTGAAGTGTGGACTGTGAAGTGTGGAGTGTGAAGTGCGAAGTGAGAAGTGTGAAGTTTGGAGTGTGAAGGAAGCAGTGAGAAGTGAGAAGTGTTAAGTGAGAAGTGTGAAGTGTGGACTGTGCAGTGTGGAGTGCGAAGAGCGCAGTGTGAAGTGTGAAGTGTGAAGTGTGAGGTTTGGAGTGTGAAGGAAGCAGTGAAAAGTGTGAAGTGTGGGTGAAGTGTGGAGTGTGAAGTGCGAAGTGAGAAGTGTGAAGTGTGAAGTGGAGTGTGAAGTTTGGAGTGGGAAGGAAGCAGTGAGAAGTGAGAAGTGTGAAGTGTGGACTGTGAAGTGTGGAGTGTGAAGTGCGAAGTGAGAAGTGTGAAGTTTGGAGTGTGAAGGAAGCAGTGAGAAGTGAGAAGTGTGAAGTGAGAAGTGTGAAGTGAGAAGTGTGAAGTGTGGACTGTGAAGTGTGGAGTGTGAAGTGCGAAGTGAGAAGTGTGAAGTGTGAAGTTTGGAGTGTGAAGTGGAAAGGAAGCAGTGAGAAGTGAGAAGTGTGAAATGTGGAGTGTGAAGTGTGAAGTGTGAAGTGTGAAGTGCGAAGTGAGAAGTGTGGACTGTGAAGTGTGAAGTGTGAAGTGTGGACTGTGAAGTGTGAAGTGTGATGTGTGGACTGTGAAGTGTGAAGTGTGCAGTGTGAAGTGTGAAGTGTGAGGTTTGGAGTGTGAAGGAAGCAGTGAGAAGTGAGAAGTGTGGAGTGTGAAGTGTGGAGTGTGAAGTTTGAAGTTTGGAGTGCGAAGAGTGCAGTGTGCAGTGTGAGGTGTGGAGTGTCGAGGGAAGGACACGGTCGGGACAGGTTGTCTTTGAACTATAGGTCATTTATGTTTGGGAAACTTCCGCCGCCGGCTTGCCCGGGTCTATGTTAATACATGCTATTTACCAATCACAACTGCCCCTGCCTTGTTTACCCTGCAGTTCATAAACCACTTCAGATTGCTGGGTATCATCCAACCTTGCTGGCCAGGATGGCATTCTCTTTTGCCGTCACCACATCCTCGCTCGCGATTTTTGCTTCGTGATCTATATCACGTAGTAAAGCCAATATGAAACCTCCATTGGGGATGATTTATTGTTGGGTTTACCATGGTTTACCACGTTAAACCCATGACTCAAGAGGTTTTGACTTTTGAAATAGTCTTGCCAAAACGATGAACTACACAAATGCAAATTCAAGAGAAAACCACGGACAAATGGAAGTCCAGTTTGCCTAGCCAACGTGACCTGGTAACTATCACAAGTTGGTACCAGTGCCAGTATCCAAATGCATTTCTTCCCATAGCTGCGGAAAAAAAACACCAAAACATCTTGGCAGCTTTGGTGTCACATTTTCGTCGATCAACCTATAGAATCTGTTCAGATCCCGTCTGGTAACACTGGTTTTTCAGTGTCTGAAACAACACACACAATTAAAACAAAAAAAACGTCCAATAGCACCAGAATGTCTGAATCTGCAGTGCCACTGGTACCCAACGGGCAGCTGGTCTTTTTAGACTGACACCCTGGAAGATGCTTTTTGTCTGGTTTCAAGCCATCACAAAACTACGGAGATTGGTTTACCATCTTGTTTCTGTCCATACAGAATGGGAAACATTTCACACAAACCAGAAATACAGAGGAGTGTTTTTGTATGTTTGTTTTGTTGGCATGTGCCATGCAATGTGATCCAACCAAACATAAACCATACATACATGTGCCGTTTGCTGGGTTGTACTGTAATTGTTCAACAAAAGCGGTCATTATGTTTCTCAGGAATATCATCACCAAGTTCGAAATATTCATCAGTATGACATTACAGTCTTATCAAGTTTCAATGGCTTGGTGTAAGGCAACATTTACAGGAAACTCCTATATTTCATGGGAAAATCCCATGGTCTTCGCTTTCGATTTTCCCTTGAACCATTCCATTGATCTGGGTAAATTATAATATTTCACTAACCTGAATTAAGGCCATTTGGGGATGATTCCCCTTACTAACCATGATTCCAGTGAGGTCGTAGTGAGGTCGTTATAATTTACCCAGATTGATTCAACACATCAGCTGAGCCGCTGCATTGAGCTGTGCGAGTTCATCCTTCCGCCTGTTTCGGAAACATCACAAGGGCACCGACAACGGGGTTTCTGGGTTTACGAATAATATACAAACAAAAATTGCCTTTGTAAACTATTGCATACATAATACATATGTGTATATACATATCCAATGTATCATAAAGCTGTCACAACTATAGTTTTTTGCGAACGGTGATCAAACAATACCAGCCATGGGCCACTGGCAATTCCAAAACCGGTGTGTGTGTGTATGCATATCTATACCTATATCATATCTGTAATAGGTCTATATCTGTATATATATATATGTATATATCTATCTCTGTATAAATATTTATATTTATATTTATATTTACGCAGTTGTCAAACTCGCATAAACTGGTCCAGAATGTCGGGACCGGCATAGCTCATCATTTTCAGGCCACCAGGCCATGGACATCCTAGGGCCAGGGCTTCAAGTCCATGTTCTATTCTCGGAAAGAAATACAGAGAACATGTACTGTGGGTAAAACAATGTATTTATATAATTATATATATACCACCTAATTAAACATGCTGATAACTGGGGGGTGGTTTCATGGCGTTCCCTTTAAGAAAAGTGTGTCACTTTTCTCACTTCCAATTCTTCCATTGAGCTTCCCAGCTGCCCTCGTGGTTCCCTTCGGCACCTGTTGAGATCAGCCTTGGTTTGGAAAAGACTTCCCTCCTGGGCACTCAGCGTCTTGTCGATCGCCGCCTTGCTAGAGTTCAACGGCGATCTGATGGGGATGGAAGTGTCCGGTCATGAAATTCATGAAACGTGGAAAAATCTTCTGAGATATTGGGTATATATTGGGTATATGAAGATATGAAGGGGAGTATATGAAGGGTATAATCCTCCAACGAGTCAGAAACCACTTTTGAACACTGCTTATAGATGCGGCCAGGTGAGATTGGCACTTTCGCTACGGGAGATGTTTCGGATCCCAAAGGTCCAACATCAATTTGCGAAGTTTGAAAGGAGCCGACTTCTCTAGGGAAGAAAAAGGGAATTGAGTAGTGCGCAACATCATTTGGGGATATTCAATCTGCAAGTTCAGGGGGGCCCGCGAGAGTTGGGAAGCCGCAGTCTCGAAGCCTAGTTTCCGGCTCCACAACAGATCAATTTGGGGGAGTTTTCTTCCCGACTTTCATGTACGTGGATTCAATGGCATCTGCGTCTTCTTGCGGTGTGCTGTCTCCACACTAATTCTCAAACATAATCATAATCATCATCACCACCATTTTCCGACCATCATCATCCTCCTTGTCCTCATTACCTCTATCATCTCCACCATACATATCCATACGTCACGTCCATGATGTGACCCTGGAGCAGCCGCATGGAAGTCACCTATCCGACCTATCCCCACTTGAATGGACAAATTCCACGATCACCAGGAATCGCCAGGATCCCAGTTGGTTGATAGATGTTGATAGAGATTCCCATGGCTTCGTAGATCACCCTCTACAAACCAGACACATGATATAAACGAAAAACACACAAAAAACAAATCAACCATCATGTCTCAGTGATATGGTTCAAACCCCACAACCCCCCGAAAAAAAAAAAGACGATGAAGTCTCGTTGAAATCCCATGGTACCTGCTGCTCCTCAGCCACTTTGCTGAACTCCACCAAATAGCTGGCCAAATACTGCGGCGGATTGTCTGATGTATACATGACACATTTCAACATGAACTGAATGCATTCAATCATGTTTATTCTAAACACGTCTTAGCCATCCACGTGGGGCAGCCATTTTTATTACCCATGCTATTTCATGGGCTTATGTTGATGATTGACCACTGGATTGAAGTAAGTAGTAGAATGCCCACTTGCTAAGTGATATTGTCAGTGATATTTCATTTCTTGAGAGTTGAACATGAAACATCACATGAAATATCCCATCAAAAAGCCAACTTATATACCACTGTTCTCACTATTAGCTTGTCAATTTTGTTGGTTGCTTAAATATGATGGTAGGATATATATCTCTCTACTTATATCCCAGTAATTTGTAGTGTCTCAATTAAATCCTATTCAGTTGTTGTGGTAAACCCACTGTAAGTCATAAACCATCCATTTTTTCCCAACCTGACCTGGGGGTCATTAAAAACATCGTCCCACAGAGGGGTATACGGCCCTATTTCACCTCAAACTTGGAGATGGCTTATAAGGATTATTAATACTTAAGGGATATGTTAATAAGGAGATGTATTAAGATAAGGAGATGGTCAACTCATTACTATGTCTCAATTAAGATTATTATGGCTTATAATGATGGACATACTGGGTTGACCATATTAATATGGATATTTACTACTAATTATCTAATATGGATTAATTATATAACTTGGAGATTGATAATCAGTAGTAATTAATATTGGCCATTAACAATCATTAATGATTCATGAAAATAATTCCTTAATTAGCCATTAATATGCCATTCGGGATGGTTTACCTGCATTGGTTAAAGCATCCCCAAAATGATGGTTTACATTTGGTTCAATCATCCAATTCGTAATGTGAAATCAGATTGACGGTTAGTTCGCCGCCAAATACCCTCTGTTAATCTAAGATAACTATTGAACATGGTCCATTTATAGTTGATTTACCTATCAATCACGGTGATTTTTCATAGCTATATTACTTTTACCAGAGTGTAATTCTATCATTATCCCCTATCACCATTTTTATCTGGTATAAACCATTCATAACCATTCCCAAATGGGTGATTAGTTCACCACCAGATATCTGTGTAAATTATAATATTTCACTGACCTGAATCTTGCGGCCACACGCTTCCGTTCGGTCATGCCAGCCCCCCGCAGCTGACTGAATCTTGCGGCCATTAGGGGATCATTTCCCTTACTAACTATGATTATAGTGAGGGAGAACAGTGAAGTCGTCATAAGTTACACAGATAAATTAGTTATAAACCCATTAACTAGTTACTAGTTCGGTATATCATCAACAAAAACCATAGTGAAACTGGACTTATTGGGGGGGCACCAATTTTCGATAGTTATCTGGTTGGTGGTTTCACCCCCTCTGAAAAATATTAGTCAATGGGAAGGATTATCCCATATATTATGAAAAATAAAACATGTTTGAAACCACCAACCAGATAAACATGTAGTTTTTCTTAAAATGGGGATCCCCAAGTCACCGGTCCTAGGTGTCAATACAAAGTCATAGTTATGTTAGTTCACAACCAGATATCCATCATTTTTGGCCATGGAGATTCCGCGCCTTGTCCAACTCTTTGAGCCCATTGGTGGCGCGGCGCAACGCAGCGTTGGCTTCCGCGCAATTGCTGGACTGGGCAACGTGCGGCCAATTGGACACGTTTCGGCTCCAAACGAGATGCAAAAGTATGGACAAAAATAGCCTTGAAATATAGGAAATCTACGGAAAATTCAAGGACATCTATGGAAAATAAATGGAATATCAATGGACTTATAGGCACTTATAAGGATTTAAATACAGTGATACAATTGGAATACATGGGATGTAATGATGTAATGGTATTGTTAAAGTTATACACACAAATATATGGTGGAAGGGCTGAGTCATGTCAACTTCCATTCCATTTACTCTATGTGAAGTGTTTCAACCATTGTAAGTTTTGCTGACTCTTAGAAATTGTGACAGATGTGGAGTTGCACGAACATCACCAAAATTAACTCCCAGGTTGTACAGATGTCCAAACAGTGGATATCTCAGGAGAAACACAGCTGTAAGCTGATCAGGCTTGGTTCCACTCATGTTTTTTCCCCGTTGTGGAATCCATCATTATTCGTTAAATTTCGTTCAATCCCATTATTACTGGGATAATATATGACAACATCGCATTATTCCATGTTGATACTTTGGTACATCACAGACTCTGGCTCTCCAAAGCCACGCTTTTCCTAGTTTGTTTTCATCAGAAGTTACATGAAACCAATGTCAAAGCCATCGACCAGGCCCGGAACAAACAGAAAACATCACATTTCGAGTTCATGTCCATTCCATCAGCATGTTTCAATGTTGTGTTCACTCTGTCATCTATGGCACCCATCATATATCCCAATGTTGTCAAAAAACATATCTGTGATCATGATCATTGATATATACTGTAGCGGGTGATCCATTGGGAAGCCTTCATATATGTGATCATGAGGATATATCATTGATATATATATATATATATATGATGATCCATTGGGAAACATCAATGATCATGATCACATATATGGTATCCCAATGTTTACATATGGAGGTTTCCCCAAATAGGGCTACCATGTACTACCCAACATCCAAGGCATGGATGATCCGAGGGACCAGGTCATCTGACAACTCGCACTGAGTCACCAGCACCTGCGGCGAGAAGTCCGAGAAGTCAACCGCTGGGTCCGTGTTGGCTGTTTTTTTTTGCCATTTTTTAAACCAACAGCCATGGCTGATGGTTGATGATGAATGTTCAACAATGGTTGTTGATGATATCTAATATTTAAATTAGTGTTCAATGGCTGATGGTTGATGATTGTCATTAATATTGTTTATTGTTCAATGTTGATGGTTGACGGTTGATGATTGTTCAACAGCACCAAAGATGGTTGAAGCACCGAAATAGTTCAACGAATAAATAATGATCAATCATCAACTATAATCAACTATTGATCATCTCATGGTTAATATTGTTCAACTATTATTATAATGATTATAATCAACTATTGATCACCTCAACTATCTTGATCTATACTATAATATAATCAATATTGATCATAGTTGATGGTTGATAAATCATCACTTTGCATCCAGGACCACGAGAAAAGGATCTGGATGGTGACCCGCTGTCCGCTGTCATCAATCATGGCTAACTATGAAATCCCCGAACTAAATGGAAGTTTATAGTTTGGGACGAAAAAAACACATGGAATGATGATTTGTGATTGCTATGTTTGATTACCGGAGGGTAAGTGGTTCCGTCATAGATCATAATCATCATGATCATCATGATCATGGCCTGTTTCGTCTGACATATGACCTAATGATGGCCTGAGTCGTCTGAGAGGACCCAATTTTCCATCATCCCATCTGTGGTTCTCTCGGCCTGTTGGCTCTTGCTCATCACGTCCGTCGTAGCCTCATGGTTCTTCACCTGTCCAAGGTGACCCAGGGTGAGCCACTCCCCACGGTGCAGGTATAGAGGAGTAAAAAACACACACATATATATATATGTATATAATTATAATATATATATATATATATGAATCATCATCATCATCATCACCATCATCATCATCATCATCATAATCATCATAATATATATATGTATCACATCATATCTTTGTGGGACCATAGAATGGGGGTATTCAATATTAGTGTGGGGATCGGGGCTGAGGATCCACGGAAGAAATATGGTTTTGGCGGGCCCAGCATGTGGTACCAATAAATGAGTCAGTTTGAGGTATTCCGATAGTTTTGTAATTCATGCTTTGTTATGTATGCCAATATTACCAAAATAAGTTTTGTGATTTTTGTTAAACTTGTTATGTAAATACACCAAAATATTACCAACATAGAGATGAGCCATACCCATATGCGCCATGGTCAAGTTACACGGGATTAAATGGGGTAATTATGGTCATCCATCCCATAATGGGAATCCAAACAAAGTGGGTACATACATCCCTATGAACAAGGATTGATGACCAACCCCCAATTAATGGGTATCATCCAACTTTTGACCATGGCACATATTTTCAATTGATTGGTTTAGGCGAAAAAAATGAAGGAAAGCAATGTTCTTTCCTGGTAATAAATTCAGGGTGCTCCTGTAAATTGTACTTTCAACTGAAAATCCCATCAAATCGCTTTGGCTTAAGTTATATATATATATAATCCCTTCCTCCTAATACTAAACGTCCCCCTAATACTAAAAACAGGCATCCATCTCCAATTTCCGAAAATTTCAGTTTGGCCAATTTGACTTTTAATTGATCCCCTTTAAAAAACAATTTAAAAATCAACCTACCATTTGTGGGTTCTCCCCCCTAATACTAAAAACTAGTTCACCCCGGGGTGTTTAGTATTAGGGGGGCCTAGTCCCAATCCCTCACTCCAAGCTGCCTAGCTACTCTAGCAATTAGGGGTAAGCTTCTAACTGCCATTTTTGGCAATATTTTAATTGCGTTATATAAGGAAATTTAATTGATTTTGAGATCGGAAAAAATAGTTTTTAGTATTAAGGGTTTTAATTTAGTATTAGGGGTAAGCTTCGAACTGCCATTTTTGGCAATATTTTAATTGCGTTATATAAGGAAATTTAATTGATTTTGAGATCGGAAAAAATAGTTTTTAGTATTAAGGGTTTTAATTTAGTATTAGGGGTAAGCTTCGAACTGCCATTTTTGGCAATATTTTAATTGCGTTATATAAGGAAATTTAATTGATTTTGAGATCGGAAAAAATAGTTTTTAGTATTAAGGGTTTTAATTTAGTATTAGGGGTAAGCTTCGAACTGCCATTTTTGGCAATATTTTAATTGCGTTATATAAGGAAATTTAATTGATTTTGAGATCGGAAAAAATAGTTTTTAGTATTAAGGGTTTTAATTTAGTATTAGGGGTAAGCTTCGAACTGCCATTTTTGGCAATATTTTAATTGCGTTATATAAGGAAATTTAATTAATTAATTAACATGACTTCGATTTGGTTCCCTAATAATAAATACCCCCCTAATACTAAAAACTACCTGCCGTGTTTTGTATTAGGGGGGGGGGTTTAGTATTAGGAGGAAGGGATTACATATCATAATTATACGCCATTAAATGCCATTAAATACCATGAACAATCCTTTTGTTGATGCTTCGGCTTCAACCCTCCCTCTGGCCTCATCCTTCACTCGCTTCTCCTCTGCGTCCAGCTCTTCTTTGCTGCTGGTTTTGGCCCTGGTGAACGGGAACTGGAGGATGACGATGTATCGTCATGATATCGTCATGGTATACCCTCTTGTTATTCAGCCGTTTGCTATGGAAAATGGCCCGTATATTTCTAGACAATTTATGTATAGCTATTCAACATCGTGAATTTCCATAGCTACGTCAAATCACCAGAGGGTCATAAAAGTATAGTCAGCTGTGCGATAGTTACCATTAGTTACCTACACAGGGAACCTTTTGGGTATCTCATTTTGAAGAAAAGACCCGGGCCGCGATTCCGCCATTGATCTGAGAAGATCCACATCCGAAACATCAAGGGTTTGATCTTGTTTTGTGGGGACCGCATCACTCTGATCACAACATCTTTACAATGAAATCATGACCAGTCGATGATGTTTCAACCTTGCCCTCTAAGAACATTAGAGTCAACAGCTGCAACGTGGGCCTCCTCAGTTGACAATATAGTAGATCGATATAACAAATATAGTACATGAATTTAATAATATAATATATTTAAATAGAATATATGATCATAAATTCTTATAGCTACCATAAACATCCATAAACCATGATAATAATTAACCCTATAGTCTAAAGGTTATGAACTAACTATAACTAACTTATCAATCTTTCGGGCCCACGGCTCGGGTTATGTCACGATGAGGCCAGTTCACATGGCTCCGGCTGCCGTCAGGTGACTCTTTTAGAAGCTTCACCTCGCCCTCGATGAAGCGACTTTGCACCTGCAAAATTTCGGATGTTTCGTCCCGAACATGTTTAAGTTAACCCTGGATCATGATATATCATGATGCGGACGGAACATACATAGTTGAAAGGACAGACACTTAAGCTTTACCAACAAGATTCTCGCCCCCCAAAAAATGCATTGTGTGTTTTCCGTCAAAAGACAATATGTTTGGGACATATGTTGAACCGCGTAAACCTGGGACATACCCGGATAAACTGCTCACTGCTGCTGCAAGAAACAAATTTCTATTAACCCCGCCTTCTCAGCATCACAAAAGCAGGGTCAAACACAAGCAAATGGAATTTGCTAAAAAAAGTGTACCCCCATGTACCATCAATCGCTGTGGTCCTTGAGGTCGTTGACCGCATTCTCGGCCCATCGCTTCGATTGCTCCACCTCCTACGGATTGAACAACTCCGTAGGGATCCATTGGTTGGTGAACATCAGTCATTACATGGTTTAACATTAATGGGATGATAATGGGGATATTAATAGACAATGAATAGATGACCTTCTGGTCAAACGTGGCAATGGAATCCACCATGTATATATATATATGGTTGATTTTCCCATTACTGTAAATCCCATTTTAAACCCTCATTTATAGGGGATATTTGCGGATTCTCAACCGCCACATTTGCTTACCAAATGGTACGTTAGCCTTTGAACAACGGCGGCTGGACCGCTGGAAGCGGATCAACTTTTGCTGGGTCTCTGATAAGTTAAACGATATCCCAGTCCCTACACCAATATCCAATACAGATATGGATTTGTCTGAAAATGTAAGAACCCGAAGAGTTTATGGTTTGTAATTATATGGATTATCACCATGTTTCCAATTTTCCAATATCATCTTGGGGGGGTAGACCGCATCTTCAGACACCCAGAAAAAGTAACAGCAAATGATCTCAGTTGTTTGTGTAGCGAATGACTTGATTCAGCCATTGCAAGATGGGAACAGCAAAGCCTATATAGAGGTCGGTTTACATTCAAACAAATACAGTATATTGAGGTTTCCTGAAATCGGGGTACCTCCAAATCATCCATTTCAATAGGTTTCTCCATGAAATAAACCATCCATTTTGGGGTATCCCCTAAGACTATGGAAACCCCCATTTTAGAGTTATCCCTATCATGGACGATCATAGTCCGCAATGAACCAGGTGCACCCCCCCTTTTTTCACCCATCAACAGAGCTATTTTGAGTGGCGAATACATGAGATGTCACCTGTCCAAATAGCTCCATGGCATGGATGATATTCCCCAATGAGTCTGTTCATAAGTCCCAGCGGCCTCTTGCGCAGTCTTAAGCTTCTTGGTCTTCTCTTGGGCTTTCTTCAGTTGATCAGCCTCAGATTGCCGTCTGGTAATCAGTTCCACGGCTGGAAAATAACTACTTCAATGGTTTTCGCAGCCATAGACCATTTATTTCGATGATGTTCAATAATTTTCATCTCAATGGCCATTGATATGGATGCTTTCTCAGCTTGTCATGTTTGACAGAGGGAGATGGCTCGATGAATTTCGATGTGAACCCATTGACCCATTCCAAGCTCGATATTTGGGGAACCACACCCAGAAGATGGTTCGTATATGTTAGTATCTCATACTATATAACTGTATAACTATAACCCTTAAGGGCTTCCACAAACATGTCAAAACATGATTCGAATAGACCACAAGAATCCACAAGAATCAAAGAACGTGGTGATTTCCGCTGCATCCACGCCCCTTTTCTGATCTCCTTTTCGTGCTATTGTGCCAGCGGGGTCTGCTCCCATCGGCCAGTGCGGTGTCGGGCGCTGTACGAATCGAATCCCTGTGGATCATCCGACCCAAAAAGGGGCTCCGTTTGTCGACGGCACGGGAGCGGTGCAGATTTGGAGGTCTGGACCGCAGAACTGCCCACAGTTCAGCAACCAAATGGGGGAACAACATGGAACAACAGTAGATGAATAGATGCTGAAGAATACTGAAGATATCTATTCTATATATATATATAGAAAGATCAGGTCCAGATGCATCACGGATTGTATACAAAATGGAAAGGAGACTGACATGTTGCTGCATGAGCTGACCTTTCTCACGACCTGAAAATGGCGAACATGGCCCTAGTCAGTCTCCCTTCCAAGAAGATAGATTCGTGTTCAGCCCTTGCTGATATGCATGAGTCCTTTTTTCATACATAGCAACCTTCAAAAAGATAAAACAAATCACCATTATGATTTGCAGGAGTTTGTAGGATTTGACATGTCATATGTTTTCTCTTTATCTTGGGTTTCTGTAGATGGAATGTCAATGTCGATGGACTGAGCACATCCGGCCACAGCAAAGGCATAACTCTTGACGCCGGCAATGATGGGCGGCGCTCGTACAAAAAGAGCGCTGCACTGCGCTGGAACACACCACGTGTTTGTTCCCAAAATGCTCAAAGGGGCTCCGACAGTGAGAAGATTCATTGCTTTTTGTATATCAGGATGGGTGGAATGGGTGACAAAAACCCTTGATGATGATGCTCATCCTTTATAGTGATAATCATTCCTTATTTGATGGTAAATAAAAGCAAACAACAAGTAAAAGGAATATAAGCAAAGTTGGCCAGTCTTCAACGCCTTCAAAATAAGTCTGGAACATTCTGGAACCCTGTTCGCCTGACCTATCCCAACCAACTGGCCAGAATATGTACATTGCATTGTATTGCAACCCCTTACATGTACGTATTATATTATTGATACATGTATAGATGTAATTGCAACTACTATAAACATGTCTGCCAAATGTAACATGTTATATTATAGTTCTAGTCTATGATTTGATTGTATAGTGATGTATAGTGTATATTGTCTTCCGTGTAGAGTACACTTGATGAACACATTGCCATCAATGTTTACCATCTATACTAAGCAGCCCCTACCAGCAAGAACACAAGATTGTACAAGCCTGCAAGAATCCTTCTCCAAGGACGACTCTCAGGGTATTTCAAGCGCCGGTGTTCCAACCGTTGCAAAAGAAATTCGAACCACAATCACATATTTCTTCAGGGCTAAACATCGAATCTCTGAGCAATGCATAACAATGTATATGTATATATATATATGTATAAGTATATATATATACATATATATATGATTATATGTATGTAAACATATAATCATATAACACTATTATATATATACAGTGATATAATCTAATTTAATAAAATATAATATACCAACATATAATATAACAACATATAATATAAGGGAAACATATACCACAATATAATATAATAAAAATAATATAACACAATAAAATATATATATTATAAAACAATATAACACATTAAAATATATAATATAATATAATATAACAAATTATAACATAGATTATAATATGTAATCTATTATATAATATAACATACAATATAATATAATTTCACATGATATATATAATATAGTATAATATAGTATAATATAATATAGTATAATATAATATAGTATAATATAATATATAATATAATATAATACAATATAATGTAGTATAATATAGTTTAATTTAATATAATTTAATATAATATAGTATAATTATATATTCTAAATAGACATGTTACACTTGTGATCATCATCCCACCTTCCGGGATGGAAAATTCTCCATTTTGGCACACCGCGCTTTGTGAGGGTCTGGGTGCCGCATTAAAAGATGCGTGGCAGACCGTTGTCGTCCGCTGGGAACAAGACATGCCAAACTTGTTGTTCGAACATCTTGCAGGTCCAACTCGCTTGCTCACCATTCGAATGATGCAGCAACTTTTGCGCTCCATCTCTTCATAGGAAGTACATTCATCATGCCTCCGGCCGTTGGACCAAATTACATGGTTGATTTATCGGCATTCTGACCATCTATTCATCCATTCTTTATACATTGCCATATATGAATTTGAAACCCATGACATCATCATCGGTGAAATTTGGCGACTGGACACTTATTTTAAGTTCATGTTGCTTGCGAGGCCAATGTGTTTGGTTTTTTAAGGTGGCCCCCAAATCAAAATGGACTCAGGTGTTGAAAATAGGTATAGCTCCAAAACGGCTTTTCTGGAGAAAACATGGTGATTAGCCAATGGATTTGTTGGGGCACTATTGTCAAACAAAGCCACGAACGCATCTTTTTTTATGTGTTTTTTTAACTGCTGCATGAGTTCAAATTGTTTCTATCTATTCTGGATGGATCAGAATAACAAACTTGGAGTCCAGACCAGTGCTATATACCCTCGGGTAATCAAACATGGCTAGCTGGAAAATCACCATTTTGCTTGACGATTTTCGCAGCCACAAACCTCCATATATACACTTTAAGTACCAGAAGGTGTTTAACGATTTCTATAGATATCTAATGATATCTATCTAAACAAATCCCAGCGACAAACCTCCATTTTTTACAGTTTGATACTTGAAAATTACCAATTTTTTTCTGTGGCCAACTGGTGGTCAAAAACTCGTTAAACTTGGGACCATCCGTCCGGTGCCTGTGATCATGGAAGCCACGTTGCCAGGACTTCCTGAGTCGCCGCTGGGGAACCGCCATCGGTCATACCCCGATAGCCAAGACCAAGTGATGAGATAATAATCGCATTCGTGATTTTCCGATCCAACTGATACTATAATTAGCCAAGACCAACTGATTATATATATATATAATATCTTAGAGCAAATAGATTGTTTTCAGTCCCCATCTTCAAGATGTCCGTTCATCGCAGTTCATCGTTTCAGTCACCGATGGAAATCCACAAACTTCCTGGGTACCGCAAAGGTACGGCTGAATCCAAAGGGAATTTCCTGATGAATCAATAGCTATGGAAAATCCATTATAAACGGAGGTTTCTAGCTGGGAAAAGCATATGTTTCTATGGGTCATGGCTTCCATAGCTATGTTAAATAACCAGAGGGTATATCTAATTATAAAACATAGCTCAAAGATACTGAAATATCTGGGTAAAGTACACTAGCTCCCTGAAATACTGGAAACATGCGGCATTCCCACATATAAACCATCATTCCAGTGACGTCGGAGTGAGGTGGTTATAATTCATCCATGGAGTGATACTGAAATCATAGTATATCATATATATATATATATATCATAAACATATTCTACATATATGATCTGGTGGAGCTGTTCATATATCACTGTCCATTTTACAGTATATTTACTACTCTTTTTTTTTATATACACATATCTAAAATATCTATAGTCTATAATATATATATATATATACACATATTATTATTGTTGTTATTATTATCATTATTATTAATATATATATAATATTATAATATATATACGCATATTTGTAACGTCCATCATTCGTTGGTCTCAGCGTCCGATGTCCGTCGCCAAACTCATGGCCACCGCCCCAGGGGTGGCCAGAAAGGCCACCATCTCTTGCACCCGTAGCCTTCAGCGACGCGCGGAATGGCGCCGTAAAAACGGCCGTCATTCCGTGAAGGGTCACATTTCTAGTCATAACTACATGAAAATCATACACGCCAAGATGTGTCAACTATGGTTTTTATGGCAAATATTTATTTATTTATTTATCTATTTAATTAATTTATTTACTTATTTATTTATTTACTTGTTTATTTATTTATGTATTTAATTATATAATATGTATATATTTTTATATATATATATATATTTATATATATATATACAGTAACTATGGATCCAAACACTTCCTGAGTACAGCTAACCCTCCAAGTTATACCACAATAAAGCTTTCTAAGAAAGTACGCAGACCCGTCGGGAGTAATTCCATGATTTCCATGATCAACAAAATATGAAAACCCGTATTAACATGATATGATTTTATGATGGTATGAATTAAATCACATAATATGATAAAATGTGGTAAACCCAAGAGCAACTATAGCCGATTTCACCAGAAATGGGTGGCATAAGGTCTCCAAAATAGGAGGTTCATTATTGAGGTTAGGTCAATTATCATAAATCATCTAAAAATGGGCCATTTTCCATAGCTATGTCAAGTTACCGGAGGATAAAGTTGAACTCGGCCGAGACCCGTCTCAACCGGACCCCAAGGATTTTCTCCGAGAGACAAATTGAGAGGCGTCTCTACCATCCAGCCGAACATCCGGAACAGCCTGGGGTGCTGCACATGGCATGGAAAGGTGGTGATTTATGGTGGCTAAGGGGTTAGTAATACGTTAGTAATGTATATAGTATATGCTAATCATGGTTGGACACATAATTAGATAGTCATGGCATGGATGATTTAGATTTTCCCACTGGCAATTGAGCAATGTTCAAACCCTGCAACGTCAATCCACTTATATGATTAGGGAAGCGATTTCATTGTAAACCTGCGAATCCTTCAACGCACAAGTCGACCAGAATTGGCTGCTTGTATCGCCCATTTGTTGGTTGTCGTCCCCTTTTTTCTTGGTTACATCTAGTCATATAATATCGTATAATAGTCTTCATGTACTTTTGATGACTAGACCTTCAATCCACTCTTATCCACCATGTTTATCCAAGTCAATTTGTATTCTTCATGTATATTCCCCGCTTTTCAAACGTTTGGGTTGATCCTGCCCGTAATGTTTCAGTGCCGAATGCAAGCGCAGTCTGCCAAGCGTCTTGTCAGTGCCGCAAAGCATCTCAATTAGGACTGCCGCCAATGAGAAAACCTTGGACTCCAACAGGACCCTGAAAAGCTGAGGGTGAAAGCCGGAGTTTCAACAACCAAAAATCAGGAATTCGGCTCACCGATACATGAAGTCGAGCAGCAGAAGGAACTCATTATCATCGCATGCAAATGAAACAATTTCAACACAACGTTTGCTAGTTTAAACGATGTGTTTGTTAGTTGAACCAAATAGGTTCCAATGTTGTTCCGGTTGGTTATACAGTTGTACAGTTACCCCCAAAATATCACCGTAAAGTGGTAAGAATCATCGACCAACCATTGGTTCGGTTAATTTAATCCCAATTCGATCCCATTGAAATGGTTTTCCCAATTCTATCCCCATGGTTTTATGGTTAACCCCAATAGGGGTATCACAGTTGGTGATATATTTCATGAAATTAAATATCCCCATTGTTATCCCATTAGTGGTTATATACATTTGCAAACCCATCATTCGCCCGTTTTCCCACATGTTTAATTGTGCAAAGTTACAAGGTATAACCCTTACACACGTATACACACAAGGTTGAAAATTGCCCATGGAAAACATTCCCATTGGACCACAAAGTATGTTATCATCCGAAGAAATTGGAATGGTCAAATCCCTAAGTTTCCCTAAGATTTCCGGTCCTTAAGCTTGGCCGAAGATTTCCCAAAGATCTCCCATATCCCACATATATTTTGGCTGATAACAATTCACCAACCTGAAAAGAAATAAAGTAAGGCCATTTGGGGATGATTCCCTCACTAACCATCAAATGCCGTCATGACGTGAGGTCATTCTACGCTGTTCATCCAGATGCCAATAAGATGTCCACGATTTCCGATCAGATTTTCCCAATTTTTCCCAAAGATTTCCCAAGAAAATCCCAAAGATTTGTTGGGAAATAGTGCAATGTGGGTAAAGCAATAATAAACCATTCCCCAAATCACCATAAACCATCCCAAATGGGTGGTTTGTTTATGGCATAGTTTTACCCACATTAATCCTGAAAACCATCATTAGTGGTTATAAAAAAAAAACGATTCATGTATTATAATCACTATTAATATTCTATTAATCACTATCAACCACCATTATTGATGTTGCACCATTATAATCATCACAATCACTATTTACATCACTATAATCACTATAATCACCATTATAATCACTATAAAAAAACACTATAATCACTATTTACCACCATTAATGGATTATAATGACTATAAAAATCACATTTAACTACTATAACCACCATTATTATGAGTATAAAAATCACATTTAACCACCATAACCACCATTATTATCACTATAAAAATCACTATTAACCACCATTAGTGGTTCTAAATTTTATAAATCACAAGCCATGGATCATAATCACTGTACAAATCACTATTAACCACCATTAATGGATTATTAATCGCCATGTTTAATGGGAAATTTCACTATAAATGATCAATTTTCCATAGCTATGTTAGTTTCCCAGAGGGTAATCACCATGAATCATCATTAACCATCATTAATCGTTGGCTCAACCATCATCATAATTATAATCACCATTAATCACTATTAACCACCATTAATGGCATAGCTTTACCCACTTCAGCGCCGCGATTCGCCAAAGGACGTCCGCCTTGGCCAAGTCCCAGGGTCTTCCACAGGGCCACGCGGCTTCAGGAGCCGTGAAGGGCCAGGTGCCACGGGGGTTGCCTGCAACGTTTAAAAGGCCATGTTTGCATAGGGAAACCATAGAAAACCATAGGAAACCATAGGAAAACCCATGGAAACCCTATGGAAAATCCAAGATTTCTCTGTGTTTTGCTTCATGAATTGTGGTTTTCCGTGTTTCACGCTCTTTTCTTTGGTGTCGTTGAAGCTTTTCTGTGTTTGAAGACGTTGTTTATGTGTTGTTTGCTGCTTAAACATACATTCAAGTGCTGTTAGTGGCATCATCGCTTATGTTTTTTTATGACCAAACAGGTGAAGGGTTTCACTAGCACTGCAAGTAGTCTGTAAGTGGTGGTTCAGATAATCCAAGTCTTTTCAAATAAGGCCCAAACATTGCAACGGTGCTAGTTGATTCGCTCTCTGGTGTTTGGTTAATTTGTCTTTGTTTGTGGTTTGATATCCTTTTTAGCGTGGTTCAGAGTTGCAGGGGTGCAATGGCCCTGGGCGAGTGAACGCTGAGCTCCAGACATCAAGCTAAGGTCAGCACAGCTCTCAAGATGTCACAGTCTCTCAAAACACTGAAAGGGTTAAATGCAAAAGTGGCGCAAGATAAAGAAAATTCTTAACAAGTTGGACAGAACAGCCCTGGGTATTTGCTGCTCATATGTCAATGGAGTCACCCCGGCGGATTTGTACATTTATCAACAGGACTTGTTAGTTCAAAGTTGAAGCCTCAAAAGGTACCACAAAAAGTATGTACAGCGTTTTTAGGGCTTTGGATGACTTTGGGATATCAAACAATCTATTGCTCTTCGCAGCCACCAAAGGTTCCAATCCCTGAAAATCTGAAACTGCTCTGCTCGTCCCTCCCAGCTGTTTGCCCCACAATAAGATCTGGACCTACCGGCCAACCAATCTTCAATGCCAACCCGAAATCTACGATCCTAGGATCGCTGGTCCACGTGGACAAGAGCTTCTGCTGCACAAGAGGTGGCCGCTGGTTCTGGAAATGATCGAAAAAAACTAACGCTCCACATACCAAGTCATACCATAAGAAATCAAACTCTGCAATTGCTACAAGTCTCACCGCGGGGGTTCAAGAGCTAGCAGCTAGCAGCCAGCAGAAAACACATGATGGCAAACTGAAAGAAAGTCAAAACCCGTTCCAAAGGAGCTGACAGGGTCCTGGTCCTCCAAGCAGGCAATCGGAAAGACATGCAGGCTCTCTACCGCAAAACAGGACAGGATCCAACAGAAATACTGCAAACATACACAGTGGAACGTAGATTGCACCACTTCTTACTTGAAACATCAACATCAAAGTTTTGGATGGCTAGAGTTGTTTGGCCATGTTGGGCCCTTTCACTAGATTCACTAGATGAAACTAAAACGAACCTTAGTGAACCTGAACGTTGCACAACCAGATTCTTTGGAATGCAGCTGACCTGGTCAGCAGTTTCACCCCATCCCCCAAAATGCAAGTGATGTGGAAGTCGCCCACTCAATCATGGTGTATGGAAACTAAACAGAGGAAATACCAACTACCAACCAGGCATCCAACACAAAAGTTTCACAATGTTTGACTTACTGGTGCTTCGTAGGAAATGGGGGAATGATCCACAATAGCTATTAACAATAATCCCATTCTCTCATTCCCTACTGAGCACCATTAATTTGACTGTTCTCGATTCTATTTCACGCTTTTTGTCCGTCCTTACGTCCCAAAAAACGACCACTTGATATGGTTGAGCCAGATTTGGGATGCTCACGCATCTACTAACTATCTTTGGTGAGGTTGTTTGTGGTCGAGATACATTAAGAGTACAAATTCTGGAATCTATTGTTAATATTAGTATCATCATTACTATATAATGCAAGCCACATGCTAAATCATGTCCATGTGGCTTTGCCCCCGAATGGAGGATACCCCATAATAACCCCAAAATGATCGAAGCAAAATGCATTTTAATCTGGGAAAGTGCTGATCAACCATGACATTCTGGGGTTGGTCCAATTTTCAGACAAACTCATGCGACGGATCGATGACGAATCTCGAGCGAAAACCTTGTGGGAAAACGAGCAAAAAAAAACAACGGTGAGGTCCAGCAAACTTGCAAATGCCCGTTCTCCCAACTTTTTGACAGGTTTCAAGGCACCAAAAACGCCTTTTCCAACGGTGGACAATTTAAGAAACGGTTGGAAAAAAGGTTCAAATTCGGAAGTCTTGCACAAGGATCTTTGGTATTCCGTCATCATTGAGCACAATATTCTGCGGTTTCAGATCCTGGGTAGCTCCGTCAAAGAAACCAAAGAACCCCTCGCACCTATGCAGTCAGAGTCTCTTGCACCGAGCTGGGGCACCACACCGAATAAAAACACATAGATAAATAAATCATAATAAAACAACATCAGCATCATGGTGACCCAACTAAATGCCAATGTTTGTTGGTTGCACCCCCAATACACAAAATTATACAAAATTATACCCCCATCATTAGACAAAAAGAGTGAAGTAAGTTCAAAAACCAATCTCCCAGAAATTTGACATTAAAACAATGTTTGAGTAAACAGGGGATCGACATGCACAAAATACACAAACTCACAGATCTATTTCTGAAGAACAAACATTGCTTTCAGCTGTGATAAGTGACACAATGGGCGAGTCCATGAGAATGACAGTATGCCACTGCATCAGCGATCCTTGCATTTAAGTGATCTGTGGCAAGGGCAAAGCGCGGAAAAACAAAACGCACATCATCTGCTGCGGTAGCCACTTGCAAAAAGCAAATCAGCCACATAGAACCAGCCAAACATAAACACAAGAAACGCAAAAAAAACTGTCCAAATGGGTTTGTCAGAAAATAGGATACCCCATGTTGACAGTCAAGAACCTCAGTTTAAGCATTGGACTTGGTATAGAAGTTGGGGATACTTGGGGTATCCCTGATTTTTGGACAAACCCAAATTGAATCAGACAACTGATTGAAGACTTGGTGAGCCATATTCCGATCGAGTCCCACTTGGCTGCCCCTGCAGCTGCGCACAGATTTGCGCACTCAGGTCGCAAGGTTTCCCAATCAATATGGGAATGTTTTCCATGGCAAGAATCTTCACAGCTGGCCAAAATTTAAGCATAGGGGTTTGGGTCAAACTTAGGTAATCTTACAAGAGACAGGAATCCTTCACTCTCCCTCTCCACCAGAAAAAAAACACCGATTTATACAGAGTTATTATAGTGCAGAGATTTATTATATCATCATATATCATCAAACACGGGACGCTTTTTGTCAAGGGCTCTTCAGCTTTCACCCTCTTTTTGGGTTAGGTCTGAGGCACAAAAAGCAGCACAACAAGTAGCAGCTCCCCCACTTCGGTTGATCATCCCTCTTTGTAGCTGAGCAACTATGACCATGACACATCAACAACTGGAAACACGCATCCGCGGTTGTTTTTTTTTATCACTGTCACATGTATATATAATATATATATATATATACGTACATTATATTGTAAATAATATGCCATTAACATGACACAGAAACAACTGAACAACCAAAACAACAAGACATTGGACTCAAAATATTTGCTCAAAATGGTCGGTTAGTGCTCAACATTTGAAATTCCAAGCACCGGCACCTCGCTCGTAGCACATTATGAAGGGAGACACTGCCGGCAAACTCCATGAAGACATAGTAGTTCTGCGAAGCATGCACCGCTCCTCGCAACCTCGTCTTTTTTATTTTGAAGTTCCAAATGAATCCCAAAGGCAGGAGACCGAACCTGTAAAATGTGGCATTGAAATTATATTTGCCCTATGAAACCAGGTGCAGTACCTTCTTCTTAGTCAGTATTTCGGGTATTACTTAAGGAACTGATTGAATCCTATAGGGATATGAAAGAAGTACTATCTGGAGCACCCCGTTTCCAAGATTTCTCAGTTCTTGGTGACGACTTGCATGTGTCGTTTTGCACCAAAAGGATGTGACCAGGTGGGTTCTAAAAAGATGTTTGTATGACTGTGGGGTCTTGCATGAGTTTAGCAGGTAATGCTTGATGGTTTGAACTGGTCAGTTTGAGAATCAAACCGCATTTCATGCAGAAGAATTGTAGCTTGCAACATCCTCAAGTCATGGGTTCTGGATGAAATGATTTGAGTTCCAGGAACATTTTAAGTTTTGATCAGTTTGACATCGTTTTCCGCAAAAGAAAGGTCCGTCACTGTCACTTCCTCGAATCCCATGAATTTCCTCAAATTTGGGTGGTCTAGGATAGAAAAAAAAATCTTTGAGCGGAGGCTGCAATATCCATATGTTCCTTCCAACATTGAAACTGATCAGCTAGGCCCTGCGAAGGAAACAGCGACCCATGACGCACACCATGCAATGCCCAAACCCTGTGCAAGTTCATGATCGGTCGAGGGCCGGAGGGCTTGATTCCTGATTCGTGAATTGTACTAATGTACTAATCCCCATCAAAGGAGTCAGCATTTCATAGAGATCATAATCTGATACATCACCTTAAACAATGGACCGGCATTGCAATCATCAACCAACTCGTGTCCACTGGGTATTGCTCACATTGACATGGATCTACAGTCAGGGTTGCTTAACTCATTGTAGGAAAATTACAGCCACAAAGGGGGACAATGAGTAAGTTTAAAAAAATACCTCTGGTGTTGAGCCACCCTGGCAAAACTCTCTGCTCCCGTATATTAAACACCACTCACATGGCTCCAAACTCACACAATCCAATGCCCAATCATTGTTTTGGTTTCAGATATTTCAGGTATTTCATATATCATGGTTTCTAGACTACATAATTGGTTCATATATCATGGTTTTACATATATTATGGTTTCACAATTGTGGGAAAATGGGACCCCCAGGGAGATGGGAGTCGTGAGGTCTGGTGACAACTTCTTCAAGTTCGCTATGATTTCACCGATTTGTGGTACCCAAAAATGATGACACTACGTTTCATTAACAAAACAACATGTTATCCATTGACAATATTCAAAATCGATATCAGCATTTTATATATATATACACAGTAAATATATATATATATATATATACTGTGTATATATACTGTATATATATACTGTGTATATATACTGTATATATATACTATATATATATATATACACACACTCTATATATATACTGTATATATATAATATATATATATATGTACACTGTAAATATATATATATATATATATGCTAGATATTAATATATATACACGGTATTTATACTAATAATATATATAAGATATTTTAATATATATATATATATGTATATATGTACACTATATACTAATATATTTATATCCCCATCATATTCCCATCATATCCCTATCCCGATAGGATCCCACGGCCAAGGTGCTGGATGATGTTGGGATGCTGCAGCCAAGCTAAGGTATTGCACTCCCCGGCGATGCCATAGATCTGTGCCGCCAGGAAGAGCCGAGTTTCGCCGAAGGTCGGTAGGTCAAATAGCTGGTGAATGGATGGTTATTCAGTTATTCCCCGAAACTTGGTAAAAGTAATAGGGGCGCATCCCCAGAAAGTCTGGGAAAGAGTTGCGTTATGCTGCGTTATGTTGCGTTTCTAGGTTTTATCATATATTTTGTGCTGGTCGGCTGGTCTTAGATATTCGGACTTGAACGGTTTTTTGATGACTTTCATAGTTTGGAGCGGAAGCATTCTCCGGGCTCTGGGAGTCCCAGTTTAGAAGAGACCCGAATTTGAGCTTCTCTTGGAGGACTTTTCGACGCACCTGCATCAAACCAACTGAACAAAGCATACCTCTGGAGGTCAGCTTGGTATCGCTGGAGGTGGTTTGGAGGTTCATCATTCCAATCGAAGGCCTAAAACAGAAGGAGCTACCAATCAGTTGTGGATTATATCCTCCTCTTCTGCATGTTGCAATAGCAACCCCAATTGAGCAGTGTTGAGAACCACGGTGCCAATCGTTTCCTTTCTGCTGGATATTTCGTAGGAATGTTTAACGAGTTTCAATAGTGACAACTCCCTTACAAATGGAAGTAGAATCCTTCAATACACGACCATGGTTTTCAACACTGCTTGATTTAAAGTCACTGCTATTTTTATTGCAGTAAACATGCTCTACTCTACACCCTGCAAACCATTTTCTATCAAGCTGGGGTGCCTAGAGTTATAGCCCTTTACCAGCTATGAGTCAGTAAATCACCCTGATAATCCCATTTATAACCATGTATTCCAGAAATAACAGCTTATACTACCATTATTAAATTGGTAACCCCATTTATATATATGGTTCATTTATGGAATGATAACCCCACTACTGGTATAAAGAGCTGTATTTTGCACTTCTACGGGACCCCCAACGCCTCATCCGCGCTTTTCAAGCGATTCTTCCTGAGCAGCTCCCGAGGTCATAATGAGGAATGCAGCTGAACATCGGTTGGTGAATGATGTGACATCTATGGAAAACAACGCTTTTCTGCCAGAATATTCCAGGCTATGTAAGTAAGGTTTTCCTGAGCCTTTGTGTTCGCTGCAAACCAGTCCCGTTGGCTGAGGAAGTGGTGTTAGAAGCCGCAAGACAACACAACAATATTTAAGAGGAAGAACTGGTTGGTAGATTCGAGGAAGAACTCGCTTGTAGCTTCTCGCCATCAACTCATCTCAGAGATCTTAGTCAATCTCTCACGATCTACAGAGAAAATAGGACGTTTATCCAACGTAGCAAGCTGGGCAATCCCCCATTTTCAGGAGGCCCCTAGTTGTAAGTTGGTTGATAACCCATCTAATCCATCAAAAATCCGCGTTATGATAGTTGACCCATAGTAATTGTCCATTATAAACCATCAAAACCATGTTTTTTCAGCATAGTTCAGGCATTTCCCGGCACGGTGGAGTGGCCTGATGACCTTCACGGCATTGAAGCCACCGCAAATTTGATCTGCCACCTTGTAGACTTTGCCATGTGTTCCTGCAATACGAAGACCATGGCAGGCCATGGCATGGCAAAAAAACAGAATGTTGTATGGGAAAGTTATCAATCAACATGAATATTGTTTTTATCAATACTATTTTGAATCTATCAAATTATCAATATGTATCTATTAATATTGCTTTCAATATTTTTATGGGCATCTATCAATATGATTTTGAAAACAATGTATTCTGAAAACATGATAAATATAGTTCATAACAATTCACCACAGTAACATGAAGTCATGGATTTGGGGATGTTACCAACCATCACTTGCAATGTATGGAAATGATGTATGATCCTCGGAAATTGGACGTGGCAAATTTACAAATGCTGAGAATTTAACTACAAATACCAGGTTGGATTGCCCAAGGGTGACAGTATCCCAGGCCTGGAAAATGTACCAGAGAGATCCTAAAACATGTATATATATAATATATAATATATATATATATATTTAATATATATATAATATATAATATAAATATTATATATATATATTATAATCATATATGTATGACGGGATAACTTGATGTCCGCGCATTGAATATCATGTGATGTTTCATCCTGAACTCAGACGTAAAAATGGAAACGATTCCCGCTGGCTATCTCTGGCCAGCCGGTGATAGAGAAGACCACTGTACAAATGTGACCCGAACGTGGAGAGCCCTGCTTGAAAACAATGAGCTGGAAAAAAAGGGAACCACATGTCATGGTTGGGGGGTAAACTGGTACTGGTACATTGTACATCCTGTTATCACTGCCAGAAGTACAGCGAAGTTGTGTGTACCTGGATTTCATGATGTGGTCAATGCAAAGAAATCGAGATGGTTCATGGCTTTGGGTTTACAGTTCAGTTCACCGCAGTGGATCATTTCACCCCACTTGACTGGTAAATCACCCTGGTCTTCATTAGTTCATACCCGGGATTGGGCCAATCACTGCAGCCACTAACTGCGACAACTGGGATTGAATCCAAGTAATTGCTGTACAATTTCATAATTTTACCATATTTTACCAAGTAGTTTATCCATTCCCTATCGTTCCAGCCCTACTTTCTCAGGAATGACTGGGGTATACTTTAGGGGTTGGCCGTACCTTCTAAGGAAGTGTTTGGATTCATACGGTTTGAATTATGGATGATGTTCCAATATATAATCCATTATCCTCCAATATCAATTAATGTATGAATGAATATATCATGATATTATATATATATATACAGCAAAATCCTGGTTAATCCTACAATATATATATATATTATATATATATTCATTGCGGACCTCGCCAATATCACAATTCGGCAGGTCAACTCATCATCGGTGATAGTCTTCACCAACATCAACGAAACTTGCCTTCGCCAAGGACTTGAAGAAACTGGTAGTCGCCAACAGATACCTTGATGGAGCCAAGCCACTACAGTCAATAGGTAGCTTGGTTGAGAATCACGAGGTTTACCAATAGTTTCCAACTCATGGTAAAACAACTTATTAAGGTGTCTATCAGTTTCTATCATAACGGTTTATGGTAGATAATATCGTTGTGAGGTTAAACCAACTTAAGTGAAGTGGGGGGCCGCATTGCTGCAGGGTGATTGGGCATCGCCATCCCAAACATGGACAACGTATGAAACACATTTGGACCAAACTATGGTTAATCAAAAAATATAATATAACATTAAATAATTATCAAAATTTATTAAAAGAAAACACATGGCTCTTTGGTTCCATGTTTATGTTTTTGTTTGTCTGAAAGCAAGGCCACTTGACTGTGCTATCCTTCCAGCAGGTGTTGGCTGCATATTTGGAGACATGGATGACACAGGTATTACTCAAAAGTATTAATCCAGCAGAGAATACTGCGGGAGGAAAACCTAATCGTCCCTTGTCTTTGTGGTTTTGTTCTTGTTTGGCACATTTGTTTGGAAAGCTGTAGAGATTTGAAGAGGGAGTTGGCGATGCAAAGGCTACCACAGCAAAATCCATAGATCCAGACGTCTCACCGTATCCAATCGTCCCATGTCATCCCATGCTTCAAGTACTAAATCTATTAAATCACGACCCCACATGTGCCAAGATGCTCCCTCGACTTCGGGAACCCACCACTTGGGTTGAAAAAAATCATCCACATTCAGTGAATTGCCTTCCTTGGCGGCTGAAACTCCTGAAACTGCTGAAACTGTCAACAAGAACATCCTGGCGTCCGTGAAGGTACTTCAAATAGAAAGCTGAACAGCATGTGTTTGCACACGGAAGGCGTACACAAATGTAAACAGGCCATATCAAACTAAGTCGATTAACACTCATTGGATTGGTGTAAGGGAAAAATACTTTACTTCGAGTTATCCCCACCATGACATTTATACGTTTTGTTACTGGCAAATCTTCTGGCATTCTATCTGACATATCTTCTGGCATTCGATCTGGCATATCTTCTGACATTCTATCTGGCATATCTTCTGGCATTCTATCTGGAATATCTTCTGCAATATGTTCTGGCATATCTTCTGGCACTCTATCTGGCATATCTTCTGGCATATCTTCTGACATTCTATCTGGCATTCTATCTGGCAAATCTTCTGGCATTCTATCTGGCAAACATTCTGGCCCTCTATCTGGCATAACTTTTGGCATTCTATCTGGCATATCTTGTGGCATTCTATCTGGCATATCTTCTGGCATTTTATCTGGCATTTCTTCTGGCATTCTATCTGACATTCTATCTGGCGTTCTATCTGACATATCTTCTGGCATTCTATCTAGCATACCTTCTGGCATTCTATCTGGCATATCTTCAAACGTTTTATCTGGCATATCTTCTGGCATTCTATCTGGCATTCTATCTGGCATATCTCATGGCATTTTATCTGGCATATCTTCTGGCATTTTATCTGGCATTTCTTCTGGCATTCTATCTGACATTCTATCTGGCGTTCTATCTGACATATCTTCTGGCATTCTATCTAGCATACCTTCTGGCATTCTATCTGGCATATCTTCAAACGTTTTATCTGGCATATCTTCTGACATTCTATCTGGCATATCTTCTGGGATTCTATCTGGCCTTTGAGGTCCAGCAGTGCACACTGAGCTGGGAAGGTCCCAGGTTGAGGTCCAGCGGTGCACACTGAGCTCGGAAGGTCCCCGGTTGAGGTCCAGCGGTGCACACTGAGCTGGGAAGGTCCCCGGTTGAGGTCCAGCGGTGCACACTGAGCTCGGAAGGTCCCAGGTTGAGGGCCAGAGCTCGGAAGGTCCCAGGTTGAGGTCCAGCGGTGCACACTGAGCTGGGCAGTTGGCAAAGAGCTTGGCCAAGAGTTGGCAAGGCGGAAGTTGAGGTGGAAGTTGATGCAGACATGGTCGAGGAGAAACAGGCGGAGGAGAAGGAGGAGGAGGAGGACGAGGAGGAGGAAGAGGAGGAGGAGGAGGATAGCTAGCCGAGGAGGAGGAGGAGGAGGAGAAGAACAACTCTGATAAAATCTAACAACCCTCACCTGGCAGGTGGGGAATTATAGGAACCCCCTGGCATATCGAACCGAAACAACAGCTCGGTGCAAACTCCAGCATCTGTCGGGGCATCTGTCTGGGCCTTGGTGAAGCTGGAAAGCGTCACAGTTTCATCAGCTGCGCATCTGCTGCTACCTCTAGACGAACAACACTTTGGAACATCGTCCTTTTGTAGATGATTTAACAATGGTGGTTTTCCATAGCTATGTTAGTTTACTGAAGCTTAATCTGAACTGCTTGAGGAAAAGAACAGCATCTGGGGACACCAGTTTCATGCAGTGACTCCACATGATCCCCTTTTTTTTGCTCACCTGGCTGGTGGTGTAAACCGAAAAAATGTCTGCGGATCATCATGACATGTTTGGGAAGGAAAGACATTTACACTTTACACTGTGTTTTGAAACGGCCAACCAGTTAAAAGGGTTTGGCCATGTCAGTAAGAACACAAGAAGAACCGACCAGCAAATTTCTGGGTACCCCCTTTCCAGACAAACTCTTTAAACAAACTCCAGGCTTCATTGGTTCACAATAACAAACCAAAGTTCAAACGTTTTTTTGGGATCATCTGCTAGGACATTGTTTAAAATCTTGGACGACTTAATATCTTTTCAACCATCTTACAATATCCAGTGATGGTAAAGGAACTAAAAATAGGAAAATACGGTATATACTGTACTTTATCTTGCAATATTTATCTTTAAAACAGTTTATAATTACATAATATGGAGGTTTCCTGAAATGGGGGTACCCCTAAACCATCCATCCCCATTTTGGGATCCCCCATGACTATGGAACCTCCCATATACTTACTGCTGTACTGCTATCAATATTGCACATCCCCATTGCTTTGCAGCGTGAACTGACTTGCAGCCGCTGGAGCCTCAGCACCACCAGCACCACAAATCGCCGGAGCCTCGTTGCCATGCCGGTGCCTGCTGAACGGACTGCTGAACGACCGGGAAACAAATAACATGAGCCATGTAAAAGCCATGGAAAACGATGTGGCTTTCATGGGAAATGATCCAGATCCATGACATGCATGATGGGTTTTCCATGTCTACATTAAATTACTGTAGAGTATGTGACAAAGAACTGATGCTGGAACTAATTTCATAAATGACAAGTATTGTCGTTTATCTCAATGTGCTCCGATGTCAGCAAAGTCTGAGAGAATTCAAGTCGTGTGCTTCCGTTGACACTTGACCACAAACATTGAGATAAACATAGACTGCATATGTTGAATCAAACTACTATCAAATTATTCAAACCTTAGATACGTTTTAAAACGTTTATGTTTGATTATAATCAAACTATTCAAATTTTGATATAACTTGGCTGATTGCAAAGATGGAGGACTTGCACCATCAAAAGACCATCGCTTTGGAGAGAAATCGGAGGTTGCAAACATGTCGAGGCAAGTCGAATACGTTGTATTATCACGTATTATCAAAGAAAGGGTCCTCAACAAGACTTTACAACCATTTGCATGCGTTCGCACCTGGTTGCAGATCGGCTGCGTTCGCGGAACCTGGCAGGTGGCTGTGGAAAAGAAACACAATGGACTGTCAGTACGCAATTGCATGGAAAGATGTCTATGTTCCATCAAATTGACACCATTATACCAGCCCAAACTGGGAACATCATAGCCAATTGCTGGTAGTACAAGATATACTACGCACAATCAACATCACTAAAATATATCCATGATTTCTATAGAAACTAGTACAAACATGTACAAAACAAACACACACACACACAACCACATCTTCGTCTTCAAAACTTCAACCAGATCACATGACCCTAGAGTTATGTCAGCGAGCCGAAGCCGACACTAGTTCCTCCGTCTGCCGGACCTCAGGTCATCCGAGCTCCTTTGGGCTGTGCTCATAGTCCTTGGGCAGTTCCACAAACAGAATCGAAAAATCTGGGATTGAAAGGCGCGAAACCGGAAGTCAGTGGATTTGAATGGATTTGGGAATGTTAGGGATATATGATATACTATTTTTTGTGTACATGTTTAGGCAAAACGGTAACCAATCAAGATTGGGGTGCTCAGAAGATGGATGGGCAAACTGTGGCAACATATAAAAAACATCTGAAAAATGCTCCGTCCATCTGTGGTCGGGTCTTACATTGTGACCAATGCCGAAGAAAATGCTTCTACCACCGAGGTCCCTAGCTCTGAACAAACGGCTGCAGGCTGAAGCTCTGGGTGCCCCCGCAGTGAGCAAACTTGCAGGGTGAAACAATCGTGTCCACTGTGGGACTTGGGGGCTCAAAAAGCCTCCTAAAATTCGGGCTTACATGGTCATGCCCTCCTGAAAATGGCAGCGGGGTAACACATATCTGTTCAAACATGGTGGTTGAGAAACTGCCCTCCCAAAGATGATGATGATGATGACAACTGGGAACGTCCTTCATATTTCTTAATACGTCCAAATATGTTGTTAGTGGAAAGCAGGCCATACAACCACAAGGCAAACACAAACATCATACACATTCATCATGTTGTCGTCCATTTCTCGAACAAACGGAAACATGATTTCTCTCGCAGCATCCGGCTGCACAAACACGTGAATGTCCTTAACATTCTTTTGATCTATTTCAAATTTCATCATACGTTCCTGTGTATAACATACTTTTTGTTCCTTGGCATACGTGCAAACCTCGTAGGTGTAAACAAATCATTGTGAAGTGAAATCACCCAACACCATATGTATGGGTTCTGCTCATTCGTACATGCTTAGTTTTGTTTGATATCGACGACCATGATGGGTTCTAACAGTCCTAGTTGAATGTGCATCCAACTTAATAAATGAACAACTGGATTATCCCATGTGTATGTATATGTGTATGTATGTGTATATATATACTATTGGGAATATCCCATTAAAAAATGATAATCAACCATGGTTATTGATTAATCACTTACCATGGGATACAGCCCGACGATTAATCAAACCTGGTTTTAGAATCCCAGACCTGCCCATCAAAATGTGATGGTTCACTCTTTGAATGTGACAAAACCACAAATCAAGGTCCTAAAAATTGATGCACAACAGTATTTCAAGTATGATAATCAACTCCAGATATTCCATGATATGTTCCCACATTTTGTGTGTCAAATCCTTAAAACAATGTGATCCATCTGAAGTACAATTCTCTCTAAGTAACGGAACCAGGTTTCCCGGCGCAGAATTTTTGTTTCCCCTGATCTTCGTTTTGCTCCTGTGGCGGGATTTCCCGGCCACACTGGACTTGGAATTTCCAATGTTTCAGGAGCACATCTGGGGATAAGTAAAAACCATGGAATCCCGTGCTGCACACCAATAATGGTGAGTAGATAAATGCTGATCTCGCCAACATATGGCATGATAGGTCTTGATTCATCCCAATCTAAGTTAGAACATGGCAGGGGATGACTCGAAGTATGATCATGTTAAACCAAAACTGAGGATGCAAATCGCATGAATTCCACATTCTCTACAACAAATCCATACAAATCCACTAAACCAGGCGCGCAAACACCCGTGATGCACCTCCCGCAATGACGCAATGAGGTTGGCGATCATCTCCTTCACATTTTTCAGAGAATCCGCTGCCTCCAAGTGGGCGTTGAACCAGGCCACTAGTGGCTGGGAATCCATGGGTTTCCAGTGGGGGAATGGTGGTGGGAATGATCTACAAATGC